TACGGTCAAAATTTGAATTTCTGTGTTGCCGTCGGATCCTGAAGATTAGATAGACATTCATCGTACGATCTCCGCAAAACGACTATTGTCTATCATTGAGGTTGATGTCAACAGCCACGCGTCGCACAATCAGGTCGAAACCGTACGGTCAAATGGAGTGCTGGGTACATGGTAGAACATACGATTCAACCCTAGGCGCTGAACTAAATTAGTGCATCGATCAAGTACCCATGAATTGACGTTTCTGATCTACCGGGCACAGGTGTAGAATCCATTCAAGAGCGCCGGCTTTAGAATCGCAAGTCTGGTTCTAAAGAAATCGTAGGCTCCGTTGGCACGCCGGTGTTACCTACCCGACAGACCGGCGCGACACCCCGGTCACGACGGTCTGACAAATCCGTGACCGGTGTGTCACGGGCCAGAATGCCCCATAGGTGCCTTGTGCAGAATACCGGCTTCTTCAATCTAAGTTATAAGCTTGCGGTTGCTACAATTCTGCCGAAATCGCCCACTCAAACTTTCTAAGAATCAGGGATTGACAAATTGGCGACGTGCCTTTTCGATTGCCGCAAAGGGCCACGGACATAAAACAATATTAACGACATGCAATAAGGCAATGATGCAACGATAACACATAGGGGTAAAAAATGTCCTTCATAGTCAGCCGGGATCGACCAAACAATTCAACTTAGACCCATCATCCCATGTTGTTCTTGGTCTTTCCAATCTAGTTTCTCCAGGACTTGGGCAAGGACCCCCCTGTCCCCAGCGGCAACAACCTCATGCGAGGTCGGAACTGCACCTGCAGAGCTTGCATAGGAGCATCTTCACAGCTTTCAGGCGAACTCAAAGGCTTTCACCAATCGTCCTGCAGTTGCAATCCTAGCACGCAGTATGCAACTCAAGCACGAAGGGTTAGCAAGTAAATATCGATGTGAGTCCCGCACAAGCGCGCCTCTGAGCTGCCTCAAGATAAGACTGCCGGTTAAATAAACAAGCAAGCAACCGTTCTGTGGTCGCTGTGCTTGTTTTTGGAGCGCTTACCCGGCTCTTGTGCATACTCGAGAGCGTCCCACGTCAGAGGCGCGCCGGCCCAATCCGTGATAAAGCCTCCGGCGCCCTCGATCACGGGCACCAATGCTAGGTAATCGTAAGGCTGCCAATCGGATGGATAGGCTTCAATTGACTTCAGTTGACGCCCAAAGCAAGTGTTGGCGATGAAATACCACTCAGGTTCCAGGGAGCTGCAGTTGCGCTGTATGAAACTGCCCGCAGTGAATGCGGCTCGAAGGAGCTGCTCTCCAGCCTGTTGTCTGCGCGCAGATTTCTCTTGCGCCGCGCGTCTGGCTTCGGAGCGGCGGCGCGCTCACCTTGAGGTCCGCCTCGACGACGAGGTCGCAGTGCCCCGCCGCCAGCAGGCCGTACGCGTAGCAGTCGCAGCCATAGAGCGGGAGGCGGACCTGCGAGGACACGGGAAGCGGATCACGAGGGGTTCCCTGCGACGCGGGCAGTGCAAGCGGCCCTCACGACGTGGGGCGCCGTTCATGTCTGGCTTCGGAAACAGCAAGGCATGCGTGGCGGGCTACTGCTCTCAGCGCCGGGCAACTCGATTGCAGACACTTTCAACTAAAGCTCTTGCACTCTCCAAGAATTGACCTTGCAACGCGTGTCACTCGCCCTCGGGACGCAGCACACTCTACGAAATGGGTCGTCCCTCGACCTTCTAAACTGAGGCTCTGCATATCACAGAAATTCCAAGAAAAGTCCGCGCTTTTGTTAAAGGCCGCCACTGTGTAGACCCTGCACCGGCAGATAACACGCGAGGAGCGACCAAAGAGGCACCGGGCACAGTCCAGCACTCTAAGGATCAGTGTGCTGCCTGCCGCCGCTCACCGCATCCCGCACCCGTAACCAGGCCTCTTCCGTCCGGCCTTCGAACATGTGGGGCGTCGTGGAGTACCTGCCGAGAGGGGGGGCATCAGTGGCGTGCTCTGCAAGCAACGGAGCAGGGCCCCACGTCCTCGGGGGCAGCAGGCAGGGTGCCTGGGCGCTGTCTCGCAAGGACGAGTGCCCCACCTCCATTTGGACGGAATCCTTGACCTGGATGTAGACGGAAGACCAAATAGGACGGTCCGCCAACTCGACGTTGTTTCGAAATCAGCGGATCTTGACAAGGTGTCAAAACGTGACTTTTTTCAGACCTGAGCCGTTAGCAAGGCGGTTACCCCAAAAGTAGTCGACATGCGGCTCTGTTGGCACGAGCAACGCCCGAGCCGGGCAGTACTTCCGTCATGTGTACGCAGGCTCACATGTATGCATCAGCGATGTCGTCACAGGGCCTCGCCCTAATGGGTGTGCCGTTGAGCGTGGTGGCGGTGCCGGCCACGCCCAGCCAGCGCTCGCGCAGCACCGGCTGGTCGATCACGCCCACCACGGGAACGCCGCGGTGGACCAGCGCAATGAGCGTGCCAAACAGGGGCTTGCCTGCACCGCGCAGCACCGGCGGTCAGCACCAGCGGGGCGGGCAACGAATCGCACACCCCTACATACACCCGGGGATTGGCCACCACGCCCTTTATTGATGAACGGGATGGATTTGCCAACACAATCCCTCAGAATGAGGAGGTCCATAATTCGCACGAGATTTGAATTGTAGAGGCCAGAGAAAGATGGATCTCAAGCTTTGCGTTGCGGGCCTCACCTACCCGTGATGAAGCTCTTGGTCCCGTCAATTGGGTCCAGCACCCACACGTTCTCCCCGCTTCCTGCCCCCAACTCCAGCCCCGCTTCCTCCCCGAATCTGCACACAGGCCCCACCGTGGATTCACTCGTGCACAGGGAAAGATGACGAAGAGAAGCACACCAAGGGATAACCGTGCCGGTCTGAAGAGTTGCGCTTCCGCAACCTCAAGGGCAGACAGCTCCTCGCCCACTCCATGCCGGCGACGGTGCCTCGGAGACAAAGTACGATGCACAAGGATTCGCACCGACCATCCCCGTTTGTAGGCCGTCAAGTTGAGGTAAGTCCCTCAGGATGTCTTGAGATGGCTGTGTATGATGGTTCGGTGACCCTTACACTCCATGGTGTGGGAAGTGCTGGTGTATCAGTGCACGCATGGCTGCTTCTGCTGCTCGGTCCGCCTGCGTCACAGGGCCTGCACACAGCCCACACGCTGTCAATGACGGCTCGCCGAAGGAACAATCTGGAGGACACCGTGTATGCAAAAAGCTGGGAGAAGCCATCGATGCGCCTCACATGCCAAGCATGGAGGCAGCTTGCGCCACACAGCTTGTGTGACCCCACCGTACACCACAACCTCCTTTGGCCCGAAGCACTGACGGAAGGACGTTGAGATTCTTATCTTAATGATTTCAGCAGCGCGAACTTTGAACATTTGAGTGAAAGATAAGATTCAAAAGAAAGAACAGGACTGTTTCGTAATCCCCACGAACCCAACAAATATCATCGCCAATGAAGTATTCTGCATATTTCGCCCTGAGATTGGAAAGTAGTTCCGCCCACGTTAACCGCCATTGAAATGAATCAAATTTTGATCTGGGCCGGAGCTCTTTTCGACCGCAGCAACTCCACCTCCCGGGCACCAACGGGTCTGACCAGCCTTAAGCTCAGCACTTCAATTTGTCCTCACAGTAAGTGGGTGCAAAGCTCCAGAAAGGTCCTCTTATATATAACTGCTCAAGACCCCACTGCGCTGATAACACCTAGAGGTGCTGGCATTAGAGCAGGTTTTCGAAGAAAAATCGTTCCGGAGGTGCCAATTGCGGCCACTGCATGGCTCACTGGCATCAGCCTTGCTCTCCACGTTGATGCCAGTACGGAAGTAGCGCCGCGTGATCTCCCCCGCAGCGTCCGCCAGCGTGTGGGCCAACTCCACAAACTCCTGCACGCAGACGAGACCCCCAGCTGACATCACAACAGACCTCCCCACGATAACACGGAGGAAAGTTCTCGCTTGTCCACCAATGAGTTGTGGCTATCAAACTTTCCCCAATGCCATCAATTTTCCCAATGCTGCAAGTAGAGGGTCATTGCCTTTGCACACAAGGGGCATACCACCTGCACCATCGCGGTATACGATTGAATCAAAGCCCACCAGATCCCAGGATCCAGTCACACTGTAGGAAGCAGTGCCTGAAACACATGGTTGTTGCAGCACCCAATGGGCCGCTCCAGTGTCAGACGTTCGTGACAGCCCATAGCCCCGGTCCTCTCTACAGACAGATCCTGGAGCAAATCCAAAATTGTACTTACTGGTGGCACCGAGGGGCCCGCTGCTTGGTCTGCCAAGGGGCTCGACTGGACCGATGCAGCGGAGATGTGGGAAGAATCAGCCGCCATGGGCCTCAGCAGGTCTGCATTTGAGTTTGGATGGAGGCGCCCGAAAAATGCAGGGGGACTGAACTGGCTAAGTCTGCGCGGTGCTTGTCGCAGACGAGGCACGTAAGCTTGCGTTCCGGGACCGCTTCGGCGAACGTCGCTACTTTTACATAAGTTTTCAAATGGCGGCAGCTGCACAGCCACTCTTGCAGCGCTTGACTGCATCATGGAAAGCAGTGAACCGCCAATGCCAAGTCACAACAGTGGCTGGAGTGTAGTCTCTGAGCACTGATTTCTGCTGCGATGTTGCCTCAGGAACCCTCGTTCCAGATTCACTCTGCTTTGACTGCGCGCCTGCATTAGTCCCTGGACAGCTCGGAGAGTGCCTGATGGTGGTGGTACAGTGGTCAATGAAGAGGCCACACTGTTCGGACCCCCTGTTGAATTTCCAGTCGTTTGGAGCTGGTCACACCGCTGCGATTACGTGTGCTCTGCGCCTCCTGAAGCCTGATCGGGCTCTGCCCACGCTCCAGACAACATCGACTGTCCTAGGCAGTTGAAGAGATTGTCTTTTGGACAACAATCTGATATACCGTAGTCCAACGTAATGATTCCGAATAAATAAATAATTATCTGCGTTCGGAAAGTCAGAAATTCGGATTTCCCATTCGGAAAGTAGAATTTCGGAAAGGTAAAATAACTTTGAAATAGTCCTCGGAAGCCGTAAAACTGCCAAAAACAGCCGAAAACTCCCCTTCCAAGTCAGACCATAGGGCATTCGGATTCTGGTCGGAATCAGCATACATAATTCCACTTATTTGGTCGGATTGTTGGAAAATAATTTGAAATAAAATCGTTCGGAATCATCACGTTGGACTACGGGTATTCTGGACTTTGGCATCCAATAGGGTCATCGGTAAAAGCTAGATTGTATTTCGAAAGCAGAGGCCGACCAGTCTGATTGCAAAGTACATTTGCGAACGACGCCTCTGTAAATGTTGCCGGACTATTGGTAATACCGGTATTGACATCTTGGTTTTTGAAGTTGTCAGTGTCCAACGTTCATGAAGATAGCCAGGAAGTTTACTTCAACTTGAAGTGCCAAGCCAGGTACCGTAGCTTGGCCTGGAGAACTCAGCAGCTTGAACCATTGGCATTGGTGTGATTCGTGAAGGAAGGAAGCACGTCCTGTATCATTTGACAGTCAAGCAGTCGCGTTGATGCGCGCTGTCGTGTATCACTTTGGCTAGCAGAGTTGTTTGTTTACGGGACAGTAACAATGAGGTAAGCAATCCCTGCCGTTCCTATTTCTTGTATGGAAAGGATGCCTGAGCATGTTTTGATCAGTCATTCTTGTAGGACTTCTTCTCTGGGGGGAAATATTGTGTCTTTCATGCTTTGATTGTTTTGAATAGATGCTGCTTCCTTCAAAATTTTGACATGGATTCTTGGCAATGGTTGCATTCGGAGCTACAAGCTGCACCCCCTTGATGTCATGGTCACATGTGAACGAGGGGCTGTACAGCCTTGACTTGATTTATGCGGGATTGGCTGCCCTTTTTTTCTTTGCTGCAAGACTTTCTGGAAGGGATACCCCGCAAAGTCTCTGTCCTTCCGTGATCTTAGCACACATAGACACCAAGATGGGCCGGGAGGGTGGTTGCAGAAGGGTGTTGGTCTGCAGGGAGTGATTTGTTGAGGACTGTGATTGTGTGTAAGTGCGAAGGCCGGGCCATCAAAAGAAAATGGCGAAGCTGCCTGGTTCTTCCATGATTCAAGATGCAGAATGCCCGATGATTCATCATGTTTATTTGTAAACAGCGATGCAGCTCTGCAAGTTTTATCTCGCCAGATCAAGCTAACACAGTTCCTGTTTTCATGCCGCAGCCGAGCAATGGAGGAGGATGCGGTGGTAAGTTGCCTAGGAATGTGACACACCATCAAGAAGGGCTTTTGTTAAGGAGCCCTTCGGCGCGATCGAGTGGATGCAGTCTCGCCTGTATGAGGACCTGCCAGTAGTACAATTACATGACCCTCTTGAAGGCATCTGTGATTTGCCTTGGATTTCTAAGCTGGTGGACTTTGCTTTCCACCTGTGCCTGTTACTAACTGGGGGGTGATACTGCCTTGCAGGAGAAGACTGAGGAGGAGGAATTTAGCATCGGGCCCCTCTCAGTACTGTACAACAGTGTGAAGAGCAACTCTCAAGTGAGCCCCAAATGCCAATGCGGTGGCCTTTCTGCCTTATGGATGGGCAGCGGGCTGTTGCATCCACTTGTAATGGAGACGACACTGCTGAGGATGATGACGCTTGTGGCGCTGGTGCATGTCTGCTGGGGTACATCTCCTAGCTGTCCTTAGTGTACACTTGGTTGTGCCCCGTCACCTTCATGGAGGTTCGCGGATATTTTTCAAATTTAGACCCTCGGCCTTCTTTGCCAATCAGTGACTTTTTTGCTGTCTTTTGGAGGCCGCAATCAGAATCATCACAATGAGCGGATCCTGGCTGCTCTCAATTTTCTCTGTTTTGCACATAGTTCTGGTTATTTCAATGGCCTTTTCTTCTATAGGTTCTTTGACAGGTTCACTTGACTCTTAGAAGGATCTGCGCGGGGGGAAAGCAGCATTAGTGGCAAATAAGTCTGAAATTTTCATATGTGGCTGCGCTAGGCCCTTGAACGCCAGTCCGATTCGTAAGTCCATTTTCGTCAACCTGTCCTTGCAGGTCTTGATCAATTGTCGAAACAACAGAAAGCTACTTGGGAGGGTGAAAGCTTTTGACAGACACTGCAACATGGTGCTTGAAAACGTTAAAGAGATGTGGACAGAGGTAAGCGACATTGTTTCGGATGCTCTTTTTGTACACCCAAGTAACAGGAATCGTTTTTGCAATCTTCGCCAACTATCCCGAACTCCTCAGTTCTGAAACGTGTGGACAAGGTGTGACGGCCATTGCACTGTCAAAGTCTGCTATGTTTCTCCGTCTGAGCTCCCTTTCCAAAGAAGCGGTCATCAGTAGGGAAGCGGATGACTAAAGAAGGGACATTACAGATATTTGACAAAAAGAACCCCCTTATTATTTTTGTACATTGCAAATGACAGTCACTTCCGTTTGCAATGTTTGCCAATCATCCCTTACCTTCATTCTGAAAGCTACGGACGAGATGTGAAAGCAATTGCAATGTTGCAGTCTTCGATGTTGATTCGTCTGAGCTTCTTCCAAAAGTAGCGACCTTCTACAGGACGGACCTTTCAGTTCATTGATACAAAACCCCCTTCCTGCAGGTTCCAAAAACCGGGAAGGGTCAAAAGAAAGCAAAGCCTGTAAACAAGGATCGCTTTATTAGTAAAATGTTTCTTCGAGGGGACTCTGTCATCATCGTTCTGAGAAATCCTAAGTAGGTGTTCACTATATGCCAGAAATCCATAGCGAAGACTGCGTTTCTCTAAAAAAGCTTTTATTCTTTTATCGTTTGAAGATTAATATATCCCTATCGCATATTCCTCCGGGCTGAATCCGATACTGTTTGCGCATCAACAGCCTCGATGGTTTGAACAGGTACGGTCCTACTGCATGTTATAGATGGATTAGCGCTGCCGTGTTTCAAATGTTTCGGATCACATTCGATTCGAGTCACTTCGTACGTCTGGTCCTTCGGCCATGCAATTTGCTTGATGTACTAATCAAACTCAATCATTTTACCTGTACATTCTCTGCCAGTGGCACTGATCGTGTAATTGTTACGTCGTGATACGTCCTAAAGGCCCGGCCCGTCACATGAGCATGGCGGCACATGCAGCGGCGTGGGCCGGCCCGCGAGCTGCCTGTGCCCAGCTCAGTCATGCGTATGCAACAATATTTCGACGCGACAACTTATAGCCTGCACATGCACGATCTACCATCATGAGGTATAGTCGAATCGTACGTCTTTCAAATCCGAGTGATCGCAAATTGCATGCAGCCTGCAGCATGGTTGACTCATGGCAGGTACCACATTCAAGTCCAAACAACTCTGATCTTGCAGTCAGATAATGAAGGCATGACCGTATAGGGCATGCCTGCATGTTGAAAGACATGATAGACTTCATCCGCACAATTGTGGCTCGGCAGAGCTTGGCTATGCAGGACGACAACTTGCAAAAACCAACGACACGTCACTGCCCGGTGTGGAGCAATTCTCAGGCTCCCATCTCATACCAACACTTTGCGACAGTGCGTAGCATCTTCTTAGTCAGGAGCCCGCAAGTCAAGCTCAGGCTCCAGGCATGCAAAAGGCGTTGCCGGACATTCACACCTTCAAGCTGTGAGGTCGACGCAACATGGCGAGTGTAAAGACAACTTCAAAGTCGTCAACTCCGTATGGTGCTTGAACATGGTTTCGAGTCCGCTCTCTTTTCCGTCTCTACCCACAAGCAGCTGCTGATGGTAACAGCCTGACGAAACGGCTGGGGACTTGGTCAGAGCCGAGGCAGGTTGCGTCTCTCAGTCGGCTCCTCTCGAACGATCAATTGAGAGTCTTTCGACACCTGCATGCGAACCACGATCGGACCAATCAATTACCAGGCGCTGACGAGTAGGACTAGCGAGGAATCCACTACCCCGATCAACACGGCAGCAAGACAAAGAGAAAGAGAAACTGACGTGCACGCCAACGCGACAACGTCACAAATAAGCAACTGAGTTGCGCGAGACCGCAGCAAGTGACGTCGCAGAACGACCGAGAGCCCCTCACTTTGCTGCGCCGCAATTGCAGGGAATCTTCACGTTTTCAAACGGAAACTTGTAGTCGTACGTGAGCTCCTCCCCCGGCTCGATCCGCCGCTTGGAGTAGATGACGATCTTCTTCTGCCCCTCCACCCAGATCACCTTGGTGTAGCAGTTGGGCTGCGCACCAGTAGGGAGCAAAGTGGGAACGGGCACACCACACCAATCAGAAGGCAAGCACGCACAGAAGGCCGGACAGCATCAGCACGAGGTCCTCCCGAGACTTGTTATTCAACGATTGTTGGGCAATGACTGGAGACTAGCCGACGGTGTGCTTCTGTGCACGAAGTTCCTCGCACGCTGATGAGTGAAAGAAGCAGAGGCTGCTCGATCGTCCCTGTGAATAAGTCTGACCTTCTTCTCTTTCCAAACGACCGGTGGCCACAGCCCAATGGGTCATGGCAAGCTCAATCAAAGTATCAATGTCATATCGGTGTTTGACAGCGCAGGATGAACTTACATCGCAGCAATGGTTGATGAAGCGCGCTGCGCCCCCCATTTTCGTGGCGTCGATCACATTATCGTCGTCGATTCGGAAGAGGTAGCTGCTACCGATCCCTAGCTTCTCATACCGCTGCTCGCGCAGTTCGGACACCTGGCAAAGAACGCAAGAAGCTTGTCAAATGCCTTATGCTATTGTTCGGATCCGCGACTCAAAGCAGCGTGTCGTGCCCCTTTCCTGTGGTTCAGTAGCATATGATCACGGGTGGCGGTGTAGCGGGCTTGCAGCAAGTCCCAACTAGCCAGGGGGAGCGATGTTCGCAAGCAAATTAGAACTGTCCCAAGTACTTTTGCCCGTTCGTGCCCCTCTAGGACAGGCTTGATAGCGTGGGACTCTCCCATGGCATCCTTGGCTCCACGAACCCCTGTGGTGCCGCGTGGCTTACCGGCCTGCGGATGACCTGTCCGATGTACTCGATGACGAAGTCCTCCGCCTCGATGGCCTCATCCGTGACGATGCCCCAGTCGTGGATCTTGCTCCGCACGAACTTGAGCTTCTTCTTGCGCGACTTGAGCTGGCTCAGCTTCAGCGCCGCCACGCCCTCCGCGCTCGCCGCCAGCTCGCGCTGCGTCTTGCGGTGCAGCCGCGCCGTCGGCTGCCGGGGCCCCACGCCAGCCGCAGCCGGCACCTCGGCGACCTGCGCCAAAGGGCTGCGGGGGGCTGCCGCGGTCGCCGGCAGGGTCTTCCCTACGCGAGACGCGTTCTGGTTCCGCTCGCGCCACTCCGTTCCGTTGATGGACGTGCGAGCACAGCCATCCGCAGTGAGGGTGTCGTCCAAGTGAGGCCGCTTGGGGCGGCGGCCTTCCTGCCCCGCCTTATGCGGCTGCTGGTCGCCGGACCCGTGACCCTCTTCCGGATCCCAGCCCGCAGGATCAAGCACCGGCTCGAGCTGCGGAAGAGCAGGCGTGTCGGCCGGGACGGAGCCTAAACCCCAGGACACTGCCGGGGACGCGCGAGCATGGTTTAAAGACAGGTTCCAGGGCGAGGTGACGGGGTCCGGCGACTTCAACATGGCGGCCAGCGGCTCGTCCGCGAACTCCGTCCTCCAGTCGGCCCCTGCAATCGCGAGAACAAGGAGGAGTTGGGAGCCGCGGTATGCGCACCAGCCGGAGCAGAACCTGCCTTGAAAGCACTCGTGGTGCTGCAGCCCGCACACAACGTCTTCTGCAGAAACCCGAAAGGCAGCAGCCTGCAACCGCAAACAAGATTGCATTGCTCTGATCCTCAAAAGCCGGCGCTGTCTTTCGCACGAGCTTGATGTTGTTTATTTAGAGAGTGTCCGACAACCGATTACAGATGGGAGCACGGTCCTTGTAGAGTCGCCCCTCACAACGCTTGGGACTGCACAAGAAAAGCGATTTTTACCTGGAGTCCCCGGGTACGCGGCCGCTGCCCCGCCCTTCCTTCCGTCTGCTGCTGGGGGCGTTGCGAAAGGGGCTCCTTTCCGTTTACCTTTCTTAGCCGCAGGCTTCCCCCCAGCACCAGCCTCTGCTTCCTGCCCTTCCCCCTTCCTCTTCCCCTCCGTCTTCCCGGGCCGCCGGACCCCGTTTGGTGCGTGGGTCCTCGCAGATACCCCCCGCACTACATCGTTGGTAAGTGCGTCGGAGTCCCCTCGTCCTCCCATCGACTGCCCCTCGCCTCCCTCCTTCCCCTCACCCCGCTTCTTCGCCCCTGCTGAACCGGGCGTCTCCCCAATCCCCGACTCCCGCAACAGCTCGGAGGCCTTCTGTAGCCCCTCACGCAGCTTCTTCCTCTTCCCCGAGGTCCCTGGCAAGGCTGACGTCAACCCCACATCCTCAAACGCCATGCCGGTCTGCTCTTCCGCTGTGGACTGAACGAGTAAATGCTCCGGCGAGTCGAAGGCCTCGTCTGCATCCGCTCTCCTTCGTTTCCTGCTTGCCGGCTCCCCCGACTCTTCTCCGACATGTCCGTTCTCTCGCCCTCTCTTCTCGTGTGCGCCTGCCGCCGCTTCCTTCGCTTTCTTCTTTTGCGCCTTGCTTTCACGAGCCGCCTTCAGCTGTGCGATTTGCTTCGCCCGCCTCTCCTCATCAGGGAGCACCCTTTTCTCTTTGCCACCCCCCTTCTTCGGCCGGCCAACCTTCTTCTCCTTCTTCACTTCACCTCCCGCCGCTGTGCCTGGTTCCTCGTCAGCATTCGCGTCCCCTTCGTTCGCTGACGTGTCGCCTGGCTCCTCTCTGCCTCCACCCTCCCTCTCGTCGCTCCCATACACCTCCGTCACATTCCTAAACTTACCCTTGGCCCCCTTATTCGTGCCTTTCCCCTTCTTGCCCCCTTCCGCTGCCCCGCTCTCCCGCCCTGTGTGCTCAGTCTCCTGTGCACCCCGTTCGTCGTCTTTGCCACCCAACCGTGCTTCACCGCTCGCATTCTCGACTTCGTGTGCACGCCCTTCCTCGCTCCGATCACCAGCCGCAATCAACTCCCCTTCTCTCACTCCAGTAGCTTCGGACGGCTCATTTTCCCCCTCGTTTGATCTCAGAGCCGAACCCTTCCGGCTGTGTGACGCTCCCCGCGCCTCTTTCGCCGACTCCTCTTCACTGCCGCGCTTCCCCCCGTTCTCCTGCCGCATCGCACTTTCCGCCTCCCGCTTTCTCTTCGTTTCCTCGTTCTTCCTCTGCTCTGCCCGGTGCTTTTCCAGCGCCTGCCGCGCCCACTCCTCCTCGATGGCCGTCACCTCGTTCTCCCCGTCTGCCGCTCCCTCCTCAGACCCATTCTGTCGCAACTCCACCTTCTGCTTCGCCAACCCGCTCCCAGGTCTTCGCCCCGTCTCTACACTCGGCTCCGTTTCCTCCTCGCCCACGTTCTGCCGCGTCGTCAGCCGCAGATCCCCTGCTGCCAGTCCACTGGCGCGCCGCGCCCTAGCCGCAGCCGCGCGCTCTTCGTCCGTCATCTCGATGGCCTCGCCGTCTGAATCTTGGACGACCACCTCCATGTCGTCATCCTCCCCACCGCTGACGTCACCTCTAGAGGCGGCCGCACCACCGCCCTCCGCAGTACTTCTGGGCTGCCCCTCCTGCTCGGATCTCTCCCGATTTGTGTTCGTAACCTGCGGGTGAAGACTCCCCCGTCGCCGCTCCTCCTCTTCCCGCCTGCGCCGCTCCTCCTCTTCCCGTGCGCGCCTCTCTTCCTGCTCCCGCACGCGCCTCTCCTCCTCTTGCTGCGCCCTGCGCTGCAGCCACGCGTCCAGCCCGCTGTTGAGCAGCACGCCCACCAGCTTGTTCTGCACCGTGCGCTTCACCATCTCCGCCAGCTTCTCGCGCACAATGCCCAGCGCCACCGTTTGCGCCGCCACCGCCTCCCTCCGCTGCGGCGCGGGCGTGTCCGGGAGCTCCAGCGGCTGCGCCATCAGCCGGCCGGGGTACAGCGTCGCCATTTTGGGTGTTGACGGACCGTCGCTCTCTGCTGCTTCGTCCTCCGGTGCTGCGGCGTCTTGGGGCGCATGACTGGCTACGGGGAGTTGTGCGGGCGGGGTTGTGGGGAGAGGAGAGCCGCGGTGGTTGAGAAGTGTGAGCAACTGGCCCGAGTCGGCGGCGGAGATGAGGGACTGCAGGGGGCACGGGGGCATCCAGCCGTCCGCATGGAGCATCTGCAGGGAGCGACGTCACACATGCTCAGAAACAGTCGGACTAAAGCGGGATCCCGCCTTGATTGCCGGGATCGCAGGATCCCCAGTATAAACATTGCGAAGGACATCAACACTTTGACACTCGTTGCAGGCACGGACATGTTTCTTTCGTCCGCTCACTCCAAGGAGAACAACAAAGAGTGTGGTTCGACCCTTATCCAACGAGCATTAGGGCGTCAGGGCGGCACCCAGTAGCTCATCCGCCTGGCGTGTGGACTGACCTCTAGGTGGGGGTACAGGTTGCCCTGCTCCAGCCAGATGCGCAAGTGCTGCAGCATGAAAGGCCCCGCCGCGCGGCCGTCCGCCCCCTGGTACCGCCACACGGCCGCCGCCTCTAACTGGACAACAAAACAAGGACGAAAGCAGCGTCAGAGGCAGAGATCGTGTAGAAACTTAATCTGGTGTGGCCCAGCGACTTGCATCTGGTCCATCACAAAGTTCACAGCTAGGCTGTGACGCAAGTCGAGCAGTCAGTCGACCAGTCAACGCTCAGCACAGCTTCGTGCCTGTCCTACTGCCACGACCTCTTGCAAATGACGGCTGAACAGTCGAGTGCGTGGAGAACTTCAAGCGAGCTGCGCTTGTCTCTGCTGCTCAGCAGATAGAGTGCGCATTGGTCGAACCAACCACATCGGAAGCCCGGTTGTCAGCGTTGTATCCCAAACTTCTGCTGAAATTGCTGATGTTTACCTGCTCTTGTGTCATCCCCCCTGGCTGCAGCGGGGCCCCACCCGTCCCCGCAGGTTGCTGACGAGGCTCCGGCCCCCAGTGCGGGACCGCACCCCCCTGCGGCGCAGGCTGCGAGGATGGGGCCCACGCCGGGCGTGCCGCATGCTGCCCCAGAGGGGCGGCCTGGTTCTGCCAGTGAAGCTGTGGTTGTTGATAGGGGCCTTGGGCGCCGTGCCACTCTGGCTGGGGGCCCGACCAGCGCTGGGGCAACGACTGGGGGTTTGAGCCCCAGGGACCACCCTGTGCTGGCGGAAGAGCTCCGGAGGGGGCGTGGCTGGGGGCTTGGGCGGCGCGAGCGGCAGCGAAGGCGGCTGCCTCCTGGCGCAAGTGGGCAAGGTGTCCCGGCGGGGATCCGAGAGCGGCGGCCGCCGTCATCTGTACAGGGACGGGCAGCTTTACCGAGGTGTCCGCATCTCGAGCACCACTTGCCGGCACTGCCACCTTCGGCTTTGCTGCGGCCGTGCTTTTTACGGCGCTCGTTGAAACGTTTGTGGCTGCCTGGCCGTCTTTGCCCGCTCGGACAGAGGGATCTTTTGCGGCCGGCGGATGTTCGACCTCCGCCGGCGACTCCCGCGGTTCTAGCTTCGCTTCCGTTGCTCCCCCTCTCTTTCCCCTGGAGGTTTCACCCGGCACCTTCGCCGCCCGTGGAACCTCTGGTTGCTGTCTTTCTCGAGGAGGACGCTCGTCCTTGGCAGTCCCCCACCGAACGGGCTTCCCTACGACCTTGTGGGACGCGCCTTCCTGCAGGGAGTCCTTCTGACGAAAAGCAGCCCCAGCCTCTCCAGATGACAGCGGCAAAGCGGTGGCCGACACTCCCCTCGCCCCATGTCTGTCTTTGGAGACACTCTCAGTTAGGTCTGGCTGCTGCCTCAGCTTGACCGGGTCCTCCTCCTTCAGCAGTGAAGGTGCGAGCTCATCCTCCTGCGCAAACGCAGACAGCAGCGGAGCCTTCTTCAGGCCCTGCCCCGGCCTCTTGAAGTCCACCCGCACCTTGCCACGATTCTCGGCACCGTCACTTTCTGATGCCCCCCCTTCTCTGACCGTATGTTTGCTAGAAGGCACTATCTTCACCTCCGCCTTGATGTTTCGCTCTACCCCAAGACGCAACTCCGCCCCCCCTTGCGTGACCTCTTGCCGCTCTCCTCCTTTTGCTGACCGATCTGAGCCAACGGCCTCCTTCGCTGCTGATCCTCGCTCCAGCATCTCTGCTGCTTCGGTCACTGCCCCAGCTGCTCTTAAACCCGTTAAGGCAGATGAGCTCTTGCTGTGAGGGGGCACACCCCCCCGGCTCGTCTCCGGTTTTCCCTCTTCCTCCTTGGGCTCCTCCATGGCTTCCAGGTCGACTTTCCCGTCCAGCAGGTCTTGCAACCTGACGGGAGGCCAGAAGCCGTCCCTCTTCTTCTTGTACACTTGCAGGTGCGGCTTCAGCTTGCCGCTCTCCAGCCCGTCCATCAGCAGGTCCAGCGGGTACGGCCCGCTCATCTTCTTGCTGCGACCCTCGTAGCACCACTCCGCGTCCGCAGGCAAGCTCGCAGCGCTTGCCGCCGCCTTTTCCCTGCTGCTGGCCTGCTTGCCGCTCGGCCCTGCGGTGACACCACTGTCTCCTGCTTTAACAACTGTCTTTTGTCGCCCGGACTCCACCTCAGGCGCCCGTTGGCTGACGCTGGGCTCTCTCTCTCGTCTCTCTGAGATCGTTTTGGGCGGTTGGTCGTGATCCTTCGACCGCACCGACTGCTCGCCCGGTCTCTCCCCCCGTCCTGCTCCACTATGCCTCGCGGCCCCTTGAGACAAGCTCCCCCTCCCATGCTCGCTGTCGGATATCGCGGGCTGACCCGCTATATCTTTCCTGGCCTCCTGCCCCAGACTTGCGCTCCTTTCGTCTGCCAGACCCCTGGCTGCGTCCCTCCTCCGCTTCTCGGGGGGCTGATTGGCTGCGGCAGTCGGGGACGCCCTCTTGAGGGGTGCTGCTAGACCGACCTGGGCCAGCTTCTCCTGCCGTGTTGCCTCCCAGCGTGCCTTGCGTGCCTCCACCTTCTCGTCCCTGCTAAACAGGAATTACAGATCGTCTAGGAAGAGCAACTAAGGCTGCCACCGCAAAGTCACTCTATAGTGCACTCTCGAGCAGTCACCTCAACTTGGACAAGTTGCAAAAGCGTCCTACATGATGCAATGTGCGACTATTGTGAGATAGTCCACAAGAGATTTGGCACGTGTGAAAAACAAATCACAAGCCTGTGTGTTGAACAGGAGTACCATCTTGAACTGCATCCATCGAGTCTCTTTCTGTAAACCATTGAGTTTCTGCAAAGAAGAAACTCATCGTTCCCAAAAGAAGATATTATTGTGACCGTTGCACTCACCTGCTTCCTGAGGCTTTCCATGGCTCCCCCCCCACTGCTTGTTCACCTCTCCCAAAACTTCTCCCCTCCACTTCCTTTGCTCCTTCTCCATCTCTCACACTGCCCACTCTGTCCTCAGAGCGTCCTTCCAGTTCAGGGTCGCTTCTCACCCCTGCCGCTGATGCTGGCGACGCTCTCCTGCCGGCCACTCTTTCCCTGTTTTCGTCCTGAGGTCTCGCTGCACTTGTATGTCTCGCTCTTGCCGCTTCCTCCCTGGGCTTCTCACTTTGCCTGCCACTGCGCAAATCCTTTTCCCCACTTCTTTCCATCCTTTCTCGCACGTGTTCTTGCTGCTCGGGCGCCCCGATGCGTCGCCGATCAGATACTTGTGGCTTCCCATCCAACTGACTCCCATCCCTCGTGCTAGCTGGCAGCTTCCCCGCTTCCCTGGCTCCCTCATAAAGAGCACTCTTCGGCTTGGCTTCCTGCTTGTGCACCGCCTTCTTCTCAACTCTCCCGTCCTTCCGCTCAGGAGGGGCACTCAGGTGTCGCTGTTTACTCTTTGAATTTTCCTCCAAAGTCAAGTGGTATCCCTTCTTGTCCTCAGACGGCTTCAACCTTGAGGAAACCCCGGTCCCCTTAAACCCCCAACTCTCTTGCGAGTTCCCATCAGCTTTCGACTTTGCTTCCGCTCGCCTGAGGGCCCTCTCACGAGCCAGAAGAAATACAGCTTCTCCGGAACTTCGGCTCTCCTCTGTTACACTTTTCCACTTTGATTTGGAGTCGGCACGCCTGCCTTCTGGAGCAATCACCTCTTCGCCTCTTTGTTTAAGCTCCACTTGAGTCTCCGCATCAGCACCTCGCGGCTGCCCCTCCTTCCTATCATCTATTTTACTCCGAGCGTATTTAGCTTGATCGGCAGGCCTTTTATCCATGCTTTCTTTATCACCACCACCTGTGCGGTGATGTCGCAAACTACTGACCGCAGAAGGATCCTTTCTTCTGACCCCATTACGATGTCTGCTCTCACCCCTGGGTTGAGGGTCACCATTAGCTCTTTCATTGAGAACTTGCGCATTGCCCGCTGCAAGGCAAGAACTGTGCCCGGGACCCTTTCTTTGGTGCTTTGGCAGTGGCCCCAGCTTCTCAATCCTGCTGTTGATGTCCGCCTGGAGCCACTCCTCTGTTGGATTGTGGTTCACAGTGGACTTTGTTTCGCGCTCACATGGTTCCAAAGTTGAGCGGTGGCCCCTCTCACGTTCACTTGCAACTCTGTCTGATCTGTGGAAAAGAGTTGTGGGGACGGTGCTGGCCAACAAAGTCTTATCAACTGCTGCCCCTAAAAACTCAGCAGACTTTGACTTTTCCTGCCTGGGAAAAATTCTGGCACTTGCAGCTAGTTTGCTGCTAGCCTGCCGAATGCTGGCCTGCTCGTGCCTTTGACTCGGCCTTCCTGCATCGCTTGCTGAGCTCTCAGAGTCCTCAGAAAGTTCTGAAGAAACTTCACTCGAAGACGAAGAAGTTGACAGTATCCTACTCGCTGCCATTGCCCCACATTGAGCTCCGTCAACTTTATAGGGGAAAAGCCATTGTAAGCATTTGAATTTTGGCAGCGAGCCTGCAGGACGCGCAGCAGATTCAGCAATGCTCCGAGCGACTTTTGCACTGCCAGTGCCGCAAGTAGTACAAAGAACGGAGTTGTAGAAGTGTTACCAGCCATGTGTTACCTAGGCCGGCACTTTGGGCCGCGAGATTGCCGATGATCCCGTCGTCGCGCGTGCAGAAACGCGTCATCCAATACAGCTGACAGAAGCACCGAGCGACCCTATGCCACTCTTTCTATCTACCGGGCAGAGATTAACTAGGCTCTTGCAGTCAGCCTTCCCGCCTCACCGAACGGTAACCTTTCCTGACGTCAACTTCCGAACCGGGGTCTGAACCAGCAAACAGTACTGAAGCCCCAAGACCGAAGCTCGGTCTACCGTATCACTTCGGAAGCTTTAACCGTGATTGATTTGACCCTCCGAAACCACTTGGTTGTCGTGCCTCTACCCAGCCCCTAACCAAGAAGTTGTAGACCGTACCGAGAAGAGCAGCGTGCCCGGGCTATCAAATTGGCCCAAAGATGCTGACGCACCTCGCGCGTAAAAGTAGCATGTGAACACTTTTACAACTCCGTTCTTTGACCTTTTTGCGCCAGTGCCACCAGAATTGCCTACCCCGGTCCCCCATGCGCAACATTGTGACCAAACTAGACATGGCGGCTAGACTAGGTACATAGTAAACAACGTGAAACTGACCAATCAGCCTGCTTCAATTGTACACGTGGTTCCACGTGTAGATACCGTAACAGAACCGCAGGGTACGGTACCCTACCCTGTGCCTGCTAGCCCAAGCTGCCCAGACAGCATGATACCGTACCACGTACCTGTAAAACCCGGTAGTAGGTACCGGTTTTGACAAACAGGTGTCGAGTCAGCATCACTTTTGCTGGGCCTTCCGAGCCATGTTCACAGGACAAGCCAGGAGTCGAACTTGAAGTTGAAGTGGGTGAGTCAAACATCCTTGGAGTTTCTGTAGGCGATAGTTTCTTGATCAGCCTCATTGGGCTCGGTGCGCTTTCCAAGCCCCCTGTGCACATGTGACACTTCCTCCCCCAGTTGATCAGGACAGTGCCAATCCTTTTCTGACATTTTTGCTTTGAGGGCATAACGTAGGTATCCAATCTTACCAGCCTGCTAGAGCTGCCGGCAGTGCTATCACTATTGACGTCGCCACAAAATATGGCGGACATACCATCAGCTCCTCCTGTGGTGCAAGCGGAGGAAATCTCGACTACTGCAGGCGAGTCCTCGACCAACTTTTGATTTCTTTGTTTGTTAGGAAAGTGCTATATGTATTGAGTGAGTGGCTCAATGTTCACCTGGGGTGTTTGCTGTACGACAGAGTTGGGGTAGGCTGCTTCACTTGAGAAGCTATGAGAAGCATGTGACGTCCATGTCTGGCTGTAAGTTGTAGACTGTTTCAATGGGCAATCTCAATGAGTGTGTTTTCTCAGAGGGGCCCCATCTGCATGTTGTCTTCTGTGGGTTTCTAATCGACTATCTTTTCAATGTACAGAGGTCAAGACACCCCTTCCGGACCCGCCAGCCACTTTGTCTGCTGAGGCTGCTCCTATTGTGGAGGAAAACCTTCCCCTGCGGGAAGACTTCATCCAGAATGCTGTCAAGTTTCTCTCTCACCCTAAGGTTCAGGGCTCTCCCGTCCAGTACCGGCGATCCTTCCTGGAAAAGAAAGGTCTCAACAGTGCTGAAATCACTGAGGCTTTTCGGCGGGTTCCGGTGAGTGGGGCACTGCAGGGGCAAGTGAGACTGTTGCAGTGCATCAGCGGATTGGTGCTCTGCCGATGACTAGGGCCATGCTCTTGCATTCACAGCACATGTCCGTGAATGGTACTTCAAACATAGCAACGTGTGCGCTGGGGCCCCACTTCGACACCTGATTTCAGATACTCTGCTCACCTGCCTTCTGTGCCTCTAGTCACAGGGAGAAGTCACCAGCCTGATTTGTGCCCCAGGTTTTTCCGCTCTTGATAGACTTGTGTGTCGCTGCCCTGCAGTTGACCTGTTCAGTCTGTCCACCTTGTGCAGGACACGGCAACTGCCCCCCCCGCACCCCTCCCTGCCACCACCACAGTGACCACCACCACCACCAGCCCGGCCCCACCTGCCCCGACCGCATCCCCAGTGGCTGTACCCCCCCGGCCAGCTGCGGTCTTGCGAAAGCCCTGGGAACAGACTGCTCAGCCAGCAAGTGCCTATCCTGCCGCCGGTCAGCAGGTTGCGGCGGCCCCCCAGGCTCAAGTTGCACCGCGGCAGGGCGTGCGATGGACGCAGATGGTGCTGGCACTGGGGGTGCTCTCTGCCGCGGGAGCGGGGACTGTCATAGTCACCAAGGTGGGCCTGCTTCGGCAAGTGACAGTCTAATGGCCAGAAAGTGCCCCTTGTGCAACCGGTCCCTGCTTGTGGATGAGACTCAATCTATGCAGTAATGCAGGGAGGGGCCAGAATGGCAAACAGCGTTTCAGTGGCTCTATAAACCCCCATTGATGCAAAACACCTGGTGAGTGCCTTTGATAGAGGAGATTCTCCATGCGCACTCCGCTCAAGTCGTCTCCTGTCTTTTAGTATTGGCAGGATCTCAAGCATATTCATGCTTCACATCCCTGGTAAGAATTTTCCAACTAAATTTCGATTGTCGCCCTTTTTGCCAGCAATACCTGGTCCCCCGCTTGCGCGCCTGGCTCCGCCGCTGGCTGCTGGACATCAGCGAAGAGGTAGGGGGCGTCCGCAAGCTCACTCCCGTGGAGGAGGCCGCCAATGCCGCCGCCGCAGCCGCCAGTGCTGCAGCAGAGGCGACAAAGATCATGAAGGAGGCCAGGGAGGAAGTCAAGGAAGTCAGCGCAGAAGGTGAGGCCGCTCTCTCATGCTCTTGAATATGCAGTGCGGCGGGAGTCTAGGGTCTGGTCAGTCAGGTTGGTACATTTGCCCCATGTGTTGCCTCGTTACTTGGTCTGTTTTGCAGCGTCTAGTTTGTCATACCTCAACGAATTGCCTCCTTACCACCGAGCTTTGCAGCTGACCGACTTCATGTACGCTGTTTTGCTTTTTATAAAACATATTCAGTAAATGTTGATAGATCTGCTGTCGCTTTTTGCTTGTCACTTGTCCTTCTCCGCCTCCATCTGCCCTTCCCCTCGAGCCTCCATCCTGGCCTCCCTGCAGGGGACCGGAAGCTGGAGGCCATCCTGGGTGCATTCCAGGCCCAGACGCGTGAGCTGACGGCCACTCTGGGCAGCCTGAAGGGGGCACTGGAGGAGCGCGAGGAGGCCCGCAAGGAGGCGCTCATCTTGGGGACGGCCAGTCACCCCGAGGGCGCGCCTCCGGTGAGCCTGCCAGACCTGCGCAAGGGTGAGCCCGCCATGGCAGCTCTGTATGTCAACCCTGCTGGATTACAAGCAGTCCACCCTTGTTGACCTTATCATGTCACGAAGACGTGATATTGAGGTTGGGTTTGTACATCGATCAGCAGTCAGGCCCGCTCTGACGGGACCCTCTCAATAGCATGTTTGTCCTGTCCAGTGAAGATTTACGGCTGCAACTGATTTGCATCAACGTACATATCTTGTAAAAATCCTTGGCAGATCCATCGAATCAAACTGGAGCTAAGATTCTGGCTTTGGTGCGGGGTCCCATCTTCGAGCCGCATGTCACTCTCTATGCGCAGCTATTCGGGCATCCACGAGTAAAACTGTCTTTGCCCGATCCTGCTTTTGCGCTGACACCCCGCCGCTCTTTGTTTGCAGAACTCCTCAAGTTTACCAGCGTGATGACGGGGTTCACCGGCACCCCCCCTGCGAATGAGGCCGCGGCGGCGGGTCTCTCTGGGGCGGACGTGTCGGAGCTGAAGGCCTTGGTACTGGAGCGCCGCGCCGCCGCCGTTCAAGCTCCCCGTGGCCCTGCTGTCGACCGAGAGTACGAAGAATCAGAAGATGGCCTGAACTGGCTGCAGTCCTCGCAAACGGCGTCCCAAAATGACCTAGCAACAGCCCCCCGGTATGATTCTGCTTCGAAGGGCCCTGTAAATACGAGCGTAGACCGCCGTGCGCTGGGGACGACTGCGGCCGGTCGAGCTGGTCCTGCGAACCAGGGCCTCGCGATGCAGCCCGCATCTGCGAGCATGGAGCCCCGTTACGAAGACGCGAATGGGTATCAGGAGAAAGGTTCACGGCCCACGTCAGCCAACTCGATGCCGCTGAGCCAGGTCGCCTCCGGTCAGGAGCTGCCGCACCGCCCAACCAGCTCGCCGGCACAGGGCCCCGACCACGCCCCCCACTCCCAGTCGTACATGGACGTCCTCCAGATGCTCAAGGACGGCAAGCCGATCCCGGGCATCCGCGACATCGATGACAAGCCTCCAAACCCCAACCAGCCCCCGACCGACCCCAAGCTCAAGCCCCGCGCCAAGCCCTGGGAGAAGGGCTTCCAGCAGGTGTCGGAGAAGCCAGCCAATGGGGAGGCACCCCCGCCGTTCAACATTACCAACTCCAGAAGCGCCGCATCTCCTGCCCCGGTCTATTCTTCTGATGGACAGGCCCCTTGGTGGCGGAAAGCACAACCCCTCTCGCAGCCCGGGGTCAGCGGTCCGCCGCAAGGGCAGGACGGGTACCCTCCGAGGAGCACGGCGAGCGGGGCTGAGAGCGAGAGTTTTGTGCACCCTGCGCTTGCCGGCGACATCGACCCCCCTCGGCCCCAGGCGGTGCAGTCTGAGTTGGCATCAGGAAGCGCCCCCGCAGACCCGTCCTCCGGCCCGAGGATCACGGAAGTGCACAGCGAACCAGTGGAGGCGCAGGCCGTCGAGGCGCAGCCGGGGCCCAGCAGCAGCAGAAGCACGTCCGGCGCAGGGGGGTCGCAGGGAACCGAGAGGCCGGGGCTGGGGACTGGCGTGCCAGCTGTCCCTTCGAAGCCAGCCTGGCGCCCTCCGGCCGTGCCCGGTTTTGCCATGCCAAGCGCTGCGGAGGCCATCAAGGGCAAGGGCAAGGTGGTGCCTGTGACGCCAATGGCGTCAAATGGGCACCGAGAGGTGCGAGCGGCGGCTACTGGGGAGGGTCAGGGGGAGGGTTCAAGTCAGAGTGGGAGCGTGGAAGGCACGGATGACAGATTCGAGAAAAGCTATGCAGGTGTGGTTCAGGCCGGAGGCGGCAGCCAGGAGAACGAAGGGATGGAGGCCGGTGGAAATGCGGAATGATGTTGAGATGCTTGTTGGCTGGTTGACAGTTAACTTTGGAGTTAAGGGACTGAAGCTACTTGCATCATCATAGAAGGCACAGGTAGCATGTCAGGAGACACGGCGTGTACTCAGCCACTATGTACAGTCGAAGTGCATTGGTTCACTGTCTTGGACGTCGCCTAGGCCATTTCTTTTGCTCGACATCTTGGGAAGTGTTTGCAGACATGGTTATAGTTGTTGCCGGCATATCGACATTGACAATCTGGGACGAGGAAGCGTTTGAATAGAGTCGGATCTGACGAATCATGGTGGCAGCTTTAAAATGCATGATCCGTTTAATTATGCGATGAAGTTTGCATGCCAACCTTGAATCATTCAAGTTGCATAAAGCCGTTACATATGACATTTGAGTCTGGATTCAATCGAGTTTCAACGTAATGATGCAAGGTAGGTGCCTTCTCCAGAGCCTATCAAAAACCGTACGTGTAGCATGGCGCTGTATATTTGTTAATGCATGGTGACAACATGGCGCGTGATGTTGATCCAACATGAATCATCATGCGGATCCCAGGCGCTGCCGCTGAGGCTGATGCATGAGCCGCTGTCTCAGATCGTAGTGCAGTGACGTACCAGCTATTTTCCGCGTTATACATCTCCGTCAGTGCATAGCTTCGATAGACCAGATGTGTAAGAGCATCATGTATGCATTGGATATCGGCTGGACTCCATGAGCTAGCTTGCACGCTGAGCGCTCAATCTTATAGATTATAATTACATTTCGCGCGCGAGCGCTCGCGCTGCCGTGGTAGTCCTACCACCCAGCTCAGACTACCTAACTGGTGCCTCCCGTCCGCTTTCAAGTTTCACTGTTTCAGCACTCGTTTGATTTCTGGGCGCTCCTGTGGCGCCCTTGCACATGGGGCAAACCCGGTTTCCCAGCCGGGCTCGTTCTTAGAGTCACGGCAGCCGAACCCGTGGAAGCCGAACCCGTGGAAGAAGTTGAGCCATGGCGCGTCTTGTCATTGATGTGGACAGTGACTCTGAGGAGGACAAGAAGGGGATGTCTCGTCAAGGTCACAGCTTTACGGCTACCACCACAGGAGCAAACGGACATGTGCTCGATACAAAACCCGACATCAAGAAACTTCTTTTTTCTGGAAAGAGCCCGATGCCTGCCGTGGACACTGCTGAAGAAACGGCTGCGGGAATCAGCGGGCGGTGCAAAGTTGGTGCAAGCGAGGGCCGCCCGCCCAAGCGGATAAAGACAGAGCCTGGGGAGGCGCCTGTTGAAGGGGCTGACAGGCAGGGTCAGCTTCCCGGGGGAGCCGTTCAGAATGGTCTTAGCCCAGGGGGGCACGGTCCTTTTGTGGACGTGAAACCAAAGTTGGAGCCTGTTGAGAAAGCTGGTGGCGAAAGGGCGCCAGAAAGTCTTGGTGGCATGCCGCCAGCTGGCAACAAGGCATCTTTGAGTTCGGAATTGCATAAAGCATCAATCAGCAGTGCGGGCCAGCCAGCTGGCACAACCAACGCGGATGAGGACGCACTTCCCGAGACAGGCTCATCGGAGCCAGACCCTGATGAGGGGCTAGAGGAGGGCGAGATTGAAGATGTTGACGCCAGAATTCTGCAGGAACTGGAGGAGCAGGTGCGCAAGCATGCGGAGCTGCTGAAGAAGAAGCAGGAAGAGCTGGAGAGGGGGGCCGCGGGCGGGGGCAGCCAAGGCCCCTCGCAAAGCCAGGGTCTGGAGGCGGGGAACGGCAGTGGCCCAGAGAGCCGAGAACTTGTCCGTGCAATTGGGATTGATAGCAATGCTGCGGAAGGGCCCCCACGCCGGGCGGGGGGGAACCGGCAGTTCTGGCATGCTGGGGAGTACGAAGTACAGCAAGGGATTGTACCAGAAACAACAGGTGCGCTGCAGCTTGTAAAGAAACTGGGGACAAGGCTAAGCTTTTTCTATCTCGGGCTTGGCCAGCGTCCGGGCAGGTGAGACGGACCATCAGTATGAGGGCTTTGGAGCCTGGTCGTCAACAGCGGCTATACCCACGGCAGAAGCAAATGAACTTTTGATGGAACTTAACCTTTTGTATCATGGCCTCTGACATTTCCACCTGGCATAATTGTGAAAGGAGCTGTACCATCTAGAAGAGCCTGTCCCGCCAGTTCGATTTTCAAATAAGCCTCCTTTAATATGACCACCACGGATTGTGTGATGAGGGCAACACTGCAGGCCACAGGGAGTAGCCCATCTTGTGGTCTTTGCGTTGGCACTCGCTGTGATACAAGTGTTTCTTATGTTGGAATGTCTGTTTTAATGCAGTTTCCTTCAAAAAGTACTGCAAACACCATTTGAGTGGGCCAGTAATTGGCAGATTGTCAAGTTCCTTGTCGTTGAGGCATTGCAATGTTCTGAATACAAGAACAGAGGCACCATGAGAGCTCTAATGACCAACACGGAAGCAGGGTGTGTAATGAAAAGTCAATGATGACTTTCTTTACTACAAGATATTCTTTAGATGACTTTCTGAAACCCCAGAACTCGTCTGCCCTTGCAGGCAGCATGGCCCACGTGCGTGTGCACCCCAAGTTTCTGCACAGCAACGCGACAAGCCACAAGTGGGCACTGGGCGCCGTAGCAGAGTTGTTGGACAACGCCCTCGACGAGGTGCAAAACGGCGCCACTTTTGTCAGCATTGACATGGAGCTCAACCCGCGCGCCGCACTTGGAGTGGAACCCATGCTAGTTGTCGAAGGTGGGAGCCGCTGGCCAGGGTTAAAGACAGCATCTTGGTCTGTTGCAAGTCGGATCTTCTCTGCATTCACTTTGGCGCCAGCCTCCTCCTGCCAAAAGTTGCACTTTTGGATCAAGGCAAACAGATGACGAAAAATACCTGCAGTGTGACGATTATTATTCATCTGGGACTACACGGGTGTATACATGTTGCGTGACCTGCACGTGTTGACCCATGTCTGACCTGTTCTTTCGAGCTTGCCTGCAGATGACGGAGGCGGCATGGACCCTGACCGCCTGCGCAAGTGCATGAGCCTGGGCTACTCCGCCAAGACCAAGCTGGCCAACACCATCGGCCAGTGTGAGCCGCCCAGGTTTCCGGCCAACTTTGCTTTTTGGTCATACCCTGAAAAGCCGTTCTATTATGCCAACTGTGTCATGTACAATATGCATTATCCCCAATGCTTTAGATCTCAGCGGTTGTCCTTTTTATCCTTCTGTGGACTCTTCATAGCCGTCAGATTGCATGTCTGGACAGATGGGCGCTTACCTTATTGTGCGCTTCTGATTCGGTCCTTCCGTTTGCAGATGGCAACGGCTTCAAGACCAGCACCATGCGGCTGGGTGCTGACGTCATCGTGTTCACGCGCTGCCCTGGCATGGGGGGGCGACCTGCCACTCAGAGCATCGGCCTGCTGTCCTTCACGTTCCTCAAGAAGACGGGGCACGAGGACATTGTGGTGCCCATGGTGAGCATACCCTGGCTTCCTGAAACTGCTCCCCTGTGTACTTGTCCTCACTTTTGACTTCGTGTACCAGGCCATCAAATCGATGAGTGATGGATTGGGTGGCAGCAGCTCTCCTTGCGTCTAATTCTGGTTTCTGGGCCTGGGCCACATGAAGGACGTCACTGGAAGGTCTGGTGTCTGGTGGTCCGCATTGTTCCTGTCCTCCTTTCTCAAGGCCTGTGCTCGAGGATTTGGCAGGGTCTCGGTCGTCCTTGCACCACCTCGACAGTCCATGCATCCCTTTGAGAACGGGTTGCTGTTGGAGAACAACCGGATTAAGCCGAGCACCTTTTTGGTTCCTGGTGTACCACCATCGGCTGTCGACTTACCAATGGTGAGAGGCTTAGAACTTCTGGCCTCTACTTCCAGGTGGATTTCGAGGTGGGCGCCGAGGGCACGCTGCGCCCCGTCCTGGCGGGATCCCTGGAGGACCATGCGCGCAATTTGGACACCATCTGCGAGTGGAGTCCCTTCGCAACGCAGGAGGCGCTCCTCGACCAGGTGGGCTGTCGCCAGAGCGTTTGATTGCCAGCCGATTAAAGACATGATGATCAGGATAAATTGAAGGTTGCTGACAGTTGTTGATTCACCATTTTTGCTGGACTTGTCCCGCTTTTCCGTTGGCTGCTACATGTCATGTATGGAGGCGTGAGCCCTGTCTTGGTTGTGCAGTTTGGCGGCCTGGGCTCTCACGGGACGCGCGTGGTGATCTTCAATCTGTGGGAGAATGACGACGGCCTGCTGGAGCTCGACTTCGAGACGGACCCGCGCGACATCCTGCTGCGCAGCCGTGATGTCGACACCGAGAAGGCCGAGGCATTCCCGGACTCGCACGTCTACTTCACCTACATGCACTCACTCAGGGTGCGCTCACATTTTTCCTCTCTTTGTTCGCCCGCTTGTGCGATTGCAAGTATGGTCGTCATGTTGGAATGCATGGCAGCCGGCTGAAGGCGTTCGTGTGAGTCGTAGCTGCCTCATTATTATCAAAACTCTATCAAAATTTTGTTGCTTTCTGGGTAGTTCCTTTCCCTCATTCTTCGTGGCTCTACATTTCTGCCCCAACGTACTTTCAAATCAGACCGAGGTCCCGTTTTTCGATTGCGCTAGCATCACCCGCGTCGTTCGGAACCCCACGATCCGCATTCGTTTCGCTTGAATTGCCTGAATAAAAAGCGGAATGCTCAGCCGCAACACGATAGAGTCAACCCGAGGACCGCTATAGAGCATGTGTTGATTTCGCTCCGGCCCTTCTTCTGGCAGAACTACGCGTCCATTCTGTACCTGTCGCTCCCCCCCGGCTTTCGCATCTTCTTGCGCGGGGCCGAAGTGCAGCACCACTCACTGGCGCACACCCTGCGCCACGCCAAAGAGCTGCTGTACCGGCCCCACATGGGCGAGGACGCACGCGAGGTGAGCACTACCTGGGGCTTCAAGTCATGCTTACGCCATCGACGACGTCACCCGGGTTTTTGGTGGTTGTAGGTCTTTTGAGATTGGAGCTTTCTTGTTTGTTCTATTGCTTTGCCGGAAGGAGTGGCCTGCTCCGAGGCTGGTCGGCAATCTTCTCCCCATGGACATGTTCCCTTGGGTGCTCGCACTTTAGGTTTCTGCTAAAGTCTGCCCGATTCAGTCCCTCCCTGAAGATCGTTTCTTCCGACGTACAGAACGCCAGCGTTGTGACCACGCTCGGGTTCTGGGTGGACTCCCCTCCGCTGGACGTGCAAGGCTTCAACGTGTACCACAAGAATCGACTCATCAAGGTAAGCGAGGCCTTGTCGAAACCGGATCTTACCAGCAGCTATCAGCCTGGCAACTTGGCAGGAGGGACGGAACAGAAAGAGCCTTGCACGGAGGGAGATTCACGATGGAGTATCTTCTAGGGAAGTCTCGTCAACTACTCTATCCATATGCGAAGGTCCTGAACTGGAAAATCATAAGGGCGGAGCAGTATTTCACCGTTGTCCTTCGTACATCCAAGTTGGATCGTTTTTCCTCCCGTGGATTCCATCCTTTCAGTGCTGCCCCTAAATTCCTTGCTGATTGGTGTGCTTCTGTTGCAGCCCTTTTGGCGGGTGTGGAACAGCGCGAGCAGTAACGGACGAGGAGTGGTTGGTGAGTGGATTTGCCTAGCTACCTTCCGTCAGTGTTAAGCTTTCAGAGAGTGGAAAGTGCAGAAGAGCTAGGCGCATTACGCCTTGAGGTGGTCTCTACGGTCTGAATCGCAAAAATGGTCCGTTTGCGGTGCTCTGATAAGGAAACTGCTTATCAAGGGAGGAATTGTGAATCCTTGACAACAGACTCGGACGTCGGCATACTCCGCCTTCTGCTGATGCCTGCTGACTGTGTTTGATTCCTCTGGCTTCGTCTGTTGCTGAGCTAGTGTTGATTTCGTTGGAGCACGTCAAAGATTTTTGGGTGTTCCCGAGCTTGCTATAGCCACCTACTGGCAGGGTTGAAGTGGCCACGCCAAAGACTGCCGAAAAGGCCTTTAAGCGGTAGCTATTAAACAGACCACTGATAAGATTGAATGGTGGTTCACTTAAGGTGCCACCTCTTCGCTATTGCGGGATTGCTGGTCTCTCCCAATGCTGTCTCTCTGCTGCTGACGCCCCGGTTCCGCTTCGTGGTGCAGGCGTGCTGGAGGCCAACTTTGTGGAGCCTGCGCATGACAAGCAAGGCTTTGAGAGCACGCCCGTGCTGCAGCGCCTTGAAAAGTGGCTCGCGCGCTCGCAGAAGGCCTACTGGTGAGCTGAGAGCACGTGCTGCCATCCTCGTTTCCCAAAATGCTTGGAGACCTGACTTTGTACTTCTCCAGATTGTCAGGCAGCGACTGCTTCAGTAGCCAGACATGCCTTCATTCTTGCAAAATGTCGAAGATGCTGCAGCCTGAATTTTGACAATCAAAGCTTTCTTCTCCTCGAAGAAGACCGAGCCCAGCCCCCTCGCCAAAAGGCCCTCCTCCTCGTGCCCTCCAAAGCACATCCGGTGACGTCAGCCTTCCGCAACGTGCAGGAACGAGTACTGTGTGCTGGTGGGGTATCAGGACAGGGCGACGTGGAAAAAGCGCAAGCCGGGCAGCGACCCGGCGTACCATGCCCCCAGCACTGCCAGGAGCCCCCGGGACGACCCACCGTTTACCCCGACTGAAGGAGGCGCAGGGCTGGACTCGCCCTCGGTAGGCGACCCCGGCGTCAGCCTTGCAGCCCCGCAGGAGACTGGGGGAACAATCGAAGGACTGGACCAGGAAGATCAACCGCTTCTGTATCGCGTAAGGACGCCGAAGGCGATTGGGGGGTGGCAAAACGGGAGTCCGGCGGCAGGGGCTGAGGAGCCGAGAGGAAGCGGAGGCGTGGGGGGGCCATCGCCTGCAGAGAGGGCTGAGACGGCAGCCCGGGTGAAGCAGCTGGAGGCGGCGGTAATGGAGAAAGATGCGCTGCTAAAAGGGCTGGAGCAGCACGCGGGGAAACTGGTGGAGGCGGTCGGGGAGCGCGAGCGGCGCGCGGCGCAGCTGGAGGCGCAACTAGAGGAGGAGAAACGGACGGCGCGGCTGCTGGACGTGGCGATGGCCAAGCTGCGGGGCATGACTGCCGCGTGCGAGCAGCAGAAGGCGACCATCGAGCAGCAGAGAAGGGCGCTCGAGGTCGCCGAGAGGACCGCCGAGGCGCTCCGAGGTGACGTCAGCAGGGAGGCTGCGAGAGTGGCGGCAGCGCAGAAGGAGATTGGAAGTGTGCGAGAGAGGGGGGAGGCAAAGGTGCGAGAAATGCAGGCGGAGTTGAACAAGGAGCGGGGCTGGAACGGCGAGCGCGCGCTTCAGCTGGTGAAAATGGAACAGGAACTGAGCGCCGCACGGGAAGGAAGTGGCGCGGCGCTGGCGGCCGAGCGCGCGGCGCACGCAAAGGCGCAGGAGAAGCTGAAGCTGCTGGCGCGGGACCACGTGCACCTGCGGCGGCAGCACGACGCGACGCTGCAGAACATGGCGGCCCAGGGGGAGCGGATCGAGCAACTAGAGTGGCGGATCAGGGAGGGGGCCGAGCACAGGGTGAAAAGAGAGCCGGAGCCGATCAATGGAGGTGAGGGCGAACAAGAGGAGAGACGAGTAGGGGGCGAAAGGAGCGGAGGAGAAGGTGGGGGCGCGTTAAAGAAGATGCGGCGCACGTCCGACAGTTCAGAGGTTTTGGAGGGGGGTGTGAAGTGGCCGGTTGCGGAGGAGAGGTCCGTGAGCCACCGGAGTCTGGCGGGGGAGGAGGACGATCTGCGAGCCGAAATGCGGCGGCTCAAGGAAGAGTTCGCGGCGATGAAGGAGCTGTTGTTGAGCAAAAGCGGTTGACACAGGTGTTTTGTACATACGGAATATGCTGAGAGGAAACTTCCCATACCTGATACTGTGTCTATAGTAAGTATGCACTTTTGTGGCCTGACGTTGAGCAACGTCCCGCGGAATGCATGAACAGAAATATTGCGCCCAAATAGAGTCACAGCCCTAGTCAACTTTAGTAAAGCCTTCTCAACGTGTGTTTGCTTAGAGGACGTTCTTATGAAATGTCAATGAGAAATCTAGTAGGGTTACTATAGGGGATCGGTGATCTAGAAATGTCCCAGCTGTGCGAGTAAGGGCAGCCCCGTCAGACAGTCACTGGGTCGCTAGGCCGGTGCTGAACGTACACTAGTTCAGTTGATCAATTCAAAGCCATGACGTCACTGTGAAAAATGGGACGCAAGCATTCAATATGTCAATGCATGAATTAGCTAGTATACGCAGTGCCAGCCATACCACGGTCATGCGCCGCATGCAACATGATTGTCAATCGGTGCGCACAAGCAAAAATATATCGACATTCGCGTAATGCATGCATGCAGTGCGCGCAGCTAGTACTAAGACGCGGTTCCGCTGAGTTTCGATCATTCTAATAATATAAGACGCGCCAGCGCACTGTAATTCGCGAATTCGACATATACATATATGCGTGGAGCTGCCGGATCGCTCCCTGTATATCGAGTTCGCTGCTTGTGGGCGCTGCCGGCGCCAGGACGCGGATAGACCCAACGCCCAGCTAGCTTGGGCCGCGGCGGCCATTAAAAGAATCGCTGTTAGTTATGACTCGGTGCTCGATACTTGATTGGCTCCGAAAGAATCGATGCACCTGAGGACTTTGGATCCCATCAGTCCCGGATGCCTGACAAGCGTTTTTGGATTGATTGCAAACCTGATCTCTTGCAGCATCGGTTCATTGCACAAATCAACAGGTTCCGATTCTCTGGTACACCTTTTCTTTGTCCATGCCATGTCAAGGTACCAATCAAGACACAGAAACTTTCGAAGGTTGTCTGACTCAAACAAGCCGTTTGATCGAATAGACAGATAGAAGCGGCTTTTTCACTGCCACCTCACTAAAACACGTATTTCACAGGCTTTGTGTCCATATTTTGATAAAATTATGCCTCACACATTTCGAATGCGTAGGCTGTACCTCTTCGATTACCTCCTTCTCAGACCTGACCATGCTTCTGGACTAACGTTCAATCAGACTTCGAACTCAAAACTTGCCCGCTGCCTTGTGTGCAAACCACTGCTCCAACACGCTCTGCACAGACAACCTTGATTCAGAACCGTCAGATGCCCAAGCGGATCTAGAGGGGTCGAATGTCTCGGGTCGCCATTAAAACCCTTGATGCCACGGGCAACCTTGACGTATCAGATTTGCCAAGGCAGAGACGGCCTACAGAAAAGGGCGTACAACAGCGGACAATTCAACAAAGGCGAACGCTGCGGCAAGTCTCCCCAAACACCAGAGAAAGCCTTGGAAACCCAAAGCCGCTGACAGGCCGCCTTGTTTTGCCAATAGAAATGCTTTCGACTCGGTATGCTCATTACGCAGACAGAGCGCGACTCAAACGCGGTGTCGGAGCCCACACCGAAAGCAGCCTCGCGCTTTGCATGACGGACCACGAGTACAGCCGAAAAGCGAACCGTTTTGCAAGACCCAGCCCAAGGCACAAACCCCAATTCCAGTGATAGGTCTCCTGGTAAGTCCATCCCGATCGAACATAGAATCTACTCTTAAAAGCACGTGAGAGAAAAGAGTACAGGCAATGTCCTAGATACACAAAGGGCCCAAGTCCAATCTTTTCATCCTGCCCTCGGACTAAACAGTTTCCCAGAACATGTTGGGTCGCTCACCGATCGCGAGGGGTGCTGAGCGAGTGCACATTCGATCTCGGCGGCGGTCACGAGGAGCTTCATCGGACGGAACTCGACGGGGTCACCACGCGGGCGCCTGTCCGCAAACGCCACCAGCTCGCGCCCCACCAGGTGCTGGAACGCCTGCCACGTGGCGGTGCCGGGGTCAGTCACATGGTCTTCAGTGGCACTTGCCGCAGGGACCTCCCCGGCTGCTTCGGAGACCTCGACAGCACCCAGTGGTATGTTTGCTCGCCGACGTGAGTAAAGCAAGATCCCAAAGGGAAACGCTGGAAGCAGAGCCTCAACGAGCCGCTTGGAAAAGAGTGCCTTTCCCTTGGTCGTGCATTCAGTGGGCCGGTCAAGCAGAGGCAACATTACCGGGCCGCTTGTGTGGTAACTGCTCAGTCGGGCTAGTGCACAGCCGGAGAGTCGGGCCTCACCCTGAGGGACACCCCGCGCGAGTAGACGTCAGCGGTGTTGTACAGCCGGAGCTCCTGGTACTCTGCACGCCATCCGATCCCACAATTTCAGCCATGCCTGACGACCAGCGTTAGCAGGGTAGCTGGCGGAACGACCTCGAAGATTAACCCCAGGCCGACCAAGACCGATTGGCACGGAAACCTCTGTACCCGGAAAACAGGATTGGATATTCGGAGAAACTGAAAGGCACGTGTAAACTGCGGAACACTTTGCGCTGGTCAATTCCCGGGCGAATCTGGCAGCTACCCCCGGGCCGAATAGACAAGTAAGTCTCAACAACTTCGATAACAAGATATCGCCCACCTACAGGTGGAGACTTCAGAATTGATCGTCTCTTAGACATGCCCACCTGCGAAGACCATGTTGAAGTTGTACTTGTCGCGCTCCTTCTCCTCGAGGCGCTTCATCGCAATAAGCAGATACAGCTCCAGCACGGACAGCCCTGCGACCACAAGGCTCAATCAGATTGACAACTCGAGCTTGGCCGCAAAGAGACGCTCGTAGGCAACTGCTAACGTCCCCTTTTGCTTGCGGTGCAGGCAGCCTGCTCACGGGTCGCCCGTAGTCGCATCAATTCAATCAATAGAACCTACGGCTCTTGTCCACACGACGTATCTTGAGGAATGCAACAAGAGTCGGTAGCAATTTGCTTAGAGTTCTAGGGTTTTTTCCTAACATTCGTGGGCTTTGGACGGGGTGAAGAAGTGCGCAGGGGATTCCGAGACGAGCCTGGGGGCCGACGTGCCCAAGCACGAGCAGGACTGAGCCAAACCAACGGAGTGAAGTACCCGGTTGAACCAGATACCAGTTCTCAAGAAGGAAAGCGCAGTTGGTTGCATGCACAAGGCAGGGCGTTACCTCGTATTGACTCGACGCGCGGCTCTATCTCGGCGGCATCCCTGGCGCTTTTGATGTCGTCCACCGTCAGATAACCGCGACTCCGGTCCATGCAGCACAAAGCGCGAAACCTGGACCGGATCAACGGAAAAGGCAAAATTTTGGCAGTGGTCGACTTGAACAGCGCTTCTCTAAGGAACAGCCAGTACGGAAAGGACAGAAGAGATAGAATCGGTTTCTCTTGTGTGCCGCGAAGCTCTATAAATACATATTCTCTTGCCGCTATAAACCAGTACCAGTCTCCAGTGATTGGTCAATGCCACCTTGTAGGTGGGAAATGAAAGACATCCTGAAAAACAAGGTGATTCAACCGTATACAACATGGTCAGACTTCCGTTATTTTCTATTCTCCAAGACTTTGATTCGCCACCGACAACAGCTGAGAATGTCTGAGCCTCCTTAGAGATCTAGTCGTTTTCCATCTTCATTTGAGCGGCCGCGTCGCTGCCTGTGGTCCTAGCAAGTGCAAATCATGTAAGAGCTGCCCCATAAGTCCGTGACAAGGGGCTCCTCCTGTCGAGAGTAATGCAACGACTTACCCAAGGTCAAGAAGGTGTCGGGGGCTTTGGTTGCGGGATATGTGGAAGTCCAGAATGGACTGCACGTCCGGGTCGGCCAGCACTTCCTGCATGCGACCGCAATCGGACATCGAAAGGCGACTCTGACCCCCTGCCTCAAATTGAACGTCGAAGAGAGGGTGGGCACGACAACTCGACGTAAGGAGACATCCATAACAAGGTTTCAACCGACAATGCTTGGTCAGAGGGGTCACGCCGAAGCTGTAGCATGCAAACAGCGTGCGTTAGCAACGCCACTGCCGTGCCATTTGAGTTTCAGCGGGTAGAATACGCTCAATTTTCAGAAGCAAAGGGTCCAAGCAGACGGCGTTCTTGACTAGACACTCTGATTTCCACCTACCTCCACTCGCTTGTTGAAGCGGTCCGCGAACTCGGGATAAGGGAATGATGGTGGCAACCGCAGCGCATCAGCCAGGATGCTGCAAAGAAGGGCCAGTGGGTTGGATGAGATCTCATTGGAGCTCCAGGCCTACTGCAATTGCTCGAGAAGTAAAGTGAATACAAGAACGAAAAACTGTTCCATTTGCGTGTGAACAGGCAAGCAGGATAAGAAGTGCGACCCCAACGTGACCCCAGCGCCGCGGCATGTAGATACTGCCTTCTATAATGCTGCGCCCTCTCTAACCTCGCATATGTCTGGTGCGAGATGACAAACTTTTTACTTATGTCTGCCGCTTCTTTCCGCATGCTGAACTTCTTTCTCAACGAAGGTCCCCTTTCAAGAAAGCTTGGGCGGTGCGGCACAGGCAGAACTCTCACCAACAAAGCGTCTCAATCTTGTCATGCACACTACAGGCTCTGACAATCCTTGCTTCTGGATCTAAGTGGGCAGTCGTCCGCACGTAGACCGACCAAGCATGGCCCGTATGCTGCTTGTCCTCTCCTCGCACGGCCTTGTCCGCATCTCGACCGAGTCTTGCCCAGGTCCTCGTGCAACATCTTTTCCACACCGTCCGCATTCTGCGGCACCTCGTCCGGGCCGTATCCGCTCACCTGACAAGCTCGTTCGCCTTAGGTTCCAGCACCTGCAGCCGCCGGTGCGAGAAGCGCGACCGCACCCGCTTCTCCAGCAACTCGTCAGCGTCCTGCCCACAACAGACAGTTGGACGTTTGACACTGCTTACAGGTGCAAGGCACTGGCGGGCTTGATTTCCAACTGCGTTCGCGACTTGCCAATGGGCGAGACGACACTACTTTCCAGATGCACGTGATATCACCAATCAGAAACAATGATTCGAGAGAGGTAGCATGAAAAGAAGAAATCGAGCAAGGTAGCAAGAAAAGCATATTGAATGATAGGCACGTGGAATGGTCCGAGCGAGACAAGAAAGGACTGCATCCAAGCTCAGGTCGCCTTTGGGGGCTCACCATGCGGCAGCTGATGCCCACGACGGCGGCCTGTGTCTTGGACGACTGGATCGCGTCCAGCAGATTATACAGCAGCGTCTGCTTTGGACGCTGCACACGAATGCGAACAAAAAGGTTTCAGCAAAAGTTCCCCGAGCAAAGGTCCAAAAGCGCCTCCAACAGCGTGGACAGGGAACGAACAACTGGCGTCGGCAAGAGGCAATGGCTCCGCGAGTTCGTCATTCGCGAACTTCAAGGAAAAGGTCTGAGATGAGTTTATGAAGGAGCATTCAGGACAGCTTTGGTAATGGGCTGGCGGATCGAGTCCTGTTACCTTCCGAAGTTATTCAAGGGGCCATGCAATGTGCAGGCGCTTTGGTTGGATTCGGTCGAATAGTCCCTTCATTGAATCTCTACTGGAATGCTTTAGTCCCGTTCTTTCTGAAGCTGCATGTTCTCTGCCATAGAGTGCTTTATAAGCAAGGGAAGAGCCGATCCGGTAGAAGACTTGGGGGGGGCTCACCTGGGCGAAGAGATCAAACTCGTCCAGAACGAAAATGACGGCGCGGTGAGCTTTCACGCACTCCCTGATATGAGGCAAGATCATTGTCAGCATTGAGTACGACAAAAGCGTAAAATTACCAGCTGAATCTCCGTTACGGTGTGTTCGGGAAACGAACGGGCCGGGCGAAAGAACCGCTTCATAGAAGAGGCACAAATCGATGAGTCGAACGTCGTCAAGCGCTTGTGGGTTACACACAGAATGAGTAAGGTTTCGGAGATCTTGAGGGAGGGTCTCCTCCCTCAAGATCGCGGGAGAAAGAAAGGGCAAAGCTTACGTCAGAATGTCGGTCAGGAAGCGCAGGTTCAACTCGAACGTGGACTGCAAGACGACAAGCGCAGAATAGGCTTGAAATTGGTCCACATGTAATATCCTCATGCTTACTCTTTCGTACAAGAACCAGCTTTTGGGAAGAGACAAGGAGAAGATGGACGCACCAGAACTTTCGAGAGAGCGTCAACCTCTGTCCTTTGATACATCAGCGGCAGGGAAGGCGAATGCCCCTTGACTTTGCAAAGGTCCATCGAACAGAAGAAGCATCGTCCATGGGTTCCATAACCTTCATGGTCTCTGTAATGTGGACTTACAGTCTTGGAGGAGATGGCTAGATCGTTGTCCTCACACAGTTGACGCGCAATCTCCTGCTCAATGACGAGATCTCCGGTTGAATAATGCTCGAGGAGTCTCAAAGCGTTCGCTCAGGGGTCGTTGACAATCTGAAGCGTCAGCGAGAGTGGCAATGTTCCAACACGAAACCAGCAGATGCATTCTCAAGCGGAACCAAAAGCTTCTGAAGATCGAAGTCAAAAGATCCGCGTACTTGATAACGGCTTTGGGAATTTGAATCATCCGTTTCTTTCATCCACCATGACACAAATCCTTCAAGACCAACTCTGGATGCTCTCTTCCCTGCGCTCTCAGGCTTGGAAGATCCCACTGGCTTCGGCGAAGGGATTTGGATGGCCTGGGGGATCAGAAGGAGAACCTGCCCTTGTGAGAGCATAGCGTTGTGCACAAAACCAACGCCAGCAAGTCGGCTCACCTTGAGCGCAGTGCGCTCGTCCGCATGCACGAGACCGTTTAGTCGAACCTGCGCCAGAGACGCGGCTCAGAACAAAGAAACACAGCAAGAAGGTGGCGCTACAGGGCCTCTCTTGACGTTGGAGGGACGTCAAGGGTGGCCGCTTCAAACACTAGCTTAGCCCGCCCAAAGCATAGCGACGCTTCTGTGTTCAGTTCCAGTGGACTACTCATTAAGATCGGGGGACTATCAGATCGTCGAGGACACCACAGAAAACCGCTGCTCGCTGGCCCTCGAATCCAACTCAATCAGATATGCAATCGTCACAGTCCATTGAAAGGACATCTCAGAAAAAAACTTTATTGGCACCGTCGATCACGCCACCTTCCCACCACGACGAGACTCACCACGGTGACCCTCTCTTGGAACTCCTCTTGCAAGTCGCGGATCACTCCGTCCACGATCTGAAAGAGCACTCCAAAAGTGAGGGTTTTGCGCTCTGTCAAAGCCAAGTGCTGTGGAAAAAAGTATGCCGAAAGCTAACACTTTCAGAGCTCAGAATTTGGATTACAATAAAGCTGTTGTTTTCACAGTGCCTGCATTTGGTTGCTGATCAGTGAAAAATGGACAGCAAATCAATGCACAAGGGCAAACTCCACATTGGATCAGAGTCAGTATTTTAACAAGACGAAAGGAAGTGACCCCCGGCGAACACCCTAAAACCGCCTTCAACCAGAATCCTTCAATCGACGGTCGAATTGAGTAGATCTGATAAGTCAAGACCGTCGATCCTAGGAGGTTTAAGCTAGGAGGGGTCTCTCATGTCGGCTTGGGAGCGCAAGCTCTCCCTCCTCGACGTTCTGACAACCTTCTTTTTATGTATCTCGTCAGCCTGCAGCCTTGACCGGCCCCACTCCTTGTCCAGAATGCCAACGAACAGAAGTGCATCGTGGCACTTGCTTTCAGCAACCGTGTGTCTCTGACAAATGTGGCTAAGCACCACACTTTGGCTTCTCAATGTGGTGTCAAGAGACTTGAAAGGCACCAGTCGACGCACCGCGCTTTTCCCGCCCCCCCTGGGCCCCAGCAGCAGCGCTGAGACGTTGAGCCCCTTCTCCACAGTGTCTGCCAGCAAAGTGTACAGCTTCCTGGATACAGCACGGACAGAGGCATCAGCAGGAGGCACCGTGCCCAGCTTCCCTTGGGATAGCGGCTTGCTACTTTTGCTGGGCACCATGAGTTGTGTCTCTCAGCCTCATGCCCTTCTTGCAGATGCATTGGTGGCGTGCGTACAGAAACTTGAAACAGCCCCCTTAAACATATTCAATCACTTTGAGGATCCTAATGCAGGCGTTCAGATCTTCACCTCGACAAAAGTTAGAGGAGTTCGAAGCAAACACGCTCTTGTCAGAGTTCGGAGATTGGCCTAACCGCCTGATAGGCGTGTGCCAAGACCTGTCCAGCTGGACATAGCCAGGCCTAATCCCAGCACCATCATTCCAGCCAGAACACAGATTGATTCCAGTTTCAGTCTGAAACAGAGATATATGAATCTCAAAACATGAGAAGAAACACTAGCTCACTTCTGGTGTGCTACAAACTCCTCCATGCCTGCCGCCCGCCCCTCCCGATCCCCTGTACTCCACCCATCCAAGCCAAGCAACCGCCCCTTGAGCAGTTTCATTGCAGCACTGACTGCCAACTCGTGGGCGCTCAATGGCTCCTCTCCGGCGCCGCTCGTCTGGGGGTCCTCTAGACTTCCCTCTTCATCGACTGTGCTCCTTGGAACCTCTTGTGCCTCCTCGATGTGTGGGGGTGCTGTGGGCTCGTCTATGGCAACTGGGCTCTGAGGCACTTCCATGTCTTCCTCCGCAACAGGGCTTTCTGCTGTCTCCGGCCCTTGCTCGTTAGCCCCTCGTCCTTGCACCACCTTTCGTACTGTGTCTGTTTCAAGGGCAGTAGTCTGTCCCTCCTCACTAGTCCCTGGGATAGCCCTTGTCTCCTTACTTCCAGTCTCCGGACTTCCAACATCACCTGACTTGGCTCCAACATCCTTTTCCCGTTGACGCTCCCGTGCCTTTTTGCCAGATGCAAAACCCCTCTCAACAGCCTCCAGATACAGCGGGTGGTAGTCCCGCTGCCGCTTCCCTTTCCTTCTCCCGCTGCCTTCCGGCGTTGTTTGATCAGCTGGCGGCGACCCAAATAAACGTGCCTGCTCTTGGCTGGCCTGAGATGCGCCAATGCAGACAGGGTGGAGGGTCTCTGGAGTCCGCAGGTCAATTTCTGCCATCTGGCGCGCCACGGTGGCCGCGCCTATCGGATTTGCGCCCCGAAACTTTCTGCCGCGGAGGGGAGGGGTTTCTGCGGAGCCGCCTGTATTGCTCTGTTTTTGGGCAGACCCGGAAGCGCCCCGAAGACTTCTCCTTTCTGGGGTGATGTTCAAGGAGTCCTCTGCAGATTCATCCTTGTTCCTAGTCTCCTTCTTGTTTACACCAGCAACTCTTATCTGCTCCATCTCTGCCATGTCGCTCTCATTCCCATTGGACAGCTTTGATGCAGATTCACCGCCAGCCTGCTGGCCCCTTCTAGCGGCCTGCCTCATCTGTTTTGCATTCAGCTCGCACGCCCGCAGGATGTCTGCAGACTCGTGTACCGAGAGCACCTGCTGGCCATCCCTTCTGGTCTTCGTCATCCTGAGCAGACTCAATGGTGGTGAGCGGATCCTCCAGATGCGCGAAGAAAATTGTTCAAGTGATACAATGCTGGACGGAATGACAATGTGAAATTGCAAAGAAGCCTGGGCAGTGGGATTCTGGGAAGTTAGCCTGCCCGGACTCGGAGGGGCGCCCACTGATCACCGTCTGTTTCAACACACCGAGTTTGTGTGTTTTGGCGCGAAAATGGAACGAATGACGTCGAATCTCGAAAGCATCACAAACCGACCACGGCAGAAACGCAGGGGGCGGCACTGCAGACTCCGGAGCGAGGGCCCGGGGATTCCGCATTTGGCGCCGCCCTTCTGACGTCAGTAGGCGCCATTTTCATTGGCCCAGCTCCCTTCCTTAGACTCTAGATAGAGTTCCTCAAGTAGAGTTCGACTCCGAGGGGCGCTTGGGTCGGCACAAACATTGAAACAAGCCCTGAAACAAGTCTTCAGGTTGCGCTGACAAGTCAGCAACTGGCGCGAGCAGGCGGCTTTGAATGGTTGGCCTTGCCTACAAAAATGTGAGTTGGGCAATGTGGCCATTAATTCCGTGCAGTCGTGTCACGGGCGTTAGATCATGGCTCCTGAAGATTGTGCTGTGAGGAAGAAAAGAAAGGTAGTGTAGTATTGGAGAAGAGAGCTCCAGTCTTTCATTTGCCTGATGTATCTTAGAGATCCGGGCGTGCTGCTTCGATCTGAGTTGAAAAGTGTTAACATATGTAGCCCTTGTTCAAGCACTGGACTGCCGTGCCCTCTGGTTTTGACAACTTTGGTCCAGTATGTTCTTGCTTTGTGTCACTCACAGCAAGCAGTCACGTTGTGCCTATCCCTGATTACGGTGGTGGCTTTGCACAATAGTCCCGTGAGTGAGCAGCTTTCTTTTACCTTTTTGTATGTCACTCATGTGTTGTGGTGGCTGTGCATGACGTGTCTTTTTCCATATATGTATCACTATTTTCCAAAGCTGCCTGGTGCTGATGGGTGCCGGTTGCTGTATCCTAGGGGAGACTATCGGAGGGAGCACGATTGGCGGGACGACAGGGCCCACAAGCGCCGCCGAGAGGACCCGTTGGCATGCCATAACTGCGGAGAGAGGGGCCACTTAGCAAAGGTCAGACTGCTCTTCCATTCAGGGAAATTTCTGCTATCTGTGGATGTTAATGTTCAATCAAGACGCGTTCTTGGTGCTCATCTTAAAGTGGCAGGAGAAGCGGTAAGCACCATTCATTGTGGAACCCAAGAGTTGGTGGTTTCTGTACCGAGCATCCCAACGGGGAGCAAACTTGCTGTTTCCTGCTCTGATCAAATTGCTTTGTGACAAGCAATTGCTGAATTTGAGTGGTGTACTTTATGGGTTGGTATAAAGTACGGCAACAGAATGTAAGAGCTATAAGAAAGGGTGAGCCTCTTCACTTTGAGAAGGTGAGCTTTTTTCGAACAGGCATTCTAACATGAGGTACACTGCACCCCATGCTAACATATCCTTGCAACCCCGTCCTTAAGTTTGAAGGGGAGGGTCCATCTGATTTTTCTGCCTTCATTGCAAAGTGGTTCTTCTGGCAGCAGCCCACGGAGTTGCGAAGGCACTACGGAGACCAGGACTCTTGGAGTTTGGGAGCTTTCCAAAGCTGCTATGCCAAGTCAGATATGTCCAATGTTGCGCAAGTTCGAGGCCATGCGGCACAGCATCACCGAGGGCGAATGCTACAAGAGGCTGAAGAGTGAGGTCAGGTCTGACCTGCCTAACTTGGTAAAACCCGTCTGTTTTTCGCACAACGTTGGAATCACTTGCACGAAAATGACCTCGGCCTTCAACAGCGTTGGTGGAGAGAGGTACAATCGGCACCCCATCAAATATTTCTTGAATTCACCTTTTCCTTGGCTCCTGAATGTGGGTGAGGCTTTGCAGGACTGCCTGAGCACGCACGGTAAGGAGATTAAAGACAAGGTCTTGGTCAAGGACCGGCGCTTCAAGCCGCGGGTTATCGGCACAGGCGGGGGGGTGATCAAGGGCCTCGAGCAGGAGCTGGGGGTAAGGTTAAAGGTAGAGGACGTGGTTAGGGACGATCCTGATCAAGGGTTCTACGTGCGCATCTCGGGACCCGGCCTGGACGAAGTTTGCAGGTGGGTTTGCTGCTGGGTTTGGACAACAATGGTTCGTTTCTAGTAAGGGTTTGTGAAAGGCTCTTCAGATGCGGCGGCAGGTGGGTGGGTGCCGATTGGGTCTGTATTCTGCCTTCATTTTGCGCGACAACTCCGCTGGAAGGCAAGTTGAGTGATGGATTTTAAGAACGTGGGCGTTTGGTTTCCGTGACAACCTGCTTGGGCAGTTTCACCATCGTGATTACAGAGGCGACTAGTATGCCTGGTTTCGTTGGGTAAGACTCGGACTTGCTCGACAAACTTGTTATGTTTGCCGTCTGGGTTGAATAGAGTGAAGGTGAGTCGGTCTTATCATCAATCTCTTCCAAGCTTTTCCCTTCTATGAAGGCACGTATTTTGCAGATTTTGCGCGGGTATTCTCTTCGTCTTTTCTCCTAGTCGAAAAGCGGCATCATTTTCAACGTAGGAGCTCTGCCCAGGTGGGATGAGCGATTCAACGAGAGCAACGATACAGGACCTGTTGTTGCTTGACATGTCGACCAAGGCGGGATCTACAATAGTTGGAGCATCGACATGACTCCGACGTCATAACCTCGAATCGTTGTCTGTACCTTACTATCTTTTCCTACAAGGCAATAGCAGGTTTGGAAGAGCCTTGTTACTTTGACGCCCCGAAGACACGAACTCTTTGCAGCAGCTCTTTCCGCTTTTTCATCTAGTTCCACACTTTCCCTTTCCAGGGCTGTGACTCGGCTGGAGAAACTAGTGGCGGAGGTCGAAGCAGAGCAGCGCGGGTTCGAGGAGCGCCGCGCGCAGTACCAGCAGCAGTTGACAGACACTCCTGCCGTCCCGGCAACTCTCACCCCGGAAGCAGCCCCGCAGCCGCTTGGAGTGGCGCTCAATGCGGCCCTCCAGGCCAGCGGAGCGCTCCCCGGGCGGCAGCAGTTCCAGTCCGGGGGGGTGGTGCCCCAGCGGTTTGGCGGGGGGGGTGCGCAGCGCCCGAGCGGGATGACGAGCCTCCGGCATGAGTACGCTGCAGCGATGAATGCAGGACAGGGTATCGGAGCTGGTCAGGTCCAAGGGGTGTACGACTACGGCATGGCGAACCTCAGCCAAGGGGGCGATCAGAGTGCAATCCTAGGTCGGACTTCGGATCAGGGGGCTAGCTTCGGCCAGGGGTTGGCTCCGGATCCGGGGCCGAGTGTCATTCAGGGGATGGCCTCAGGGCTGACTTCTCATGGAGGGGGAAACTACAACCAGGGGCCTGTTCCGGATCAAAACGTCACTTACAATCAGGGGGTTGCTCCGAACTACGCAATGGCCGGCAACCAGGGGGCGACGCAAAGTCTAGGGGCGAAGGCTGGCCAACGGTTCCAGTTCGATCAGGCGGGAACAGCTGCGGAGCAGAACATGGAGATGAGCCCCGACAGAAAAGATACGTCAGGTGCAGGGACGCCACCTGTCGCCGTCGGAAGCATTCAGCAGCCCGCTAACCCCGCTAACCTCGGAATCCACAGCGTTAGCCCGAATTACCCCACCGCGCCCGTAGGAAGCGCTGCGATGAATGGGCCGGGGCTCGGAGGAGCTGGGTATCCGGGGACGTTCTTGTACGGAGACGTGCAAAGTTACCCGGAGCAGGGGGCCCAAGGCGGGGGGGCTGCGACGACGCTAGACGAACTAGAGACGCGGAATATTGCCGAGTATCTCGAGTTGGCGAAGCAGCAAATGTTCGAAGAGGACGAGGAGATCAACCGGCATCGACAGGTGAGGCGCTCGGCGGTTTCGATTGTGTATGGTCGGATTGGCGAAGGACCTAGACGGATGGTGGATATTGGTGTGCTGGGCTTCGGCCAGATGCGTCTGGGTTGAGCATAAAGCCCAGCCTTTGTTTCAGGCACGTCAGCGAATTGGCAGCCAGTTGTCACCCCTGTTTGACATTGTGCTGTGCAGTTTCGCGTGCTTCTTTCTCCCGCGCATTTCCAAAAAGCTCCTTCTTTCTGTCATCGTGCAAAGGTGCTGACAACACGGCTCGTTTCTAATCCCCTAATCTTCATAGTCACGAAGTCCGGTGGTGACAGAACACGACGTAAGCAGCGGTCGTCTCGTCCTTTGCGTCCTGACCATTAGTACCGCATTCTGCAGCGGATGCGCGAGATCCAGGACTACTTCCAGCTGCGCCTCTCGTCGCTCCGGCAAAAGCAGTCGCAGCAGCGGGAAACGTTTCTCATCCTGGAGACACAGCAGCGCCCTCAACAACAGCTCCAGCAGTTTCAGCCGACCAGGGGAGGGAATGGATCTGTGAACCCGCAGCAAAGCCAAGATAAGCCGCTGAGTCTGGGGCTGTCTGGTCAGTATGGGCTGGGCAACTCATCCTGGGGCCCAAATGCGGACGTTGGGGCTTCTGGAGTCGAGGGAAGGCAAGGTTATGGGAGTATCTAGTTCAGGCGGACAGCGAGCTTCGAGTACGGTTGGAAGCTGCATCTGAGCTACATCGGGGCAGCCATAAGACAAAGCAGCGGTAGTCGAGGTCTATGATGAGCACTTTAGGGCGAGCCTTGAAAGGCTCTTGCAATCGCCCTACTTTAAGTAGGTAGCCATATCGTAAGTACAAGTGCTCCTGTTAACGAACAACGTTCCTACTATGCGGAGGTGGTGCAAATCGATCAAATACAGTCTGCATCAAATATCGTTTGAGAACAAATCATCGTCCGCAGCCATACCTTGAAAGTCGCCTCAGTGTTGCATACCAATTCAGTCCAAAGTGAACGTTGCCAGTCGATTGGATTCAAGATTCATACTTATTACGGTACATGTGTTTGGCCGCCATATGTTTCAAACGCATGTTGGTGACACTTGCAATTTCTCGATCAGAATGATGTGATCCATGCAGTCTTGTGCCTGCATGCCAGTGAATTAAGGAACAGCTGCCAAAGCTGTATAAACCGTCAAACGCTGGAGTCGCCTGATCTGCCGCGATCGCCTGATCTTGGATGATGATGCATGCGCGCCTGGCCCTGAAGCCACACTAGCTCTCGATTGATAATCGTAATGCATGTGTTGGCAACCATATGCATGGAACGATCGTAAGTACGGTCCAATTGGTGAAGCTAGGTGCATTAAGACTAACGCGCCACATGAGCTAATTCTCAGATCCGACCTGAGTCAGAACTTCAGGCCTCGATTCCATTTGTGATCTCGAGCCAATTCATGCAACCCAGCAGTGAAGTTGGAACCCGGCAGCAGGCTACCGTACAACACCGCGGATCCTGCCCCGACTCGACATGGCCCTGACACTGATGCAATCAAGTCGCTACCTAAACCATTCGCGCCGGCAATACGTGCGAGCTTCGAAGCGATCCAAAACTAGGCATGCTCGCCGCGAGATTGTTCATTGGTCAGCTGGCGACGAGAGAAGAGGAAAACGGCATGTGTATTGCACGAAGTCCTCCGGGCGATCAAGCGGGTCCGTGCACTCAGTTCCGGTTAGGTTCTGCAGCATGATCTTAGGTCAGTCGTGTCTGGTCAGCTTAATGATTGATGGCACCTAGATCTCGATTAGCTTCTGATCTGGGGTCAAAGGACAGAAGTGCGACTTCGTGTACCTAAAACATCTTTATCTTTGCATGAATTCTTCATCATTTCTCTATATCTCGGACACTGAGTGACGAATACAGATTCACATGAGCTAAGGAAGCCACTCTAACACCCAGTTCCAGCAAGCTAGTACAGTCCCATCTCAGCCGCACGGATCGCCTCTTATCTACCCGTGGCCTTTTTCTGCATATCTGCAGGATCCGTTCCATGTCATGTGAAGAATATCCTGCTATGTATACGCTGCCCTCTCGCAAACGTGCAATAAATGTTCCATGAATTATTTGGCAAGTGGACGCGCACGCGTGCATGGATCTCGAGCGCGCAACTGCACCAGCCCAGCAAAGATCTGTCCAGCCAAGTATCACCTGATCCTCTGTGTCCGTAGACGAAGTCCTCTAGATCGGAAAGCCGTGCTAGAAAGTTCCAGTTGTACCCCGGACTACGTGTACCGTGACGAAACGCTGTCCACCCGCCCCACGAGATCAGTTCTGCGCGGCTCTCCCAGGTTTGAACCGTCAGGGAGGTGAGCTTTACAAATTTCCCCAGCATGTCAAGGGCCTCACGCCGTGCTTGGAGCTCTTTCGGACACCAGACCCAAGCGAAATCGATCCGTAGTTGCTCCAGCCGTTCTGACGGTCTGACCGTCTTCAGAAAGTGGTTCAGATCCAGAGCCTGGTCATCGATATGAAGCTTCTTGAGGCAAGGAGCGTGGTCGACGATCTGAGCCATGTCTGCTGCAAAATCCATTCTGTCTTGGCCTACAAAACCAACGACAGTCAGGTCCACGAGTTTGGAGGCCGTGAGTCGAGTGGACAAAAGCAGACCGCCAATCGAGCTTTGGATCCTCTCCATGTTGGCAGCTGTCGTCACGCTGTCCGAAATCGAGTGACGCGTTTGCTTCCGGGGGATGCCTCGGATGCTCACTTTTCTCCACTCGACGAGGGGTATAACATCCTTCCAGATTGTCGCCACTGTTTGCGTCCATTTGGCTGGCCCGAGAGTCACTCTCAAGGTCTCCAGCTTGGGTTGGCGCTGCACGACTCCTGCAAGAAAGTCGGCGGGACCCGTTCTCGTCTTCCTCCATGCCACGTGGAGGGTCGTGACGTAGGCTTGGCAGAATTGCCGCCAGTTTCTGTTCACCGCCCTGATACTGCGAAGCCAAGACGCCCTGATGCCCGCCACCTTCAATGGAGCGCATTGGACAGCTGCCTTCAGTATCCTCCATTGCACGTCCTCTGGGAGATCTTCCAGCGTTGTCAGTATCCCCTCCTGCTCCATCTCGCTCACTAAGCGGCGATCAAGCAAGACTTTGTGTTTGTTCAAACAGAGTGTCTTCTCGTGGATTGAAGTTTGCCATGCTTTGTATACTCAGACTGCCCTCATACTGCCCTACCCGTGGTGACGTTCGGTAACGTCCCGCTCATGACGACGCGAAAGTCACCAGTAACCCGACTGCACACAGCGAAAGCAAACGGCGCCGAGCAAACCGTTGGGCCCTGACTAGCTGTCACTAGAACTTACACTCGAATAAAATCACTGGGCTCTGCCAAGGCTCCTTTACTTAGTTACTTCGTTTGACTTCGAATCTATAAGGCCGTCCAAGTAGAATTGTTCTGCTGGTCTGTTGATTGGTTTTAGCTTCTGTTAGTCGGTCTTTGAATGCAATGCTCTGGGGCCGCTCTGGCGCCACCCCGGCGCCACACTCATCTGCCGCCCACGTCAGGCCGCCTTCGTTTGGGCTTCGTACGTCTCGACCAATCAGTGAGGTCTATTTTCCCGAGCCGGCCAGCTATCAGCTGCAATCATTTTGTTGCTGTCGCATAGGTACTCTTTCTTTTCTGAGCAATGATGACGTCAGACACATGGGGCGGGCGCCGTTCTCACCGTTCAACGCCAGCGCAATGGAACTAGGCTTGGCCGATTTTACAGTGGCGCCATTATCGCCTAGTGTTTCCGACCAGACGTTTTCGAAAACGCTGGACAATTTGCAACTGGCAAAATGGATATCGACTATAGCTGCATTCCGCGTGCTTATGGAATCGTTCGTCGAAAATCGTTACACAGCCGGTAACGACAGCTTGTCGTTGTATAACTAGAGGCGAGCCACATGCTGACCTGGAGTTTGGCCCAGCACAGGAAAACTTGGCGGTCAGGCTGCGGCTGTGCTCAGTCATTTGCAGCTGGCGCATTCTTCATGAGTTCTGCTGGCATGTTCTCAGACAAGTTCGCTGTTCCACCGCCCTCAGGCTCAGGGCCATGTGCATTTTGTCCCTTGTTGCTCCTTTCCGGTGGAGCTACGAGAATTGCAACTTATTAGGAAGAGGGACACCTTCCTAAGTTTGATGAGCACAAGCAGCGCGGTCGATGGAACGTCTTTGGAGCTCTGACACGGCATCGCAAGAGAGTACAGAAAGTGCGTATAGGATCCTTGAGCTAGTCGAGCCATAACACCGAAAAAACATTTTGCCTTGAATACTTTGTGGAGAAGCCCCGGGCATTTGCAGTCCCTATATCCATTTTGAGCTGACGGCACTTGAATGCAGCAGGGTTTATCTTTGGGTGTGCGTCTGCACTTCTCTGAATCTTGTTTTTGCAGTTGAAACCCTTTTAACTTATAAGCTGGTTCACTTCTTTTCAAGCAGGAATTATCTCAAGGGGCAGAAAGGGGTCACCGTATTTTTAAAAGCAACTGCAGCATTGAGCCAATCCCAGGTTTGGAACTGAATGCTTTTCTTGAGAAAAGTTCAAGTGCATAAGTTGCAAAGTGGCCTTCTTTGTGCAGGTTGAAAAGGGCTTGAAAAGTTCTGCATGTCACCCAGCGCACCACTCAGCAGTCAGCTCAACGCAGACTACGACTTTCCAATACTTTGCAGCCATTTTGCTGCATACTGAAAGTCAGTACACCTTGTCTGTTTTGCAGGTCACGAAGGGAGTGGAAGCTTTCAGATTGTCAGCATGGATGACTCCCAGCTGGGGTTAGAAGCCAACCCTGAGATAATGAGCCTGTTGCATATTGCAAGGCAGGGAGATACCTGGCAGTTACTGCCAATCAACAAAGAACTGGTGAGTCTCAGGGCACCGCAGGCTATTTCTTCCTAACACAACCTGTTGCATACCGGTGTTCCAATGAGCTCCCTGAATGCCTAAGGCTGCGCTCAAAGAGGATGTTGGTTCTGCAAAAGTTTAGGAAGGCCCTGGGGTGCGCATGACCAAGACAGACAGGTGTCGCATTCCACCTCGTAAAATGCACTTCCTCAGAAGAAGTTGCAAACTGTGCTCTACCATGGTACAGAAGGCAGAAGAAATCTGCAGAAGATTCTCGAATGAAATCGTCAGACTATTTAGCAGTGATTTTGCGCGGCCTGCTTTTCTTTTCATCTTGTCAAATTCAACAAAGTTTCTCCACCTTGGCTGCAGTCGTTCGACCATGGTTTTCTCGTCACGGTGAAGGCCATTCAGGTGAGCGGGTGCTGCAGGAATCTGGCAGGCTCTGTTTGGCACCCTCATTCTGTATGCAAAGTAGGTCTTCTGGAACTGCCTGGCTTGCTAAATGCAAGACGGAAGCTGCTTCAGCAGTGTCTTATGACTGGTCAATCCAATTAACTGAATGACTTTGGCGCCGGGAACTCCTCCCCACCCTTTTGGCATGGCATTGAGAATCCTTCAAACAGACTTGGAATCAGCATGGTCTGTAATTCCGGGGTTTTGACTATTTGTGTCAATACCAAAACAAAAAACTCCCGTCGAACAGCTGCTGAGAGACAAAAAGAGGGGGGTAGTTCTCGTTGGACTGGGGGGGCCTAGTGGCGCTGGCAAGACAAGGCAAGTGACTCTGCAATGTTTAATATGTGGGCGCAACCTGTTATGCTCCTTCTGGGCACACTGGTTGAGTTGTCCTTGGCTGGTCATGTTCAAGCATGCTGTTGATTTGAGATCGGTCCGCCTGCTTGACTATCTGCACAAATGGCATGCTCTCTTTGTCCAAGCATCCCGCTTGTAGAGCTGCTGCAACTCTCAGACACAAGTCTATGAAGAAGAAATTGCAGCAAGCTGTGGAGACAAGTAATCAGCAAGATGCTCAAATACGTGGAGCTCCAACCACCTTTGGAAGATTATCTCCGCCAGAAAGACATTGAGAAGCTGCTTGAGCCCTGTCGATACATCGAGGCCTTTTGAGCCACTTGACTGCTCAACCAGTACGCACGTTGCTTTTGGCAGCCTGGCGGAAAAGCTGACGTCGGTGCTCAAAGGGACGGTTATCCACCTGGAGAACTACTTGACGGGGGGTGATGCCGACGACTATGATGGCCTGGACATGGTGACACTCCTCGACAACCTCAGGGTATGGATTACCGCTCTCAAGGTTATTGCAGACTGAGGCTCAGCCAATTGCAACATTGGAAGTGGGTCTGGATTGAAGACGATTTCTTTGCGGTTCTTCAGAGTTCCCATTCTTTTCTGGATCAACGTTTTAGTTTAAGAAGTGGCGCCTATGAAGAACGAGTGCTTTTTCGGGCTGTGACAACGTTCGAAGGGAAAGTTGGGTGACATCTTGACAAGTAATAAACCTGGATACTCTATCATTTGCTCCACTTTTTCATTGGATGAGGGTGTTGTTTGCAGGACATTACCAGCGGCAGGGACACCCAGCTCCCTATCTACAACCTGGAGCAGAAAGCGCGCACCGGGTTCACACAGTTCGAGGCGTCAGAAAGCAAGGTGGTGATCGTCGAGGGCACTTACGCGCTGCGGGCTGAGATACGGCCGTTTCTGGACATTCGGGTGGGGATGGTAAGGGCGTCGACTTCGTTCCTCGAGATCGTTATGGAGGGGCGAATCTGTGTCGTGCTACAATTTTGCCTTTGCTGACTGTCGAATCTTGCTCTGAGGCGAAATTGAGTCAAGGAACAGCGTCAAATTTCGGCAAGAACAGCGTCGAGGAAGGAACCGCAATTTGGAAAAGGAAAGCTCGATCGCACGGTTGATGGAGCCCCTATCAATGGTTTAGGATTGCTGCTCCGCTCAGTTGTCTTGATCATTCCTGACGGTCGAACGTCACTCGTTCGTCTCTCAACGCTCATCCTGAAAGCTCAGAATTTCGAAAGCTCTCGTTTCTCACTTATTTGTCCAAGTTCACACAAGTCAGGTTCGAACAATCTTTCCTGCTCCCGCAGGTGGGCGGCATGCACTTCAACCTGCTGCAGCGCATCCAGCACGACACCGCGCAGAAGGGGCAGCAGCTGTCCACGGACGAAGTGCTGGACGCGCTCTTCCCCAACTTCAAAGCGCACATCGAACCGGACCTCAACCAGGCGCAGGTACGGATCCGGGCAGAAACTGCTGTTGCATGCGCAAAGAAGCGAAGCTTGTTCAAGCTCCCAAGATGCTTGAATCAGTACATAAACAAGTCTTCTGCTCGTTCATTGCCTTCACGTCGAGACATGCGGAACGGTCAAGTTTTGCTTACAACTGCTGCCGTGCAGATCAAAATCAAGAACGAGCTGGAAGCGATGGCGACGCTGCGCAAGCCGCTGTACGTGGTGAAGAGCACTACGCCAGTAAGCAGACGCGCCTTTGCCTGAGCTCCTTTTATACTCGAGCTTCCCTCTTTCCATCCAAGCCCACTACTTTGTTCTCGACCTATAGCGAGCCCACCAGTATGTTGAAGCTAGCTTGTTACTTCGATCGTCCGGACTTGTGCGAAATTTGCGCTTTAAGGGTCCTGGTTGCGGTTCTCGAAGGTCCTGATTGCTTGCTGCAACAGCCGGCGAGGGGAATTGATTCCCTTTTTCGGTGCTTTGCAGGTTTCGCGAGAGGCAGTCGAAGCGCTGCTCGACGCTCGGCGTACCGTGCACAGAGAGGATAAGTGAGCGCCCTCTCGCCGCTTCCTCTTCGTTTGCAGGAATTTGGACGGCATTCTGCGCAGTCCTCTCAAAATCCCATCGAAGCTTGCAGAACATCAACCATAAGGCCTGTCTTACCCTCAGTCAAGCCTCGCAACCGTATCTGGTCGCGACCACTTGACACGGAGCATCAGGATACTTTTACGGCCAGAGATCGACTGCTAAAGCCGCTGCCATATTTCGTGCAGGTACTTGGATCTATATTTGTTCCAGCCGCAGTCTGGCAGGACCCCTCAGAACCAGATCAGGGTCAGAATTGTCAACTCGGCTCGCTACCTGATCAACGACTCGGCCAGTCGCATCGTCATGGACGACAACGTCATCCTCTCCAATCGGAACGAGTTTGAGGTGGGCAAAGACAATCAATCAAAGACACTTTTGATTCGTCCTGACCCATCTCCTTTGAGAGGTAACTTGATTTGGAAACGCGTCCGTTTCAACTGCTGAGATGCACAACTTGAGGACCAGTCATCTTCTTCGTATCCTATGAATCATGTCATAACAACTGGTTTTGGAGGGCGCTTACACTCTTCTTCTCGTGACACTGCACTGTGTGCTTGATCTGGACTTTTAAATTATGTATAATGACGGCGCAGATCGACCCGCGCACCTTCGGCCGGCTGCTCTCTCCCCCTCTCGGTTACGAGGTCGACGTGTCCTTCCGGCGGGAGTCGCAGATCTGCACGGACGGCCAGCTAACAGTGTCCCTCGACAAGCTGGAAATGGAAATGGACGTGCACAGCGAGTTCGTCCAGGTCAAGAGCACCGACCGCCACGTAAGCTCCGAGATCTGTATGGCTGCCGGTCTGGAGAACAGAATTGATGTATACTCAAAGGATTGTTCTCAGGTTGCCACCCGCGATGAATAAAGGCCCTTTGAATGGTCACCACTTTGTCCCCCTTTGTTCTGTTAGGATCAATCTGAAGCGTCGCTTTTTCGAGCAATCAGATGGTCGGAGTGCTTTCATTTATCAGAGAACAGCCTAGTCGGGTCACTTGGATATCCCGTGCTCGTGCTGCTTTTCAGGTTATGCAAGCTGCGGCGGCCAGGCTGGGGCTCACGAAAGACAGCTTGACGGCGAAGTCATACATGGAGATCTTTGCAGGACACAAAAGTGAGCCTTTTTCTCGACCATCACGCGCTGAACGCTCGGCGAGCCTACAAACGTTGGTTGGCTCGGCACGCATCACAGTCGGAACACTGATTGGGTCTTGTAGCGTCGCATAGGAAGTCTGCAAACATTCCCTTACCACGTTCCAGTGAGCATCAAGGTCGCAGGACGATAGTCACGGTCCGATGGACTTGCAATGGCGCTCAGCTGGGCCTTATTGACACACTCTCAACACTCTGTCCAATACTGCCATTCCTGTCTTCTCCCCAGGCGAGGCCCAGCCCCGCGCCCCGTCACCCCCCGTCGAGGAGCTTCTCCGCGAGTTCGCCCAGCCGCCGCCCCTGCACGCCCCCCAGCCCCAGCGCCCCGCCCCTCCTACGCAACGGCCCCCGCCGGTGGACACCTCCCGTGCCCCCCAAACCTCGGAGCCCTGGACCCGTTCCCCGACGAGCGCAAGCATACACGCGTCTGAAAACTGGTTGCTGCGAGCCCCTCCCGGGTCGCAGGTCTTGTCCCCTAGCCGCGCCGTTGAGTCGGAGCGGATGTCGCAGTCGGCGGCGGCGGGGCCAAGCGGCCGAGGGCTGCCACGTGGCGGCGTGAGGAGCGAGCTGAAGCCGAAGGACGAGTGGCACGCGTTCGAGCAGGGGCAGTTCATGGCACTGAAAGCGATCGAGGTGAGTGCGCTGCGGGGGTCTTAACCTGGCAGGACTGATTAGCCTCTCAAGCCATCTCCTCGGAGATGGTTCGTTTTAAGGGCGGTGCTCCTGTGCATGGTAGTCTCCACCCGTTTGAAACCGTTAAATCGTACCTTTGTCTTGCTTGTTTGTTTGCGCTCCTCCTAGATGCATGGCGACTGGAGAAGACACATCAGTGACCCCTACTTCGTTTCGACGTGCTCTGCAGGTTCTGAAGCAGCACAATGGTCCGCCAGTCATCATTGGCATAGGTAAGCGGTGCTGCATCGAGGTCATCCAATTGACCATCATTTATACATCTCACACCTGCAAATTTGTCGTAGATATGTTTAGTTCAGTGACCTACTTGAGAGTCGGTCTTTCATCTCCATCGAGGTCGGGATCAAGAAAAGACTACCTTACAAAAACCCCCCGCAAGTTCCAGATTGCAAAATTCGTTCTTAGATAAACGTTCACGGTCTATTTTTTGTGCCTGGGGCAATTTGGTGCCTTCGCAACACCGCTTATAAGCGTCCTCGAAAATGAAGGTTGCAAAGGAGGCCGCAAACAAGGTTGCCCCCATCTTTCGTGCAGGCGGCCCCAGCGGTTCCGGCAAGACGTCGCTGGCACACAAGCTGGCGGACATTCTGCAGTGCAAGGTGGTGTCCCTGGAGCGCTACTACGCGGCGGACCGGGTCGCAAATGAAAATTTCGACGAGTTCTCCGCGCTCGACGTCGACATGCTGATCCATGTAAGCTATGCGGACCCACCCCTAAAACCCCCTTGCTTGGTGTTTGGCTATGATTGATCAGAGCCGGATTCTTAGCGCAGGTATCAATCAGAGCGGTTGATGTTACGTCTCTTAGTTATTGAGTGAAGTACAGAAAGTGCGGTTGATGTTTTATGACAAACTTTCATCGACACCATAAGCTTTTGTCGGAGGATACTCTCTTACCCAATGGTCAAACATACTGTTATTTTGAGGGACGGCTCTCCAGCTCTAACAACTCTACAAGCAGCCAAGAGCTTTGCGAAGCAACAAACGTTCATTTTTGTAAACTTCGGTGCCTCCTTATAGCGTGAACTTGACACTGCCCGTTTTGCGGTGTGCAGAACTTGCAGGAGCTGCGGGAGGGTCGGCCAACTCACCTCCCGGTCTTCGACTTCGAGAAGAAGGAGCGGAAGGGCTTCGAAGACTTTAGTATCGGACACGAGGGAGTGGTGAGCTGTCGGAACGAAAGTTTTCCTCTCCGGTTGATATCCTTGTTTGTCCTGGCATGGAATAAAGGGTCATAGGGTTGTAGATGTTGATCCGAAAGTTTGACATCTCTTCCGTGCACCGGGGATTGATCACGAGCTGTAACTCCCTTCTTCTATGGGAATCTCGAGTATAGCAGGAAGTTCTGTTGCAAAGAAATGTCAAATTGCTGGCGACGAAGCCGACCGACACAAAGTAATGCGGAATGCCAATCACGTCAGCTCATTTAAAAATCTGAGGTGTTGCGTAACCTCGAGCGGAAACGAAAGTCGCAAAGTTGCAAATTCTTGACAGTATGACAATCTTGCTGTTCACAAACTTCTGTTCGGATTGTGTAACTCCAAGCCGCAGTCACAATGTCCGGTAGTGGCTGGGATTTTGCTGCTTCTTGTCAGTTTCGCAATGGTTAAACGTAGTCGCTTCTCTGTTGTCGAAAACGACCAGCGCATTTGTCAAGACTGATCCAAGGCCCCGCTCTTTCCACAGGTCGTCTTTGAGGGCATGTATACTCTGCATCAACGAATCAAGGCGTGCTTTGACGTCAGGATAGCAGTGGTAGGTATATTTGAGGACCCTCGGTTGCGGGCCAATGTGGGCCAGAAGCGTGTGAAATCCATGTATTTGCCCAGCGACATAGTTTTAAAGTTCGGCTGGAAAAACGGCTCCACAAAGAAGCCCGCAGAATGGTTCGTAGGCATTATTTGTGTTATGCTAGCACCCTGAGAGCCCAGCCTTGCACACCCTGCCCTCAGTTGCTTGGTTATTGTCTTCAGAAATTTGAAGTTGGTGTCCCGCAACTCCTCGACCAGTTCTGCGCTTCTCACTTCCGCGCGCATGGGGGGCCGTACATTAATAGTATGGCCACCCAGTAACTTCCAACCCATTCTGGTTCATTTGTACGAGCCTAAGCTGCAAGATTGAATTGGTTCAACTGTTCTTACTACTTATGCTTGCTACTCGACCCAGACTGGCGGCGTCAAGTTCTACTTGGTGCGGAAGGTGATGCGCGACCTGGAGAAGAAGGGTGAAGCACCGCGCTGGGCCGAGGTCATGGCCAAGGTCTTCCCCATGTATAGAAAGATTGAGGCCGACTTCGTGCACGCACACGTGAGCGCCCACCCATCCAATATACAACTCTCGTTTGACTTAAACTTGCATCAATCACGCAAACCGGATATCCATGTCAAATTTCGGCAAGATTCTTCTGTCCTCTCTTTCCCTGTCCCTGCAGCTTGGTTGCCCGTATTTGTTCCCGACCGGCCGTGCTGTTCTCTTCGTCTCTGCTCAGCAACCATATCTACAAAACTTGGACGATTCGACGCTTCCTGAAGGCTCATTTGTGTGTGGGTGCAGCTCAAGATCTCCAATAAGTTCGACCCTGTACATTCGCTGCTGGACCCGCTATTCGTTCTGAAGAGCAGTAAACAGGTGAGCAGCGTGGGCCTCCTCGAACCTGCTTTTGCATGTTGAGGCAATCGCAGGCGGCTCCCGTCCTGAAGGACTCTGTTTCTATGACGGCATGCTTGCTGTTGCCTTGAATATATTATAAATATTGGGCCGGCCGCTGTCCGACGTACCTGCTAATCGTCAAGACAACAACTTGTAGAGCGGAGCATACGGCTTCGTTGCCATGTGGCAGCCTCGAAGCAGCGGACTCAGCAACGAGTCGATAACCCCAAGCCAGCAACAACCTATAAGATATAAGGAGTTCAGATAATTTCGAGTGTTCCTACTGTCAGTGGCGGGGCGGATATGATTGGAGGCAGCACGTATGTGCCCAGTCTTGATTTGCCGTTACTTGATTTACTTCGCAGGTGGCCGTGTCCGCCATTCAGCGGCAGCTGGACCCGGCCTCCGTCAAGGTGTCCACTCAGACGTACGAGGACATCTTCCTGTACATGTCGCACTCGCCCAAAGGGCCCACCGAGGGCGACTGGATTCGCGTCCGCAATTGCGGCGGGCGCTACTTCATACTCGTACGGGAGGTGAGCGGCTCTCGTAACGGTCAGCCGGTGTCGTTACGGCGGGGCAATCTTGTCTCCGCTGATAATCCAGAGAAGGTTAGATTAGTAGGTCGGATCTTTAGAGCAGTCTACTTTGCACGGGGTGGTCAACCGTCGAGATGCTTCACTCGGGCGAGTTGCCTCAATGGCAGAGTGATTGAGCAGCGTCTGTGCACATCGACAGGTAGAAAGTCTTCGGTCCTGCCACATTTCAGCATGCTCCATTTCGCAAGATTATGGTTGGGAGATCGTTCCTCACCGTAGCCGACTGTTACTTCCTCGTCTTCATGCGTGGGCGAAATTCAGCTTCTGAAGACGGCTTGATTTAAGAAGAGCGCCCCTCTTGCGTTTCCTCTGACTCCGTCTTTTCCGTTGCAGCCCATCCGCGAGGGCGACTTCATTTTGCAGCCGCGCGTCGACTTCGACATTAGTACCAAGACGATGGGCGGCTTATGCGACATAGGCTATGCAGCAGGCTTCATCCTCCGAGTCACGGCGACCACATTCCAGGACGACAGGGTGAGCCGCGGGTGATGTGAGATAGCGGGGGATAGCCCTGAGCCTCGCCTGATGCGGACACAACCCTGTTGGATGGTACTTAAGGAAGCGTTGTTATACGAGTGAGCTCCCTCTGATACTGTTCACTTAATCGGCATATATCAAAGCGCGGCTCAACTGTTCTCTTCTGTGCAGCAATTGCGGCTTAAATGTGCAAACTGGGAGATCTGGAAGTAGTGTGAGATATTGCATTGTTACTTCGTTCCTTTGTCCATTTGTTTCGTTTCGCAGTTCAAGCGTTTGACGGCTTCTGCGCTTTTTATAGCGTGGACGACATGTTGACTGGGTCGCTCAAAGATATATACCCTATGCCCTAGTGTGGAACCATTTGCCCGGTCTACTTACGTCGGCCCTTATCTTGCGTCTTGCCCTCTTTTGTGCAGTTAACCATAGAAATAGACACGCTCGAGAACATAAGTGACAAGTACATACAGATCAAGGCCACCGATAGGGACCTCGTCCAGCGAACCGGCTCCGCTCTCGGCCTCGACGGCTCGTACACAACCAAGGTACAGCATTTATAGCCTCTGTTATCTGCGGTATGAGAGATGAGTGCCACGTTGCTCGCTTGGCCTGCCTCGGACGTCGTGGAATCTTTCGCTGGCCTGGGTGATATTTTTGGCGGCCGAGAGTTGATTTTCGATTGTCACCCTCTATCACTCTGTTTATCCGAAGTCATTTTCAAATGCAAAAGTCAAAGCAGAGCTCTCCGCCTGTAATGGGCACTGTCTTCACCGCTCCGCCCCGTGCGTGTGCTGTGCAGCCGTTCCTGGACATCATTCACGATTCGAGCCCGACCGCGTTTGCGGAGAGCATCGACCTCAGCCGGAGCAGCTCGGCGGTGCACCTGCAGGAGGTGGTGCACCGGAACCGCCACAACCACGTGAGGACGAATGCGCAGCAGCTTCGGTGTCCAGCATGAGAGCTATTCACCACTTTCTTGCAGCTAGTCAGATTTCGGTTCAAGTATGGTTGAATTGTAAGTAGGGGGAAATGAGAACAAGGGCGGTGAGGGGGCTTTGTCTCTCCTGACCTTGCTGTGTCGCGTGATTCGCGTCTGTCGCCGCTTTGAGATGCCGCTGCGCTTAGTCCAGCGAAAGTTTCCGTGAGAACTTCACTTACAGATTCATTTGTCTGTCAGACGAGACCTTTTCAGAGGCTTTGACCGAACGGCACCCCATAAATGCATACAGGAAAAGGGCAGGCACTTAGAAGTGACCTCTTGAGGTTCTCGCTAACGGTTCCTCCCTCCGCCGTCATTCTTTGTGCAGGGCACCGAAGACGCCGGCACTGTGGCGGAGCAGATCTCGGCCATGCGGGCTGAGTTCCGCGACATTCAGCGGCGCATGGCACGCCAGGTAAGGCACTCTATCACATGCATGGTATCGCTGCAAGGCGGCGCGTATTTCTACAAAGAGCTTGAACGGTTCATGAAACCTACTGCAAAGACTTGATGCACCTACTAACGGGCTGTGGTATAACGAGGATGGCCGGAAAACGGAGGCGTACTTATTTCTTTCGCTTTCATTCAGAAAGCGGAGTTTCTTAGGTTTCCAGCTGTATCCACAACTCAGGAGTTCACTGCGGGGTTTTGGCGTTCTCCTCTTGAGCAGGCTTGATCTTCCGAGGACAGGGATCAAGGACCCACATATTGGAAAGACGAGAGACTTGAGTTGAACTTCCGAGAACTCACTGGTCCTCCTTGTGCGTGCAGGAGTGGAGCTCTTGGTGGACCGTAGGTATGACTCTGATATTGGCGGCTGCTGTTGTGCGCTTGTACATGTACCCTACACGCTTAAAGTCCATGTAGGCGAGGACTGGGGACCCGAATAGAAAACCGTTAGTTGAAAACTTGAGGTCACGGTCATAGTAACCAGAGCACTATCTCAAGGTCATTTCACAATCTGAATACGGAAGCCGCAGGTTCTTTGATTGATCCACTTTAAACGCTAAATTGGGCTAGTGGTAGGAACGGGAGGTAATATCTTTACGAGTTACCGGCAAGCCGGATCAACGCATCAGGCCATTCAAGCTTTGTCCATATCTACCGCCTCGTTTGACCCGTCAGGCGAGAACTTCCATTGTATAGACTCAGGATAGTAGATAGTAGCTAGATCGACAGTGGAGCGAAGCAACTACCCAGTTCGCTACGTGGTGTTACTCATTTCGGAATCAATTGATGGGGTTTTAGAAGCTCGAAAGTTAGACATCATTGGCGAGCTCGTGAGGCAGGACTCTACGATCGGATCAAACAGGTCAAATTGTTCATTGAGTCATTAAGTGGATCATTCGTACTTGTACAAGAGACTCCAATCCCAGGCCCATACAGACCCCTTCAGATTGTGCCTCACGTACAATATTCTCAGAAGCACGCGACAGTGACAAGCTGCAAATATGATGAAAGAACAAGAAGTGTGTCCTGCATGCGTGTCACAGGGTGGGCAATACGTCGAATGCAGTCCAATCATTCGTATGTATAGTAGCCAGTACGTACGTACGCGTTAAATCGCCTAGCTCCGCTCATGCTCTTGACCTTGCGGCCAATGAATGAATCTGCTAATCAATGGCTTTGGCCGCCCGCGGGCAGGTTTGATTAACATATAAGGCTCAACAGCAGGCATCGGTTGTCCGAGCACCTTCAGGCTTAGCCTGAAGATCTGCGACCGCCGGCTCCGACCGCGAGAGGAGGGACGGGCTGGCGCCCGGCCCGGGCCGGGCTATGCACGCATCAAATTGCAAGTAGACGGGCCCGCACGCTGCAGCCTATTGAATCACCCCGGTTGGCAGTCCCGAGCCCTTTTCCATTGACAATTACGTCCATGTATGCGCGCCGGGCGGCGTCACTTATGCTGAGCACTAAATAAAAAGACGGCGTCGACTAAATAGGCTTAAGCTTCCGACCACTAGTCGACCTTTACTTGCACAACTTCCTGTGATGTGGCTCGCCGTCGCCCTTAAACGCTAATCGTGTGCAAGCAAGGTCACTTTTCCGGTATGTTTTGCGACTGCGGTAATCGAAATAGTAGAGTATTAGCAGCATCGATCTATGAGCATGTATTCGAAAGGTACTTTGAACTCCAACAGAGGAGGCCGATCTGCTGCTCACTCAAGTAGTATCCGCCGGCCAGGTATCCGCCCTGGCAGCGCCCAGCGCCTGAGTCGCGCTCAGCCAGGGGCGCCGCGCGGCCGCAGCAGAGCCAAACCCTTTCCCTTGTCAAAACCCCGTCACTCGCCGCGCCGAACTGATAGTGCGCCGCGCGATTGCCAAATTGGGCGGCCGGCCGCGGGGAATGATCGCGGGGGATCGCTTCGTGCATCTCTGCATGCAAGATATATAGAAAGACAGTCGACTCAAGTACGTACACCCAATGGTCAGTGTGCGCTGGGTGCGCGGCCGCGAGCCAGGACGCATGCAGGGCCAGTCGGCTTCAATATTCTCTCTGCATGAGCTGCGGGATGGCAGGGATGGCGTCCATATTGCTTTTATTGCTCTTATTGCTGCTGTTGACAAGGGATCGGCTTTCCGGGTCTGCATGTTTCATTCGTGTAGTTGACTCTCGGCGGCACTGATGCCAAGCGTCAAATATCATGGAACTCAAGTCGGGTCTGCTCGGAGCCTGGTCCCACTTCAATGCACTCGTAGCTGGCGCCGTCTATGGTGCTGGAAACGCGTATTTGCATAGTGAGAAAGGGACTTTAACAGGCCTGGTGGCTGACGTTGCTCGCTGCTCGTTATCAGGCGCTTATGAAGGACTGGTCAATGGACAGAGACACATAGATAGACTTTCAGCATGCAATCAGACTCATCCGGAAAATGAAGCGGCTGAAAGTCAGGCAAGTGCACCCTTTGATGCATTTGAAGGATTTGGGATTTGGGATTTGGGCCAGTCATCAGCTTTGTGAGGAGTTATTTTAAGGTACTGCATGGACGCAGATCAGAGTCCTTGTGAATTCTGGCACGTTAGCTATCGTTGTGGTGGTCACCTGACTCTTATCTAATCTCGAACGGATTGGGTTGTAAAGGGATTCTGTTGGAGTACTGGCAGAAGTTGGTAAGAATAGACAGTTGCAAACATTATATACAAGCATGCAGGCTTCTGTTTCAGCGAACCTGCCCGAAATGGCAAGTTCGATTGACAACTCGGACTCGGAAAGAGTGGAATCAAGCTTTAACTGAATGTGATGGCTACCACGTCCACCTTGATGCGAGCCAGCACGGACAAGCCATAGAACATGCCAGCAGGAATTCTTGAGCTTCGAAACCTGCTTATGTTATTCGTCCAACGAGTCGTTGCTGCTCATAGAGGGGCCTCCTTACTTGGCACAGCTCCCAGTTCGATCAAGGCATGACCTGATTATGGTCGTGTTTCGAAGATAGTTGTAACTTTCTGTCGGTCTGCTGAAGGTAGCCCGATTCTGTGTGCAGGAACATCTTCCCCTCCGCCAGAATACAGATGTAAAGCAGAGAGAAGCACCCAAGCCCTTGCATAGTCCTAGCTCCAGTCCTAGAAAAGCCCCCACATTCACGTTGAACTTCAGCGCTGCTTACTTCCCTGTATAGCCGCAGATGCCAGGACCTCCACGCTCAGCTTCTCCCGCCAGTCTGCAAGCGGCAAACTAGAAAGCGTGCGCTTAGAATTGGTCTCTGTCTCCTTCTTCAATCGTCCCCTTGGAATCAGAGACGTGAGTGTGACGGTCGCTTCCAACAAAAAGGAAAAGAGCAAGCTGATCTTCACGAAAACAGAGCTAGACGTTTCAGTAAGGGGGGTAATGAGGACGTTTTCGGTTGCAAAGGCTGAGTCATCAGAGGTGTTGAGTACTGCAGCGTGTTTGCCCGGAACATCGAACCGGGGTAGTGAGTCGAAGCACCCGGCCCTATTGGATAGATTGAGAGGAGCGCTGAGGCAGGCCGCCTGGTACTCGGTCAGTCCATCAGCCTACCAAGGCTTGCATCCAGAGGCCAAAGGCGGCCATGAGAAGGAGGACAGGCATACGTTGGCTGAAGACGGCAACGCGGAAGTAAGGCTTTTCTTCGCCACGACGGGTTCCACCTCCTACATCTGTCTTGAGCTCCGGGTTCGTGCAACCCCTCTCGATCATGTTCGCTACGGATCATTCTAGAATACTCAACTCGACAACTCTTTGCTGTAGTGAGATGTGCAGCAAACCTCGGAGGTGGGCTTCTAACCGTCGATCAATTTTGCGTCTTTTGTCAGGATTCTTTGCTTCAGAAGTGGGGAAGTACGTGGTGGGGTGAATCCTTTGGACAAATAAACACCAAGGAGGAGACGCACCTTTGAATCGAGCTAGGGCTTATAGATTGTGAGCCCGCATTAGGATTGCGAGTATGTCGATCGTACACAGCTCAATCATAAGGGGCAACCAAGACAACTTGTGGGAATTCATGCTAGCTATAGGAAATCGACGAGCATGACGCTCTTGTAAGGTCCATGGCATAGAGAGTAGCTAGGGTGTTAATGATATAGATTGTACAGCATGCTGATAACGAAGGCTATGTACATTGGGTTGGGTACGGTAACGCTGACGACACGGTGGTTTGCAGCCCATGGGCAGTCTGGCAGATTGGCAGACCTGCAGCGGTAAGGGAGATTGAAGTTGGGCCGTATGTGCCCGCCATAGAGACCGCGTTGACTTGCAGTAGATAATATATATTGGCTAGATTCCAAGAGCCTGGTACGTTAAAGCACGTCACTACTTTATAGGTGGAACTGAGGTTGTCAGGAAGGAGGTGTTCGGTCGCGATCTTCAATTTCAATTTTGATCTAGCTCGCGACTGCAGTGCATCTCAATCATCAGCGGAAGCTAGCCATGTAAAGCATCGCGATGACGTACCTAGCCTGAGATGGATCGACTAGCATGTACGAATATATCCGGCCGATAGTCGGAAAGAAAGCGTGTATATATTATTCAGAACATGAACAACTCGAGAATGCATTGCAGCCGACTTTTTCCCGCCTATAGCTGTATGGTTTCAACCGATCCAAGAAAGGACATTTAAGGAAGCCACGCGGATCAAAAAATGAGCTTGAGAGTCAACTGTTCACTGCCAACCCACCGGCGCATGGATGATCTCAAGTGACTGGCCCGTGCCCCACCAGCTACTCCTACAAGCGAATCTGAGTATCTCTCTTCAAAATTGCAGTTTCTGTACAATCGCTGCGTCTACGAGGCCTTGTTCCGTCAAAAACCTCGTCTACAAGCGGCCATATGCACAGTAGTTTGACGCATAACAAGTAACAATCAGGGCAAAATCTCTCAAAAAAACGCCGTCTCAGGTTTTGATCTCTCAAGAAACGGCCGGAAGTTTTGTTGAACCCCTCGAACAATGCAACAAGCTGTAACCTAAGGAGCAATGTTTTATGGAAACTCTAATACGTCAATATGGAGGGTCACTGGACATTGGCAGCCTGTTCTTTGATCTGCTCCGAGACGCCCCGCATTTGCATTGCAATTTGTGTCAATGGGACGTCGTTGCTCTGCAAAGAAGACCAGGAGAAGGTCTTAGCTCGTCGGGCTTCCGATTACGATCTCCACAACAAAGTACAGCGTACCGCAACTATGTACTCGAGGATTCAGATTAATCAACAAACAACATTGTTTGCTTGTCGATGATATCTTCGGCATCATTTAAAAAAGGGAACGTGTCCGCATCACCACAGAAGCGTAAATACCCGTTGCTTCTGACAGACGTCCAAATTCAAAACGGTGAAGGTCACCGACATAACCAGCCAGAAGCAAACCTGCCACGTCACAGCCACGCGGAGGCCTTTACAGCAGCAGGGCGCAAAGATCTGGAGGAGGCAGGGGTGCATTTTTATTGCTTACCTTGGAGCATATTGTGGCGCACTCTCGGGTGAACTCTTGACACAGAAAGTCCAGCTGCCGGCCGATGCTGAGGGGACGGTCGGAGCCTTCCTCGTCTTTGCCTTTCTTCGGAGATGTCGCTTGCCTAGTACGAAAGGGAGGATAACTTAAGGAGAGATACACAGCTGACGCCGAAAAGTGGCCAATCACATGCCTTCCGCTGGACCTAAGGGCAGCCCCGTTAGACCATCTCTGGCGGTTAAACGCCATTGCTCTTCAAACGTTTGGTAGCTACCAAGTGATTTCCTTAAACAAACGCTTTCAGGTTGACTGAAGGCTCTAAAGAAACATCGAGGGTCAAACAGAGGCCCCCACTCAAACACCTGATTGAAACACGTCCGTCTCAAACGTTTGAAATACATTCAGGCGGGAATGGACCCTGTCAAGCATACTCAGCACTCAAAGAGAGTAAGGCTCTGAACACCTCCACTAACATCCGGACCGAGGGGGGGCCACCCGCTGCGCTCGACAGCGGTAAGCCAAGTGAAATGGGTCCACGGGACCGGTCAGAATTTGTTATCAAAGTCGTTCCTTGAAGCAGATGGCTAAGAAAAGTCACTGCATCTGACTACCAATTAATGACTGACAATGGGAGGCCTTAGCTGAGCAACGTCCTCGAACAGCGAATAACCAAGTCGCGGAGAAAGGGCAGCCCGGCTTACTTGTGGTGTCCGCTCAAGAGCTCCTTGGCAGCCACGATGTGCGATCGCAACCGGTCAACCTGCGAAGGGGACAAATCCGCTCGATCATCATTGTGCTATGTTCGACAGCAGCCACATGTTAGATAGCAGGTCATCGGAATTCACGTACCGCTCCATTCGTACACAATTCAGCAAAGGGACCAAGTTCCTGTATCTGCTAGAAGGGACGGGGTCCCTTAGACCTTGACGACTGACGGCAGGCAAAACCAGGTGCGATGTCGGCGACCGACCAAACTGGTGTCTGCCACGTTGATAGGACGAAGGGCGAGAGGCTTGCATGAGGCAAGCAGGCAACCGCTGAGCTGAGACAGACAAAGGCGCGCCGACCCACGAAGAATCGATGACCGCGTTAGAGACTGTGGGCAGAAATGACGGAGGGAAGCACACTGGTCAACAGATGCAAATACGTCCGAAACAACAAGGCGCGGCTCACTTCTTCCCGGACGTCCAGCCTGGTGGTGAGCAGGGCCACCTCCTGCTCCAGCCGTCCGGGGTCCAGCGCGCGGAACGTCTCCAGGAGCTCGCCCACCTGAAGCAGGCTCAATTTGTGAGCCCTTCTTTTACCGATTGAAAAAGAACATTTACTTGAGGACTCAACAAAGGAAACTCACCACAACCTTTAGAATCAAAGTATCTCGTTGGTCTATTGACAGGCCTCCTTGAAGAGAGCACACAGCATTTGGTTTGTCTGAACTTGAAAGGTCGCGTTCCTTGCAGCTGGCTTCGCGCAGACTAAGCGAGGCTGAAAATGGCAAACAGAGGGCGGTACAAGCACGGCACGTCGACATCCACGTACGGCTCGTTAAGTGCTCCCTTTGCGAAGAACTTTGTTTTAGCCATCGATTTAATGCAAGGTTGTCCCGACCGCCGTGACAGTACAAAGTCCTCTTCTCTGGATACCCGGACACTTCAATGAACGGGCATGCATGGCCCTTTCAACTCCCAACCGGCAACCGGCTGTATCTTTCGAGACGAACACTACCTGCGAAGCTGCACGCTTTCTCGCCAAATGAGCGACAGATAGGAGCAAAGTGACAGCGTCTTGCTGAACTGCGCACCTGTTTCTGCATCCGATCTTTGAGGTGGGGCAGCCGTTCTTGCGCCGTCACGGCGGCTTGCTCCACTAGGGCCTCCAGCTCGGCGACCTGGCCGCTGAGAACCGCCCGCAGCCGGTCGCCCTCCGCGGCCCGGCTGTCCAGCAACTGGTCCAGGGCGTCGTGAAGACTGCAGAAAGGTCGTTCCCCACAAGAAGGCCGGTGAGCCGAGCGAGAGAGTTGCAAGACGTCAGCGGACGGAAAACGGACACGTCATGGAAGAAAGAGCGCCGGAATAACGTGATTTAAATACCACGTGCTATGAAAGGCTGCCGCACAAGGGCACACAGCCCCACCCGCATTTTGGCCGTGCTTCAAAGCCCACCTTTCCGTCAGCTTCTGCACGAAGTCTTCTTTCTCCTCCTCGCTCTCCTCAGGCTCTTCCCATCGCACGACGCCCTGTGCGCAGTTGTGAGAATAAGGATACATGAGGCGCTTCAAAGCTGCAAATCATTTCGAGAAAACGCCAGAAGATATGATGTTCGCCGGTCAACATAGAGGCAGCGCGTCTAGGGGGGCCGTCTTTCCTCCACTTTGGACAATCCGATCATCTCAATTTTGCATAATCATCAGAGCAGGGCAGATTCCTGCGTTGTTCTGGCGCGCTGCATACAGGCGTTCAAGGTTTTATACCGTCTGAAGACTCACCGGAATTTGGAGAAGGTGCCCATAGTTGAACCCCCCCGGTAATTGGCGTGCTTCGCGTTGGAAAAGTCGGTTCATCGCCTCAAGTGCCTGCACGTGCGGTGCATTTCTTGCAATTTGCTTCGCATTCCTTGGAGTTTTCGAAGTGCGTAGGGGACGATTACGCAAGACGCATATAAAAAATCTCTGCTCCTGCGGACTTCTGACGATCCTGGTTCAACAAATCCTCGATGCTCTTTCTCCGGGTAGTGTGTTTATGACACTAGCGGCTTCTTCTGTCCATTGGCACTCATATAAAATAAGGATCAAAACACAGTGGGACGTTATCCTCGTTGGATTTCAAGACAAGAAACCTTATCATAACGTGCGTGCTTGCGACAAAGGACCGACGCCAGTCCTCCACAATGCTGGAAGGGAGCCGCTCACAGGACAAAGGATAATATGATATGCAATTACTCACTTGTAGCATGGCGTCCTCGTCTATGACCAGCCGCCGGTCTTGCTGCTCCTTGTCCATCTGCAAGCGCGGCGCAATGTTAGCACGCACAGATAGAGCATCAGCCCACAGTTTTGAATTGCGGCCAATCCCTCCGACGAATTGCCGCCAACGCATAGAAAGTCCAGATATCAGAAAAGACGGCGGGCTCAGTTCAGCCGGACTTCAAAACGCTCAAGCTGACGTGTTTGCTTACTGAAGGGCTGCTTACGTGGCGACCTGGGCCATTTGGTAGACCCTTCGAAACAAGTTTTGATCGATCGGAAGCACGATCAACGAAGATGGTGCAAATTAATCTTTGCAGCACAAGGACTGTTTGTCAAACGGACAAGTAAATCTGAGAAGCGCAAGCGCTGCTATCCCCACCTTGATGTCGAGAAAGCAAGAAACGGAACCGCGCGCGAATCTTTCGGCGGCAGCGGCGAGGGCGGCTTGTTCCAAGGAAGAGTAGCCACTGGGCACGCGAGCGCGCACGTCCAAGCTGCGCCCATTCACGCTCTTCACCTGACAAACGGGTGGACGTTCATGCAGAATCTCAAAGGTTTTGCTTCGTCCCTTCAACGCGCGACTTTGGTAGTCTCTAGAAGCCTTCCGCCCCTTCTGCTTCGCAAAATGCAGCATCTTCAGGACATCACTCCAACCGCCAGCTGACGTGCTCATGCAATAAGCCCGACGTAGGGGGCGACATAAGCTTAGTGAATCAAAATAGTCTCCTTGCATTCTATGCGCCTAAGAACGCTCAGCCAAATCAAACGCGACGGACTCTCCTCCCTTCACGGTGCGGCCTTTGCCGACTAGCCCACAAGCTTCGGTTTTCAAGAGGTGCAGTTAGCAGCAACTAATCCATCGACGCACCAAAGTACCTTTTGGTGGAAATCGAATTCAATCCTAACGCCTCAAGAAGCCAGCACAACCAGAGTACGAAAAATATTCATACAAGATAATGGAAAACGGTACATCGGTCCTGGTCCTTGCACAGGACGTACCTCCCAACTCCAGCACCTTTGCTTGTGCTTCCCGTCCACTTTTGAGAATCCCGACATGCTCGAGATGCGCGAGCGTACTTCTATAAGGTCGACTTCCGTCGACTGCTCCTGTGTGATGGTTTTTGCAAACAATTTTTTGAAGTAATCCAGATTGCAGCAGTCGATCTGCCAGGGCCGGATCCTGTGCGAGGTAACTAAACCGCCCGCAACATATGGGTCTTGTGAAACAAAGTCCTCCACAACTGCGAGCAAAACGAAAGCGGTGGTAAGCATACTGAGTCTGCATCGGATCTACAGGGGAGAACAAATTTCCCCGGGTGACAGTTAGGGCCCCTCACTTTTTGAACAAAAATCGAACAAGACGGAACTAGAATGCTCCCATTAACGCGCCAACATCGAGTTGATTGTGAATCTATATCCGTCGATCAATCACCGAGCCAGGGAAAGCTTCGAGCCCTGGAAAGAGCGTCCCTGCATCTTAGCAATAATTCTGAGTGAGTACGCCAATCCGAATGTAGCAACATGCCTGCAAAACGATAAAGAGGTCGCGTTACCCTCCTGGGGCTAGCAGAGTCATGACAGTCAACGGCGCATTCTTACCGGACTTGTCGTTCGTCCCAAAGAGGAGAAGTGCGCCGTCGATGGGGTCCCCTTTTGGCCCTCCGATGATGCACCGTTCTGCCGCCAGTTTCAGGTGCGCCTCTCTATATGGGCCCCTCTTTTCCAGAACGTCACTGACGTATGCTGCAACCAGATAAGTGGGTTCTCTTTTGCAATACCTAAACGAAACTACAAGCCCAAAGATTGAAACGTTAAACAGCGTATCAGGACCAAAAATACTCTCACTAATATTCCTAATGATCTTACTCACATGTTGATCTCCAGCAGCAAATTCTTATCATGAAACGACTGCGTCTAGACAAGGAAACCCGAGATCGACAGCTCCTTTTCCAGAGGGCAACTAACATTTGAAGCTGTTGCAGGCCTCTCTAATTACAAGCTCACGAGTTGGATACGATCTTTGAGAGTGACGGTAACAATGCAGGCACTCACTGTATTCGAGCAGATGAAGTACCGGCAAGTCATGACCGGTGACTGGATCTTCCGCAAAAGCTGCCTCTGGGAAATTGCTCAGAGATTTGACAACAGCGGTCCACGGGGTCAGAGAGACTCTTCCCACCCACTCTGGTTCTCCTAATTCGATATACAAAAAATCTGCGTCGTGGTGCAGAATGTTGATGTGAGAAGAAAAAGGAGCGAAGATAAAGGAAGGCAAGGAGTAGGACAGCCAACACTAAGTTTGAGGCAGTTGGTACTAGCAAGGCAAATTACAGAGGAAATTCTCAATCATCTAGACATGCTGCTCCAATGAAACAAATGAATGTTCAGTCTTTCCAAACATGCATGTCGGAACCTCACCTTCTAAATCTTCCGTCATGTGGAGTTCGCAAATCCTCAAAGGAACTTCGGGGCCAATGCTTCCCTCTATCATGGATTGTTGAAGCATGGCAACATTTTGGTTGTCCAAAGGGAAACCAACTCCAGCATCTTCAGCAGGGTAAGAGTGGGTTTCAATTTGTGGAATGTCCCTGATGAGTAGGCACATCAAACTTGATCACAGCAGAACAAGTGAGAAGCCCAAGCGAGCATGCTGGGAGCAGACATCCTCCTCATGATCATAGGAAAGGAAATGAGAAACACATCCCAAAGAGGCTGGCAAGTTTGCCAGCACGGCAAGCAAAGTTTTTGAACAGCAGATATGACAAGGCGCCTGAAAAGATTCTCAGCACGAGCGGCAGACTGATGTGCAGCTCCTGAGTTCTACTTGCACCACCTGCCCATCAAGTGACCATATGCAACCAATGAAAAGCTTTCAAAGCTCAGACTGCCGTAAAGCTGTAACTCCAGATGAGTGGACCCAGGGTCTGGTGCCTCACCATACTCAAGCATCGTCAACTCAGCACTGCTTTGCATTGAGCTTGCTTTCGTCGTACAAACCCTGGCTGCATTGCACCATGGAGCCCATCTCCAGCCTCGCTTCACTGCAATGTAATCGGGGAATGCTTTCTGATGCCAAGTTGGATTGCTTAAATGGACAAGTTCACCCGTTGATTGCTTCCATTCTGATAGACCCCTGCCCAGCAGCCCCCTATAGGGAGCCAAGTGCTGCCTGCCTTCTCCATTTCGTTGCAATGCACTTGGAACATGGAATGATCTGGTCTGCAATGCAGTGCAGCTTGTCATGGTGAATCTTTCCAGCTCCAGCTTTGAGGCTGGACGAACACAGTTGCAAAACGTCAAGCGCTTCTTGAGAGGTCTCGTCAAACCACGCAGCTTTAGCATTCTTGTTTGTCAATTCACCTACAACACTCCTGCAGAATGCATGGCGGAGGGTCAGCATGGGTCAGCATTTGATAAGTTCAGAGTGAACAAGATCAAGAGCGAAAGAGCACCGCCACCGGCTAGCGCGCTGGTGCCAGTGGATTTTCCAGAGTCTCCAAAAATCGTGCTCATCTATAATCAGTGTCAATACGCTTACAGAGACGGCAGCAAAGCTGACAACCGACGGCAACCTATCTTGACGAGATCAGCCCTTCAGCGCGGGTCCGAGCGAGTCCCGGTTTTCTGCTCCAAAATCCTCCATTTCTGACACCAGAATTCCAAAATGAATACTTAGATCGCGCTTGATATCAAACAATGTCAATGGTCCTACCTCTTGCTTGGCGCAGTCAGCTAGCGCCAGCGGCGCAAGTACGACGAAGTAGACTCCTTTTGTTAGTGTCTCAGGCCCCAAAAAAGTGTGAAAACTTCTTACACGCGGGATCATAGGTTCACAGGGTATCCGCGTGGACCGTACTGTCAGCTCTGGTCCTTTGAACAAAAATGCGTCAGAATTTCAGGTTTTACCGTACACTTTGCGGTACAGATTACAGTACGGATGGAACCGGGTCAGGATAAATGGCCTACAACACTAAAAGTAAAAGAACTCTGCCCGGTTGTCACTGTCAATGAGTAACCCTAATGTCACTGGGAAATGGCGTAACCCTAACAAAGCGCTCGTCGATTGGCGTGAACCGTCACAGGTTTGCAACGTAACCCTATGGTCAAAGTAAGCGCCCCGGGTCAATGTCAATGTCAACGTCGATGTCAATGTCGATGTCAGTCTCGTTGTCAACGCTGTAACCACTCCCGTTTTCCACCGACAGACTGCAATAATTGTCACAGTTCAGGTGCTTCCAGGTGGGTTGAGAGTGATTCACACCAATCAGAGTGGCGGAGACACTAACAAAAGGAGTCTACTTTGATAGTTTTGCGCCAGTGGCAGCAGAGTCTGATCAACCGGACCCTTTCCGGCCAAACAGCCGTCCGAACCTGTCGATGGACGGAAATGTTTGCGATCATGTGTGATCGCTGTATGAGGCTGAGCTGGACGAATTGTGCTAGCGCCGGCGGCGGCCTTCAGTTTTGGCGAGGGAGCACTTCCAAGCAGAAGCCTGAGCTACAGCCTGAACGGTACAGCACGATGAAGGTTCATCAAGGAACGTCCGTCTTGTGCACTGGGGCAGGTTCTGGCATTGGTCGAGAGACGGTGCTGGCGCTTGCAAAGCTAGGTGCAGATGTCACAGTGGTGGATCTTTCAGAGGAGGGCGGCAGAGAGACTGTCCGTCTAATTGAGGAGGCAAGGCAAACACTTTCTGGCAGACAAAGTGGCGGGCCTCCGGCGGCCATTTTTGTCAAGTGCGACGTCACCAAACCAGGTAAGTATGCTTAGCTGTGACTGCAGACTCTGCGCTTCTTAGGAGCTGGATTGGCTTCCTAGCTTGCTTTGGGCCTATCCTCTATGAAAGGAAAGTGAGCTCACGCAATATGTCATTGAAACTCCTTCAATTCTTGTTTACTTCTTATGCCCTTTGATCAATGCTAAAAACTGAAGCCATCATGCACGTACAATAAGATTATACCACCCCATGTTTAGCTTCACCGATCTAAAAGGACTTGTGTCAAACATCTTTTGCAACTTCAGACCGCTCAGTGCGCCTGTCCAGTGGTGGCGTCCTTGATTTCTGCTTGCAAACAATTGAGAGACAGCGGATTGCAGTTGTAGAGACACTCTGCGTTGTAACATGCATGATCAATAACTTCTGTCGTCATATTTGCAGAACAATTGGTGGCTGCGTTCAAGGCTCATCTCAGCACTTACGGCAAGCTAGACATATGCATCAACAATGCTGGGATAATGGAGAACACGCGCTTTTTGGATGATGCCTCAGAAAATGGGGCAGGGGCCTGGCGAAAAGTCGTGGACATCAATCTGACGGCCACCATCGATGGAACGCGGCTAGCCGTAAGTGCTCTCATAGGTCCAGGAGACTGTCTGCTTGATGTGTTTAGGCATTTGATGAATCCATCATCAGAGGACCGTCACAGGACAACAATCTTGTACAGCCCTTAAACGAGACTCGTTGACTCCGTTAAGAACGCTTTGGAACAGGACTTGTTGGCGCAGGCAAGTTGCTTGGACCAGAACTAAAGCCTGGATTGTTGTCAGGACTACATGACATTGAAAGAGCTGACGCCGTAAAGACCGAACTATTTGAATGGTCTGGTGCCAGGTAGAGCTTCAGGGTGACGGCAACTGCAGGATGTCAGCTTGATTGCTGCTTGCATGTGAATCTTTCTGCCGACGAAACCGGAAACAAATTGGAAAGTCGCATCTGTTTGCCGTCAAGCTTTTCCAGCTTTTCACTATTCCGTTTTTGTTTTGACTCTTCTGCCTGAGCCTGCTTGTTTGCTTCCAATCATCCAATGTCCTTCTTTTCTCGCTCTCGCAGCTGCGGGCCATGCTGGAGCGCAAGACGCCCGGCGCCATCGTCAACATTGCCTCAGCCGCCGGCCTCTACCCCACCCCCTTTGGGCCCATCTATGCTGCTTCCAAAGGTAAGCTCATCTGCCATTATGTGTCATAGTTCACTCCTGTTGTGTGTGTACTTGACTAGTTTCTCTGTAGATCAGGGTGAATTTCTGAAATCTTTAGTGACCTTCAGCAAGACAAAAAATGGGCATGTATTGCCAGTCACTCAGAAGTAGCTCTTAATAACTGCTTCGTCCAAAATCCAAAGTGTTCCCCAATCTTGCGTGTCTGGCCTAGTCTCTGTCGCCCCTACGGAAGATTCTGAGATCAAAACCGCTGAATGACACTGCAATGAAATCCATGAGGTTGCCCCTGCCTGTCGGTGCAGGCGGTGTCGTCCAGTTCACCCGCTCGCTGGCCCACTTCTCTAAGAAAGGCATGCGAGTCAATGCCCTCTGTCCCCTCTACATCCAGACCCCCATGTCATCTCCCGGCGTTGGATTGATCAAGTCCTACTTGGACGAAGCTGGGGGGTACATCCCCATGCAAACTGTCATAGATGGTGAGAACGCTTTAAAACCTTATCCCCCCTCTCTTCTTTTCCCAATTTCAGGGGGGGTGGTCCAGCTGACGAGATCATTGGGTCACTTCAAGAGAAAGGGAGTCCGAGTGAACGCTCTGTGCCCCGAGTTCATTGACACGGCCTTGGGGAAAATGGCCGAGGAACACATCGGAGCGCATCTCAAGTCGGTGGGGGGCTTTATTCCCATGTCGGTCGTAGTAGAAGGTACGGCCGGGTCTTTCCGGTTGTGCTTCACCAAAGGATTTCAAGTAGGAAGCTGTACAGGCGAGGAAGTCAACATTCCCGTTCAACATTCCAACACGATTGTCAGGAAGAGTAGACACGTGCCAAATGCTCGAGTGTTCCGGGTTTTGTTGCCGACTTTGTCAAGCCAGACAAGGCGTTTTTTTGTTGCACCATCAGTATCTGATGCTTATATTTCGTATGGTTTCCTGCTGACCTGCCCGGTTTTATCATCCCAAGTCAGCCGGTTCAGCTTGCTGAATCTGTGCGCTAATCTCCTCTGCTAACCCGGCGCGAGTATCGTCATTCCACAGGCATCCTGGAGCTCATTGATGACGACAGCAAGGCGGGGGAATGCATGCGCATCACGAATCGGACGGGGCGAGACTACTGGCGGCCGAAAAACGTGGGGCCGCCAGCGAGGGGGCAAGGGAAACCTGTGGCTGCAAACCTTCCAGCGGAAACCCGGAAGATGTGAGTGAAATTTGACTTGCTGGGGGGAGAACAGGAGGAACGCAGATTTTCGTTCTCCCTTTCGTGACCCAATTGTGATAGCCTTAGGCCTTTGTTGCGAGCCACGGCAAATGCGTGAAGTGCTCACAGACTCCCTGCTTTTTAATCTCGTGAGATTGTCGTGATCGAGGCGATGGTAAAATGGACTTTCGCAGTGTAGCAGAGAAGCTCTGCGCACGGGCGGCAACGAAACCTCTTTTGAGAGCGTTTCGTCACGATCTCGTTGAAAATAGACAATGTCCCCAAAGTACTACGTGACTCTTCAAACAAGCAGCATATTCGACTTTCATCTTTGTGCCGAACCTGGACGAGCGGACGTTGTTTCCACGTTGTATCTCATCCTTCTTCACCCTGCAGTGTCGTCCACACTCTGAGCACGGACTTCCGCTCCGCCACGCGGCTAGTGTCAGAACCCATGCCGCGTCCTGCCAAGGGGACCATCCTGATGCGACACGTCTACGCCGGCATCAACGCAAGCGACGTAAGGGCTGGAAACATTTCTTGCTCCCGTTCGCTCCGAGTAGCCGGTCACGGAATCTGTTGATAATCCGATAAATCTGTGCTTAAAAGCTCAGTCCTCGTTGATACTTTCTTAGGAGTTGTACTTGGGCATGTCCCATAATCGTGCTTGGTCTCTCAAGCTCTCAGCTGGCACTCCCTTTCATCCCAAGTTCATTCGCACTGCGTCTCCACTTAATATTTCCTACAGGTTCGGCCCAGCCCTGTGACTGCAACATGTGCTCAGACTGTGTTTCCGCACCTCCTCACCTAAGCTAATCCACCATACTTCAACTTTCTTTCTGACCACTTCACGAAGTATTGTTAGTGAGCATTAACCTACCCATGTTTAGCGCTTTCATTTCCGCTCTACTGCAGATCAACATGAGCGCCGGGCGTTACTTTGGCAGCCACGAGAACGCGCTCAAGATGCTGCCGTTCGCTGCCGGTTTCGAAGCCGTTGGAGAAGTCGTCGCGGTCGGGGAAGGCGTCAAGGACTTCGCCGTGGGCGCGCCGGTGGCCACGCTCTCGTACGGCGGCTTCGCAGAGTACTCACAGGTGAGGCTTTCTTCCTCGAACGATTCATACGAGTAGCCGTGGCTTCTGTTCTTGTGTCTCTCGCGAAAACGGAGGTCAAGCGGCGGCTCTGCCGTTTCAGATGCTGGCTGACACTTGAAGCAGCTCACTAGTTGCGGTCGTTGACAGCGACAAATTTTTCGCAACAAGCGTCGGAATCTGCAATACATGCTCTGTGCAGTTTAGCACCGCTGTCTCTTTCAGTTCCCGCGGGAAGGTCGAGGGTGAACAAACCTGCAAAGTGTGCCTTCCTCAGTTTCATGGAAGCATGCTTGGGTTGCCAGTCCCTGGGTTTGCCATTCGACGAGCTTCTGTAGATGAAGTCAATGATGAACGAAGGCGGTGCAATTGAAACGAACGTGGATGATCCTGCGCAGGTGGATGCAAAGGTAGCCATCGCCGTGCCGGAGATCTCTCCAGAGTTGGTTGCCATGCTGACGTCAGGTCTGACGGCTTCCCTTGGACTCGAACAGGTGGGCCTTTCGTTCGAACTCTCGGGTATTCCGGATTTAGGTCCTTCCGAACAACAAGGAGCGCCTCAGCGGTGTAATTGTGATGCAACCGTCACTGTTTGCGATTTCTCGAATGGCTGCCTTGCCGGCAAAGGATCACAGGCTTCCACTTACCGCGCACACGTCACTGAAGATTCCATAAGCAACCATACGCTGGCCTGCTTTCTTTGCCTCGTTCTGCGTCAAGTCTTACCGTTCTTCGTCAGGGCAAAATGGGCACCGGCGAGACGGTTCTGGTCACGGCGGCTGCGGGCGGCACCGGCCAGTTTGCGGTCCAGCTGGCGAAGCTGGCGGGGAACACCGTGGTCGCGACGTGCGGGGGCGCGGAGAAAGCGGCCCTCTTGCGGAGCCTGGGGGTGGACCGCGTGATCGACTACCGGACAGAGGACGTCGGACAGGTGCGGAAGTTTTGGATAAGAACGCTTTGGACGGCCATAAAGTCGTTGCATTGCCGTGGAGGGACGCAAGGTTTATGGAGGTTAGGAGTTGGTGCTAGCGGTCTCGGGCTCTGCAATGGTTCGAAACGACGTTCGGGACAATCCGCTAACGCATCTGCGCTCAACATTTGAGCTTCCAATTTTCTACTAGCATCCTCTGGCGAGCACGCTTGCGCGAACGCGCGAAAAAAATTCATGCCATCAGCCTCGGCAAACATTGACTCAAGTAACCCCCGTCGTAATCCGTGCCCGCTTTCAGCTCATACAAACCCCTTTCAGGGACTCCAGATTTTTTCCTACTCATTGAATTCTTTGACCCGCACCGCAGGTGCTCAAGACGGAGTTCCAACAAGGTATGGACGTCATCTACGAGTCGGTGGGCGGCAAGATGTTCTCCACGTGCGTCAACGCGCTTGCGCGCGGCGGCCGCCTCGTCGTCATCGGGATGATGTCACAGTACACGGCTGACGCCAGCAAGGGCTGGGCGCCCTCGCAGCAGACGGGCCTCCCGGAGAAGCTGCTGTGGAAGTCGCAGCAGCTCATCGGCTTCTTCTTGGTGCACCACACGCGGGACTACCGCAAGCACCTCGCCAAGCTGAGCAACCTGCACCGAAGCGGGCACCTCAAGGTGGGCGGAGTTTGCGAATGTCAGGGTTTTGGCGCTTTCCGGGTGCTGGGAGTTTTGCAGACAGCTCGAACATTTGGGAATTGAACCGTGCTATGAATGTTTGCTTAACTTGAATAGGCGAGGCGGTTCTTGGTGCTGCTCAGCGCTCCGCCTTTTCTTCCTAGGAGGCCTCTTTCTTAGCAGTACAGAGGACCCTCGCGATGCAAGAGCGGATGTCCTGGGTTATTTGAGCTGAGGAGGAAAGGCCTGCTCAAACCGAAATTGTGTTGTCTGTTTGGATTTTGATTCTATACATGAGGAACCATGGATTCCAGCGGGTCTGTTTGAGAGTTCGTCAAGACTGCTTTCCTTTCAACAACTGTCATCCGCTTGAACCGCTCTGTGATTCGCGGTCTGTTGCTTTAAAGAGTCTAGCGTTCGCCTCATTGTGACACGTGTCCCGTCTATGCAGGTGGCGATCGACCCCGTGCAGTTCCGGGGCCTCGAGTCCGTGCCGGATGCAGTGGATCACCTACAAGCGGGGAAGAGCTTGGGCAAGGTCGTTGTCACGATTGCGAAGAATGCGCAGCGGAGTTCAAAGCTGTAAAACACTCCTGCGGAAGGCGTCGCACTTGAGAGATCAGCTACGTGCCAGTTTGTACCATACTCGTTATCGAGGTCAAGGCACAAGTTTTGACAAGAGGTATTTCGCAAGCATATGGCACACGAGTAACCAGAGGACTAACTTTGCCCCCGAACACTGTCAAATAGACTCCAATTTGAAAAGGCCTCGGCTTGGTTTGAATGCAACGGGTCGTGCGAGTCTAGCCGGCTTGAACGGAAATTTCAACCTGACGGTCATACGCACGGCCTGCATGAGGTTAAAGAATGTGGCAGAGGAACATTCATTTAGTGGTGGCATGTGCAATATGCCACCTGCTTAGGATGATCCGGCATTCATATGTGCGAATGATCGATCGATCTACTCGATCAGCGCAAACCAAGTCGTGCAGGCGGGCGCCGCTGCGTGCATACTAGTATACGCAGAACGTACGCGGCCGCGCTGCCTTTCCATTCGATAGTGTTATTTGCGTATAGTGCCGGATCATAGACAGCTGGCTAGTTATGTCCTTCGCTTATCACATATAGCTTGGCGCGCGCACCTGGCGCTCTGCGAAAAATACAAAAGTGTCCATGATGCCCGGGCCGAGGCGATCATTCAGTGGCATGCATGCCACACATTGCGCAGCTGCAATCCAGCATGTTGCCGGGGCCATGCTTGACTTTAGGGTTCTGAAGAGAGCTGACTTCTGTCCCGGTTTGAGTGAAGGGATCGGGAAGCCGCGAGGACACGTAGAAGGTTTGCGAAGCCTGGCTCGCTGGGTCGACTTACAGGAACGTCATGGTAGAGATGCGATCGAAGTGAAGGGACTCAGGTGTTTACAAGAACGGCTCCCTTCCATAATGTCTATCAAAGACGGCACCGTCCAACATTTCAAAGCATATGGGAAGAATCTGGATTCAATCCGACGGAACGCTCTCAACGTCTTGCAATAACAAGACAATGCACAACAGCTTAGGAGAAACTCTTGAGACCCCTACATTTCTGCTTCTGGCTTGGACTGGTTCTCGTCGCAACACTGCGCAATCACCTCACCCCAATGACTGTCCGCCGCGCTTACATGGAGGACCAGATGCTATCCGGCCCCGATAGCGAACGTTTTCCCGGCCAGGGCTCCATAAGCCACGGACCTTATGAAGTTCTTCACAAGCTCGTTGCTTCCAAGCAACCGTTCCCATCCATATTTAAGCTCTTGTAGTCCTTCTTGAACGTTCCCTTTCGCCTTTTGTTCGCAAATGCCTCTCTTACCGAAGTACGACGACCGTGAACGTCGTGACCGTTGACGCCACCAGCAGGCTAACGATCAACGTGACGACCGCCTCTTCCAACGGTCCTCCTGGCCGATACTTTCCCAGGGGCACGTACACAGCGTCGTGAACCGGGCCGAGAAGCAAGCTGGCGCACCCCGGGCCGCGCGCGCACCAGGGCGCGCGCGCTCTGGGCACCAATTCCCTATTGATTGCAGCCACGTAGGAGAAGAGAAGAACGAAGACCAGGGTCTTGGTCAGCAGCAAGTCTCGCAGGAGGGGCCAGTAAGAGTGCATCGTGTCCTGACGACCAACTAAGGAAAGCAGGAAGGCAGACGCGCTGTCCACTAAAGGACCATCCAGAAACGAAGAGTTTGACGCCATCCTTCCGACTAGGAGGGTGGCAAGTTGACAAGCGAAGGGATGCATGTGTCCTGGACTGAAGCACCCTGTAAGCAGAGTGGGTCCGACGGCTCTCTCGAAGTGGCGACTCCGGTCTGGAAAATAGTGATTGAAACGTTTCGGCAAACTTCGAGGCAGCGCACGCTTGGAGGGTGGGCTCGAGCGCCTCGGTCGATCTTGAACGATACGCGCAAACACGCAGACTGTTTCATTGAAGGTTCTTGTGCTCTAGATCTGTGAATTAGATCGCAAACAACAGTGCGGCCCACCCGACAAAAGTACTCCTCTCGGGAGAAGTAAACTTTTTCATGGCAGGATAATTGGAAAAATGCTTCCAATAGGGAATAAAAAGCCAGAGCTTGAAGCAAATCTGGTCACGGACAGGGTATTCATCCATGTTGCACGCCAAGCTTGATGATTACGTTGCCGGGCTTCTGGATAAGCGCCTCGCTGCTAATGAGCCGTGTGCAATTCTGAATGGGTGGAGAACCAATGACAAAACATGCCCGTTGCATCCGATTCGCGTTGCGGATCCATGACTTCCTCAAAATGAATTCACAGGGTGTGTGCGCATTGTATGTGATCGCAAACCAGGCCACAAGCTACCAGCTTTGACAAAGCGTCACTTTGAACCGTCAAATCAGAGTCAAATGACGAGGCGTCATTATGCTATTGACGAGACTCCGCCTCGCACAGAAGTAGCACAGTGAAGTCTCCCATGAAGCGCATGAGTGCATTGCCAGCCAAAAATGTTTGAGATTCAGGAGAGCGAGTCCGATAAACCGCCCAATGCCTTGAATTACGTCATGGCTTTTGGATTGAATTAATATCTAGCGGCCTGGAACGACCTTATTGTGAACGCAGATGGAAGGAGAGCAGTTTGCTTCGCTCAGATTATTCTGGAATACTCCATTGACGAGCTTGTTTCCAGGGCTAGAACATATTGCTAAAGGATGATGCGTAATGGTCCAGAACATATTGCTAAAGGATGATGCGTAATGGTCAAAGTATCTGGAATTTCAAGAAGTCTATCAAGTGCTTCATGCTTCAGAACCATACTGGCTCGACTATGATCGTCCAACCGCTCCAATCTACCGGCCCAAGGCCTGCTATTGCTCCGTGAAGGCTTTAGAACGTCTTCGAAACAGGAACTCTAGGACCTCTCCTCTACAGACTTCCCTCCCAAAGGCCCCACTTGGGCGCCCAAAGATGTAATCCCCTCTTCTTGATTTCACTCAAACCAAGCAACCGCTTTACCCCAAAAGCGCCATGAACTTCGACGTCAGCGAATACACCAGCACGCTAACCAACAGCCCAACTGCCATCTCCCCCACTGACGCTCCTCCGCGTCGCAGCTTCTCCAGCGGCACTTGTAGAGCGCCGTGCGGCGGGCCCAGGATCAGGCTGACGCACCCCCTGCCGCGCGCGCACCAGGGCGCGCGCGCTGTGGACTTCGTCTCTTGGCTGATGGCGGCCGCGTAGGAGAGGAGCAGGTGGGCGACCATGATGAAAAAGAGCAGCAACTCAAGCACAGTCTGCCAGAAGCTGATTCGGGCATCGGGGCGCGCTCAAGGATTACAAACACCAGATTGCTGCTACTTCTCGTCGGAAAAAGATACAAAGGGGTGAATAACCTTTTGCCGGAAGGGGTGAATCAGAAGCAGAAGGGCCGAGACTGCTCTTCTTTCCCCACCCGGAATACATCTGGTTGCAGCAGATTGAGCCAAGAAGCGATACTTGATCGAAGCAATTTGAGGTGGGCAGAGAAAGAATCTCTCGAGCTTAGCTAGCTACGCTGCAAATCCATGTCGCTGGTGATCAATTTGCAAGCAGTTTGTCAACTTCGAGACATCTGTTCTGAAGAAAAAGCGGCTCGGGCGCCTCGACTTCATCTTGAGTGACTCGCCCACACACAGCAGATTCGAGACGCACAACTTGCATCTCATGTCTGTCCGCGAGCATAGATCACGAGTACGAGATAAGGACGAGGATGCTGTATTTGGCTCAACTAGTCCGACCAGCGGATAGCCTGAGCCGCTGGCGCACACGCTTCGCTCGGGATGCAAACAGCTTGGGATACTGCCGTGAAGCATGTGTCAATTAGCTTTACAGCAGCTGCAGCGGACAGCCATGTATGGGCACGCGAGTGTCAGAGATTCATGCTACAACGGAAGAGCCTTAAAAGTGGCAGCGTGGTGCAAAGGAAGCGTCCGATCATCCAAGCTGCCTCTGTCTTATTTATTATCGTTTCCTGAGGATTGTGGCACCCGCCTCTGTTAGATGACCTGACTAACACTGGATCTGGTTAGGAAGCTTCCCTAGAACGCTTTGACTTACAAATCGGAATGCTGGACAGAAGGTCCGGCTGGAACTTGGACATATTGTTCTCCAAACCTAGTTCTCCATGATGAGAAAGCTGAACAGCTTGAGACAATTCCTCACGCTTCACGAGGCGAGTTAACGTCAGCGCCTGCACGTCCTCAAACCCGCGCGTGCTTCATCCTATGTATTCATGATTGATAAGTCTCAGTTACTTGATTTACTCAACTAGTCGACCCGACCTACAGACAAGTATTTCTTGCGTCACCCAATGTACTAGTCCAGGCAAACTTCACATCGACTTATCTGAACCAACATGACTGACTCCGTCTGTGAAGCACGATTTAACATCCCGTTTTCAATCTCATTTGGTCTCGAAAGCTCATTCTTCTGCGCTTATGGAACAAATGTCTGCCAGGAACTGTCCAGATGCCTTCTTGAAACGTGTTTGACCATTTTCCCCTGGCTAGCCTGTCTTGGCTTACAATCGCCCTGTTAACGTCTTTTTCAAACTCTAAAGGCAACTGAGATATCCTTTGCAATCCTACCTTTGCACCCTTTTTCAACTTTACCCATAAGAGTCAATACAGAAGGTCCGCTATGACCGACACAAACGCCCCGACCAGCAAGTTCACCACAAAGTTGACCGCGATCTCTTTGCAGACGCCCCCTTGCCAGCGGTACTTTTCTAGGGGCACGTACACAACGCCCTCCCGTGGCCCCATCAGAAGGCTCACGCACCCCTCTCCGCACGCGCACCGCAGCGCGCCCGCGCCCGCAAGCACGCCCTCGTTGGCTGCCTGCAGCTTTGTGACGTAGGAGATGAGGAGGTGGTAGGACAGGCACGTGACCATGGCCATGGTGAGGAGCAGGCTCCGCAGCAGCTGCCAGTACGGGTGCATCATGACAGGGCCACCTTTAGCAGGTTGCTTCCGATCAGAGAACTCTGTGTGGTAGACGAGAGATAGAAGAACGCGCCTCTGCAGAAATAATGGAAGCTTTCGCTGGAAAAAAAGAGCTCTCAGTCTGGTTGGGAAGTAAGGGAGAGCGACAGAAGATTAGATTGCCTGAAGGTCTGAAGGGGGAACGCACCAACCTGTCCAGAACACTGTGACTGAAGTCCGGAGGTAGCGCAGCACATCTGGTTCTTGAGCCGGCTCTTCTTGGAACGCCTTCTTTCTCTGGCGCGCGGGAGGTGTACAGCTTGATACCCTGACCTTTGCCTCAAGGATGAATTTTCGCTAATGATACTCGACCACATCCAATTTTGCAAGCCCTATCTGCGGTCATGGCTCAGGTAGTCTAGATACTGTATTGAATTCAAAAAGTGCCGTGAACGCGTGAAAGGGCAGCCGAGTCCTGCCAGGATTGAATCAAAGATAGCTCACAAATTTCTGTGTTGAGGAATGTCCTTAGACACTAGTAACATACTCACAGAGGAACCAGGGAAAGATTGACTAGCTTCTTTTCATAGGAATCTAGATAGAGGAGCTTTTCGTTGAAATCTGCAATCAGCGTGCAAAGTATAAACGTGTAGCTTCGCTGAATCCAATTGTACCTCTGGTACTTGAACATATAGAGAGTTGAAACCCCAAATAGTTGTTTGGACTCTCCTCAAGTAATCGTATTCGAACGCTCCTATGGTTCGGTCTCAATCAGTTTCTCTCCTTCCGTTTCCTTCATGCGCGTCCTCATCGCGATATGTTTCCAAATCACGAAACAATGCCAATATAAACCTTTAGGGTGACGTCTATGGAAAAGCACTACGTGAAAGTACGTCGCTTCGATCATTCGTTGCCAGAACTTGCTCGAACCTTTTGAGCAACTGTGATACCGTACTGAATTGAGGGCTCATTTGCAGATGGGCATGTTAGGACGAATCAGAGTCGATCATCAGGTAAAGATGAGACGTCCACGGGAAATTAGCCCGCGGAGTCAAGTCATTGAAACTGGAGTATCAGATGGGCGCCTGGTTAAATGCAGCGTGTGAACCTGTTGATGGGTCTGCCCATCTCAGATGTTTTTTAGTTTGCGCTCGTATCTATTGGTCGTCGTCTCCAAGAAAACCTGATAAAAGCAAGTAATGCCGTTCTCGGATTTCACGCTTTCCCGCGCTTAAGCCGTCTGATTGCCCACAGCCAGCATGTACGGTCAGTGTCCAATACAGTGATAACCGGAATAATAGAGCACCATTTACCCTTCTTCTACACGGCTCAAACTTGATTTTCCAAGTGGGCAATTGCGCAATTACGCTGTCTATGGATTACCGTTGGATTGTCACTACAAGTTGTGATATTGAAAGTTTCGCACCGGATCCACTCCGTCTAGCAGCTAATGTCACAGGGCAAGTGGTTACGTACGCGTTCATTAGTCAGCATAACATACCACCAAGATTGCAGAATAGCAGCCCACCTTCCCACAAGTACCGGAGATGCACATTTTCAATCGAATTTAAAGAACGAAGACTCAACATTCTGGGTGGACAGTTGATCACTCTGATCGAACACTATCAACGATGTTGCCTAAGATAGTTCAGTTCTTTTAATAGGCTTCCTCTTCCAACTCGCAAATCACAGAATGGTCAATGTCGGTTGCTTGAAATACGGTATATGAATGGATGTGCCTAATTAATTTTCAAGAAAATTGGTCGTGCATACTAAAACAAGGAATGGTGGTCATTGGTAAACTCTGCGCTAATTTCAAATATTTCTCTCAACCTACTTAGACCCTCTTCGAGTTTATACCCTCTTCGAGTAAGAATTAGTCCTCTTCTTTTAAGCTGGCCGGTCAAGGCAACCAATGAATGTAGCAATAGAGAAAATCCAATTTTGGCCCTTGTTTTGACAACAATTAGTCTACTGTTATGAGAATTGAGCCGAATCGGCTAGGCTTCCGGATCTTACAGTAATCTTATGTACAGGCTACAGAACGACTAACTATCCGCCTTTCTAAGAGCTTTTGACCTCCGCTCTCGGCTCCACTTCGATTAGGTCGCCTTTCGCATCATAGCGAGCCCGGTCCCTCTCCATGAGGCGGTGCGTCGACCGGTGCGAACCGACCAGTTGGTCCCACCACGTAAAATAGAGGCTCTGTGCGCACACAAGAACATATTAATGACGCAATCCCAAGTGTTAACCTCTTGCCTGACCTGACAAGTACCAAAGACTAAAAGAAACGTTGCCTAATCGTAGGCTTAGTGCGACTGAATATTTCCCGTTTTGAGTTCGCTATTTCGGGATTAAGGGGCACAGAGACAAAGTCAACTCTCAAGCATCTGACCACAGACAAGGCGACAGAATATGGTGGTGACCGCTCCGCTAACATCAGAGAATGTCTTCTGGTGACACTGGCATACCTACAACGCAATGGCTCCTACCCTTGGCAATCAAAGACGCCGACTCAAAAATCATCAAGTTCCTTTTGACCATTAGTCTAGGAAACACCAAAAGAAACAACAAAGGCCATACAGGAACTGCCCATCAACGCGCGAGAATGGCGAAGGGCGTACCTTATTGTAGCGCGGGTCTAGCTGCACATGAAAGAAAAAGACTGTCAGATAATGGACAAGAGTTGCTCCGGCGTATGACATGGCAGGATTCGATTCTAATCTTCTGTCCAGAAGAAGAACTTCATGAACGACCGTTCCCAACGTCGTTCACTTACGTAAGCAGAGGAGAGCCTACGACGAAGTGTTCGCAAGAAAACCATTCGCGAGTCAAGTTCCTTGATTTTTGAAGCACCTGACTGGAGCCCACATGTCTTTCCATCTCAACACAACAGTCGACATCAAGCGCGAGCACCAGACGGTGTAATATCTCCTCGTCTAGTAGAAAACTAGGTCGGGGGGATTTCTACTCACGTGGTGCACGTAGTGGATCTGCGCGTTCTGGCTCCAGGGCGTCCCGAGGCTGCCCAGCGAGAGCGCCGTCGTGAGCCAGTGCGGCAGGTCATACCCGCAGTGGCCCACCATGTTGGCCGCATTCTCGCACGCGAAGTACCACAGCAGCGCCGCCGCGTTCCACATGGGCCGCTGCCAGTAGAGCCACGTCATCACGAAGCCGTGAAAGAAGCTGATGGTGGCCAGCAGGTCCGCCCACTCCATGAAGCCCGTCGAGAAGACCGACAGGTCGCCGCCTGCACGAAGAAAAGTTGAAGATTGATGAACTGTGCGCGGCGACCAGAGAAAATTGGACAAGCGATGTAGCAAAGAATTTGTGGCGCAAGATGTAAGCGAGCCCGCTTCGTCCGGCCTCTGGCCCGTCAACAACTCGTTTACATTGGCGGCATTAATTGAATAACCTCGTCCTGCTTCTTCTCATATGTGGGCTGACTTCGAAGTATTGTTGTCTCGAAGGAGGATATGCGCCGTTGTTCTTCTACCCATAAGAGCAGATATGGTGCCAGGAATAAAAGTATCAGGAAGAGCCGTCCTTACCTGACTTGTGGTGCATATAGTGGAACCGCATGTAAATCGCCTTGTACTTGTGCATCATATAGTGCACGGTAACTGCAAGCAGCCAGTGTAGTCTGATGAGTTGGAAGGACAACAAACTACTGAAGATCATGCACTGACATAGACGGCAGGAAAGAAGGATAGGGAAACTTAGCGACATACAGAACTGAAGCAAAGAGAGCATCAGAACAACAGATCGTCTTGCAATTTTAGGTTTGTGAACAAAACGTTCTCACGATGTGGACCTCTCGACGCAAAGGCGAACGATATGGATCAAAGTTCAATCAACTGGGCGGTCAGACGGTTCGATCGAGACGAACGCTTTGATCGTCCTTTCGTCTCACATAAGCAGATCGACCGCAGGCGCCGCTATGAAATCCAGGTAAACTGGCGCCGACAAAAGACGAGGAACCAATAAGTTGCATTACTCACAGAACCACCAGTCGTGCAGGAACATGAAGGCCCACTGGAAGATGAGCATGCCCAGCGGATCGAAGTGGAAGCCAATCCGGTTCAGAAAGCCGGCGCGGTAGCGGGTGAGGAAGAAGCCGACGGGGACGTATGACAGGCTGACGCCCAGGAAGCTGCCAGTGCGGTAATGCAGCGCAAAGTCGACTGCAGAGAACATAGTGATACGCACTGTAAGTAAAAAGCATAGTGAGTGTAGGATACTCGAACGGTCTGGCAAATTTTACTCTCACGCGCATATACCACCACCACATTCCGAAGGCACCTTCGGAGTGACGCCAACCAGCAGAACGCTCGGGGTTCAATCCTTTTGGAAGCATTGGCCATTGAAAGCACTTGCTTGTCCACAATTAAGGGTTATTGCAGAAACACTTAACTCTGCCAGTGAGCTTTCAACAACTGCTTGGGGATTTTTGTTTGGAAAAAGGAGTAGGAGATTAGTGTATGGTGAACCTCGGAATCACTATTCCAACGAGTTTGCAACCAGGTCGATTAGACTCCATAAACGTAACCGCGTGAATGCAGGCCAACTTGACTCTATTCTCTGATCAAACATGGCTTGAAAGCCTTCAAGAAGGCTGGTTTGCGGCTGAAATGAGGAGCGCTGTCTTACTGGCCCACAATGAACGTCCTTCTGAAAATACCGAGTAGAAGGAACCACTGGCGTAAGAAGGAACCAAAAGTGGCAGCCCAAAAAGCAGCTTCCAATGTCCTTGCTGAACCAAAAGGTCACAGTTAAAAAGGCCACAGTTGTCTGTTCCCCTTTGCTGGAGTGGAAGTTTCCATCTCCTTACCAATCAACAGACCTTAGGCCTCAGAAAAAGGACGCTCGAACCCAATGCAACAGTTTCGAACAATCTTCTTGGTAAGACCTCTCCAAGCAAAGTCAACCAGAAAGAACGATACAACGTGAGAAGCTGAGTGTTGATCTCAACCTCTCTTCAACAGCGCTCTGTGACCATAACACCCACCTGCTATTGACGGGCAGATGCGTCGGATGATCTTCCTGTTTTCCAGCCCCTTGCAAATGGCGTACATGCTATGCTCCACCACAAAGTTGAAGACCCCAACTCCAAACCCAATCACCAGCGCGCCCAAAATCTGGAAAGCCAGCTCCCTCCCAGGGGAAGAAGCAGGGGCGCCGAGCTTTTGGCATATGCCTCCGGCTAGCCTGTGTAGGAGCTCGCCTCTGCTTGCAGAGATGGTAACATTCCCCGCCATTGTTGACGTCAGCGCGACTCGGGAAAGTAGTGGCTCAACACAGAAGCAATCCGGATCGAGTAAAGAGTGCTTCTCTAAGTTCAATCAGCAATCTCTGTTCTTCTCTTGTGAAATTGACCCTGTCAAAAACTGCCAAAGCAAGGAGGTGATAAGCGATTTTGATTCCACCATGCACTGATGGGCATCCTCAAATGCGAGCGAGATTGACGCTACTTTCTTCTCTGCAACTGACTTTTCCTCCAAGGCCGAGAAAATCTAAAGAAAGAAGCCCTTTTGCTGAGGGCCAGAGGCAGATCACTACTGCGAACTTTGAGGACGTTCTGTGTAGGACCCTCGATCAGAGCACACCTGTTCAAGGTGATTCGCTTTTCCGCTTGCTTTCGCTGGCTCCTACTTCAAGTTCAGCAGCTGCCGAGGTTGATTGCGGCAGAATAGAGGCCCACGTTCGCTCGCTCTCCGTAATGTCCCATGCTTGTGGATCTGTGAACGTCATGAAGCTCCATCATCGGCACGCAAACCTACTTTCCAGCATGCATGCAGTCCAGCTTGCTGGCTAGACAAAACCGGCAGCCTATGGTACTTCGAATCCTAGCTGTGCACTAGCTGGTGTCAGAGCGCGAGGTGACGATGCATCATGCAGGTTGGTCCAGCTTGTGCATGGTGGCGCGGCGCTCCATGCAGGCCTCAGCTTGACACGAACAAAAACACGTGGCAAGCTCGGGCGCGATTTGATTGGCCGACGTCGACCATCGGACCCGTCAAAAGTAACCACTCGGGATTCTGTTTGCCGCGCTGCATTTCTGGCCTCAAGCTTCAGTGCATTCAGTCCAAGACTCGCAAAGTCCCAAGGTTGGTAGTCCAGCAACAATAGAGGAAAAGAGGCTGAGCTTGCATGGCATCCTCGGGGCTGCATTGCATGAGTTGCGGGGCAGCATCATTGCCGCCCCCCCTTCATGGGAGCGTGCAACGAACGGGAGGAAATATCGCCCCGGGGGCGCCCAAGCACACAACCACACAAGCAGCCGCTGGACCACCACCCATTCTGGTCAAAATCAAATGTTCGCAACTTAATATGGTTGAACTTTCTGCATCAGCCTCAGCCGCAGCCTTCATTCCAATGCCTTCTCATTGAATTCATGCAATGTCACATGCCAACATCGACCGGCCAGTAACCTTGCACCCTAAGTGCAACAATTGCGCGCTTTGCCCCGCATACGAAAACGGCGACGGTCCTTAAGTCATGCCTCCAGAATTTTCTAAAGCACGCATTGTCGAAAGGGGCACTGCACATGATTAGCTTGTATAGGATGGTACCACGCGACATTTGAGTAAGCTGATAAGCTAGGCCGGATATCGTTATAGGATGCATGATCATATAAGTCAGAAAACTTGCTTTCCGCATTAGTAGCTTCTAGTGTTCTACAGCAATTCGATGTAGTGACACAGTGATCGAAGCCTGCCTGATTTAAGGCGCCTGTCATTTGTGTAACTTGCAAGGAAAGTCATTATTTGTAAGACCTACTTGGACCAACTTACCGCTAGATTCAACCGCCATGATGAGCCTAGGGCAACTAGGTTCTGAACTTTGACATCGCACCGTTTGCAGCCGACAATTACATGGGAAAGAAGTCGGCCAGGCGCGTGCTGGCGCCGCGCTCCACACTTCTATATACGCATGATATAAGTAGACTGTCAGGTCCTATCAAGAGTCATGCCACCCAACCTAGAATCCGGATTTAGCGCAGTGGCGTACCCGCCAGTCATACTCGTTGCATTGATTGCATGCCGCACGTTTCTAGTCTAGGCTGAATTCACGCGATTCTTGTCGATGCGCGTCACATATGTTCAATCAATCACAGCAAAAGCTACTCGACATATGATACTATTTTTTGATCCTTGACAAACATTGGTGCTCGCGCTTATTCGAAATATTACAGATTATAGTGCAAATGCTGGTACTAAGGTAATCAGCATTCGAATATGTGTTTTCCAAACCGCTCCAGCTTGCCAATTCCAAGTTCTACTCTACGCCAATCCGTCCGAATGTCCAGATTTCGAATCGTGTTTAGTCATTGATTGAATTGATACTCTTACCTTCACTCATGATTGACTCTACCTGCATGCAACGCAACCGGCCAAAATCCAGGAAATACCACGCATGTCCAAACCTACATTCCTAGCATCAACACATCTGTATACGTACAACTAGGCTGGTTTCTCGATTCTTACGTGCACGATGATTAGCAATAAATATGCTAAGGTTCACTCAGAGTGGCATGTCTCAAACTCAAAAAGCTCAAGATGGAGAAAGTACCTCCGCTAGGCTTGCATCCATTTCCGCGGCCCCGCTCTCAACGAGGGCCACGTTTGACTCCCTGTCGAGCCCCGGAACAGCAGTCAATGGGCTGTCAACGGACGGCTGGGACACGGAAACCGTGGCTTTGCGGGGCACAATCTCGCAGCGGTCCAGACACAAGTTGACGTACTCCGCCGACTCGTCCACGTAGCGCACCAACCACGGCTACAAGAGGGGTAGAGAAATTCTGATAATACCTTGATTTTGGAATTAACATTCATTTTGATAAACTTGACCTGATTGGACAAAGACAGAAGGCAGCGTGGCTACGAAGACCTTGAGCGCGTTGACGATTTAGAAGGGAGGCACCGAGACTCCTGAATAGTGATTGGACATCTTCACAGGTTTCAATCGCTTGAAAATAGACTTTGCTCTGCTCCGGAATACTTGACGAAGTACCGCCACTAACGACCTGCTTTGACATTGTTGTCCCCGGTTAGAATCAGATTGCGGGCACGGGTCAGCGTATTTGATATTTGCAGGGCAAACGAGTAGTGAACAACAAACAGAACGCTTTGCAAGACGCCGCTCACCTGTGTATTCCTGAAGCCCATCGTGGCATCGAAGCTCTCGACCGTCGCCCACATCCACAGACGGGTCTTCACGTCGAGAACCCGTACCTCCCTCCCAACAAGCGCAGCCCCATCGAGAGCCGGGTTTTTGATCAGCGCCGCTTCCGTCACGATCTTTTTAGGTTTCGGGGCCGAGGGTTGCCGGACCTTCCGCTGCCGGGCCGGCTTCTCCGGAAGGGTTAAGCCCAAACCCGCTCGCCAGGCGGCTTCCTGGGTAGCGTCGTTCCGCTCGAAAGGGTTGGGGAACAACTCGACCCGGTCTAATACCCGGGTAATTTCTAGAGTAGCTGCACTTGGGCTTAGCATGGATCCCGGAGAGAGGCCGCTCGGCGCAAAGTCCGGGCACATCAGGTCTGTTGCTAAGGTAGTATCACCAGTGCCGATTTTGCCCAGCTCTTCAGGCTCCAAACCGGGGAAGAGGAGAGTCTGGACCACAGGATCGGGGCTTCGAACAGCTGCCGAGAAGGGTCCGCCCACGGGAGGGACCTCGGAAACTTCAATCGCCGTTCCGCCCCTCTCGTTCACTTCGATTACAAGGGCGACCCCAGGTTCATCTGGAAAAGCGGTTGCTGGTGTTGTCTGGGCCGCAGCGGGAGACGCCCCGGTCCTTTCCGGGGCAGCCGGGGCAAAGTTTCTGGTCAGTGAAGGCGCCTTCGATGAGGGAGGACTCGGCCCGGATGATTCCCCTAGCCCTACCTGAGAAGTTAGCCGCTGCAAAAGTGCACTCGCCAGCGGCGAATGCCGTCCGCCGTTGGGGTCGGGTCTTCCAACCGAGGCGCTTCCGCTGGCTTCCCGCTCGCTCCCGGAGTCCTCGGAACATTCTACCGGGCTGCCTCTGCACTTACTCTCCTCCCCGCTGAAGAGCCCGGGACCTTCAACCGGGCAGCTGCCTGCAGCCGACCGCTCAAAGCAGACTGACGCCGGGGAGGACTGGTTCAAGGGCTCTACCGAGGGAGAAGGAGAAGAGTTCCCGGGCAAATGTACGCCTGGTTCCAGAGGGGGCGGGCTGCCGCCGGTGGCGCTCGGAACTAGCCTCCATTGCTCCTGAGGGAGGTCCAGATGCTCAACGGTTTCGTCCGCGGCATAGAAGATCTGCAGAAAGAAGATGCAAGTAAGAGCGCAGGGATAGAGTGAGAGGAAAGGAACCGAAAACAGGTGCTCTGCAAGACTGAACTTGATGCAACTTCAAGATGGACTTCAGATTTGCAATGGAGAGGACGGGACCGCTGGCCTCGATATCAGATCTTCTTCTGTTGCATGGAGTTGGTTGTTCGCGGCTTCGGTCAATTTTAAGGGCTTCCTCCGAAAGGGGAGCATTTTCTCTTGCAAAGGAACATGGTGACTTCCTTCTGGTCCAGAGAACCAGCACGCGTTGCTCTTCACTATCTAATCAGAAGCCGAGCATGTGCCTCTTAGCGAGGAGAGGATGCCGTCCAGGCAACGCCCGACCAGACGTGCCAACACTCAAGCCGACTATCAGCAGAATATGGGGCCTCGAATCACGACTAGCCGCTGACCTTATATGGCCTCTTGTTCCGTGGGTTGAAGCTCTGCACAAGGCCCACGTAGAAGGTGTTGTCCTGCGGCCAATACACCTCCACGTGGCGGCCCACCAGGGCCTGCCCGAGGAGCCCGGACGAAACCAGGGGCGGCGCCACGTCGCCCAGCTTGCGCTTCAAACTGGGCGCAGGCATGCCGCCATCTCCCTGCAGAGACCAGATCCAGGTCTAATGTGGCGATTGGGCTCGGACAACCGCATGATCTAGGATATGTTCGGATCACGACCACCGTTTTGGGTTGGTCAACTGGACCGCGAGAAACCGTTAAAAGCAGGATCGGAGCTTTGCAAGATCGTTGTCAAACTTTTGCACCTCTCGTGGATCGGAGAAGCGTGGTGTAAGGAAAGGCATTCTGAAGAGTGGCTTGTCGAGACGAAACCCTTTGCAATACCTGCGCAAAAGCAAGACTCCCTTTGGAAACTTTTTAAGGCTCAATTCTGCTCCGGATAACACTTGGTAAACATTGCTTGAGCCAGAGATAGTAACCAGATCACAGCCAGACAGTTGCCAACTGCTCTTATCCCATCTTTCCCCTTACCATGTACTCGCCCTTCTCGTCAAAGCGCCGCAGCCAGTCGTGCTCCGCGCGCGCCCACAGAACGATGCGCGCGTACTCGTCCGGCAGGTCCATCTTGTCCGAGATCTCCTCCGGACTGCGGTCCGGCCAGGGCACCACCTTGTCCACCCACAGCGAGGACCACTTGTTCTGCTCGCCTTTAAATACCACCAGCGTCTTGCCCGTCTCCTCCTGCGCGAGCACCGCCGGGGACGCGTGCGCGCGGCTCTGGAGGACGGCGGGGTACCACTTGGGCCTGGATGGGAGAAACAGGGGGGAGCGCAGATCAGCATGGTTGAGAAAGACTGATTGAACTGTGGTGATCACCCTTCCGTTTCAGCAGTCAGTCTGCCGCCTAAGGGACTGTGCGTGAGACACAGGGCTCGCGGTCGAACTTTGAGGGAATTTGACTGTCAAGCTTCAGCTCACAACCGGGCCTAGAGGACGTCTTTCTAGCGGCTGGAGCAATCGCATCACGTAACTACTGCCCCGCTTGGAATGTGGCCCCGATCAAAAGAAGGCCGGACTGTGGAGACACAGCTCGGCCTTCTAGTCAGATTTGTAATATTTGAACCAGCAAGCTTTTGCACGGACGATCTTCAGGGATCGATGAGACAACTTGCAGATATGGATAACTAAGACGGTCAAGAGGCATGACAAGTTTCGGAGCAGTGGCACACCTCCAGCCGGTCAGCGACGCCCAGACGACCGACTCCGCCGTCCGCGGGTATGCCTGGAAGTCGTCCAGCTTCATGCCGTACGTCCGAATCAGCTTCAGTTGCACGCTCTGCGACACCTCGAACCGTTTGTCCTTGAGTCGCTTGACGTAGTTCCTGACGTCAGCCTCAGCGAGGCCCGGCCGGATGGCTGTCAGGAACTTGCTTAGCGGGGTAAACGGCAGCAGCTCGGGCAGCTCCGAGAGGGCGCCACGTGCCAACAGGCCATTGGCTTCTCGAGGTGCTGCGTTGCCAGCGAGCCGCCACGCTGCACGCGGCCAGGCCTGCAGAAAGAAGTGCGTGATGTAAAGAGTCGGGAGTACAATTTCATTGTTGCGGAAACGAAGATATGACAAGGCTCGTCAATGAGAAGTACAGCTTCAATGTGCACCAACTCTGATCAACACCAGCTCTGAGAAAAGCTTCTCGCTGGATACGGCATGCGCAAACGATCTGACTAACTTCATAAGACAGAAGCACCATTCGTTTATAAGCAGCGCCAGGTTATTAGGATGACGTGCTTGATGACGTCTCCAACTGTGATCCCTGCACTCGGTCCTGTTCAAACTTGTCCGCTACGCATGAAACAAAACTGCCAAGAAAACAAACCCGATGAGTTCTGTTGGTCGGTTCTGGAGCCGTTCGCATCGCAGTATTGGGTAATCTGATTACGGGCAGGGCCAAAATCACTGACCTCTGGGGCTGCGGGGTCGAAGGCTTGGTCGCCGTTTCCAGTCGTGTACTTCCGCCCCTCATAAGGGTTGGCAAGTCGTTTGCCAATGTACCAGGCGACCGGGACTGACACCGCGTCGCCCACAAGAGCGAACCGCGCCCTTTCGTGCGCTTCGGGTGTCAAGTCACGGCTGACGCCTCCCTCAGTGCGGAGGCAGGGCCACGTGTGCCCGATCTCAAAGCCCTGGAGCCGCTCGGCATCTTCGATGGCGAGAAGGCCGGGAGGGGTCTCGCTGCCGGGGGTGACGATCATCCACCTGTGAAGATGCAGATGCCGACCACAATGAGTTCAGACTTGTATGATCGACCGACTAATCACGAGACTTGTGAGGTGGACTTGGAAGCTTCATCTAGCAAAGCCCCTAAAGGGCAAGTTCAGGAGGGTTTAAGCAGAACTTTTTGATTGGCCTGTCACAGTCAATCCTGCCTGAGAGTACTCGGCTGTTGACTGCGGCCCCCGGGTTGTGATTGGGATTCCTGATCTTGGTCAAAATTTGGCGCCCACAGTTGGCCAGCAGGACAGTCTTGTAAAAAGAACTTATGGATAGGGACAGTAGCTGGATCAACAACGGGGGTTCATCAGACAAAGGTTGGGTCTTGATTTCGACAGCATGCACTTTGGCCATGGACTATCGTTGATGACAACGACCAATCAGAGAGCAATAAAAATCAGTATTCCTTGCAAAAGTGGGACCCAGTCTTTCTACCCGCTTTGTGATTGAAGCCAACCGAGAACAAACCGACATGCGGGGTTTGTTCTTCCTAAGCTTCATCTCTTTTGAAGATCAAAAGCGATGTCGACGTTCACCAGACGGCATCCAGTCTGTCCGACGAAAAGGATTATTTCCTAAAGTTCAGATGATCAAGTCGAGAGGGATCCCCCACCTGCTCCCGTTGCTCTTGGTGAGCGTTGGCATGACGCCCACGCAGCCCCCCGAGCGCCAGCACTCCAGGTCCATGGCATGAACCTCCTGTTCAAGGTCCTTCCCGTTCTCCCAACACAGCACGCACGGCGCAGCGCACGGGCTGCCGCAGCTGCCGACGTCAGCGAGCAACGCGTCTCTGCAGCAGTGGGAATTTTGATGAGGCGGATAGAATCAGGACTGAAATAAGAATTAATAACTTGTTGAAGACGTCAGCAGCGCCCTCGTTCGAGAAGGCGAGGAAAGTAGTGGAGACTCTGCCACTTTTGGCTACGATAGGCGCGCTGATCTTGATGTAATCAGCTAGCAGGTGGTTCTTGGTAGGCTGTCCTTTTCACAAACTTCTTTTGGAATGGGTGATCAAACAATTCACAGCAAGCAACGCTTACAACCTTTTGATGGACTTAAGGTAGAGAAGCAACAGACTCAGAATGCCCCATTATGGATTTTGATTGGTAGCCAGAAACTACAGAGCTTCTAGCACACCTCTTTGTGGAAAAAAGAAATGACCCCCACTGACCTGGGGTCCCCGTGCAAGCAGGCCACTATGAACACCCTGCGCCTGCGCTGCGGGTCTCCAAAGCCAGAAGTGTTGATGATTCGATAAGCCCAGCTGTAGCCGAGTCTCTCAAGCTGCTCCGCAACATAGCCCATCACCACTGGCTGCCCGTGGATCCGATCGAGCAAACCTGCGTATGAAGACCAAGCACTACGGTTTGAAGGAGCTCAAGCGACGAGGCAAGCTCACACTAACTGAGTTTTATGCCAGTGTTTCAGCTACAATTGCCTCCCTACAGCGGCCTCTTAACAAAAAGACAGGCTCCAGAAATGCAACGCAAGGGACTGTCGGATGATGGCTAGGGCTGATGAGTACTTGAAGGGTCACACAACTCTGACAGTTGAGCGTGGTGGTGCGAGATTGGAGGGTTGTCTGAATAAATGGCCATAGTACAAACGCCTTTTCTAAAACGGATTTGTCAGCGCTCGAGTAAACAACAGCTTAAGCTAGTGGCCAAGTAAGAGTCGGTGTGAGCTCATGGCCATGCCCCCATCATAAATTCAAGCTTTTAAGGTAGAGTATAACATCTCTCCTTCCCTTACCAGGAACGTTCTCAAGTAGCACCCACTGGACGGGGCGCGAGGCCTTCAGCAATCTAAACACGTGGTGCACCATGCTAGTCTTGCTCCCCTTGAGGCCCTTCCTCGTGCTGGACTCAGGGCTCAGGTCTTGGCATGGGAACCCAGCAGCCACGATGTCAGTCTCCTTGGGCAGAGTTTGGACCTGCTCGACATTGGGGTGCAGCAGAGTCCCTGGGAAGTGGTGGCGTAGGACCTGGCGGCAACGGGGGTCGATCTCCACCTGGGGCAGTTGACAAGAAAGTGAGTCTTGAAGGGGTTACAGCTAGATTGATACTCTGCCAGGGGTATTGGAGTCTGAACACCCATGTGTCATTGAGGTAATCATAGCACCCGTGCAAGCTCCCTAAGGTTAATTGCCATGGAAGTAAGCTTCTTGGAGGGGAGCGTCGATCTATACGTTTGAAACAAGATAATATATGGAAGTGTTACCCTAACAAACGGTCCTGAAGAGGAGGGGGCAAGTTTTGGTTCGTGTGTACGCCTCTGATTGCTGAAGGTGGTGGTCAGTAATGGGGGATCCCTCTGAGCTAATTTCTCAGGGGGGATCGCTCTAACAAATTGATGTAAGTAGTGGTGGCGTGTCCATTGTTTGCAGGTCACCTCAGATAAGACCACCTTCTACTTAGACTGCAAGGGAATCAGTCGATACTTCACCCTTCTATAAAACATGTCTAGATTGAGCACACAATCATTGTCCATCTTCACTACTAAAGCAGCTCATTCCATTCCACTATCATCCCCTCCCAGAGGCTTCCTTCTCTGGTGCCCATCAATGCAATCGGTTCAAAGCTGCCGGACTCCATTAACGCTGAATGCACCCTGCTTTCAATAGCCACATTGAGGACATCTAATCACCTGAAATGTGACTGTTTGTCCACTTACCTGCATGATGACATCATGGCCCGCCTTGGTGAGACCCAAATCCAGGCCACCGCAGCCACTGAAGAGACTGACCACCCTCATTGCCAGACCAAAGGAACGTCAATGCTTTTCAAGACTGCGACCGGTAGGCTGGCGGCACCTGCATACTGCTTCATCACATGCTGCATCTAGAAGGAGTGCACGAATAGGCTTCCCCAGGCAGGCTACTGCAATGTGGGACACAGCTGGATCAGGTTCAATCAACAAGTCATCTTGGTTCACCTTACATTTGCTAAAGCCCATCTGACAGTGCTGGATGTCTCAGCTCCAACTTTCACGCAATCTGTGCAACATTGCAGCGCAAATTCTGAAAGCCAACCCACTCATTGTTATGTAGATGGTCCCAACTGCGTAAATAGTGCTCAATCTGATCTCAATAATGCACACCAGTGGCCATGGACCATCACCAAATGGCAAAAAACGTCCTGCTTATGGTAAGAATCGTAAGATATTGCTTGTGCCAGTTGTGGCAGCAGCTCCACGTTTCGTATGCAGACTCGTCACTCCAGAGCTCTCTAGCTCCGAGACCTGCCAAAATGTTTGCGGCCGGCTGCCGCGGCAGCCGCGGTTGCGGCCGCGCGGTGAGTCCGACCAAATGGCATGATCGACCCAGCCGCCCCGCAATCCCCGGGCCGAACCTAGCAGAACCTTGCGAAGTGCTACCTTGACGAAGCCAACCGCAAATCAATCACAATGTGATAAGCTGTGCTGTTCTGATTGCAAGGGCACTGCACTGGGGACCTCGAAGTTTTTGCAACATGTCTCAAACCCGCGAGCCGAGATTTCAAAGTGCACGTGCGCAGCGCAAGCATTGAGGAATGAAGGAACAATATAGCGCCGCTTGCAAGGAAGCCCTGATGATGGTCTAAAGTGAACCGGCAGAAACGGCGAGGCGATCGTACTATTGGCAGGCTTGGGGCGGGCTCTCAATTATAAGCAGTATCTTGAGCGCAACAAAAGAGGCGCTTGCGATCGCTTGCGTCGACCGCAAGCGACGCTTTACGTGTTGCGTTTTGTGACAATCTACTTAGGCGCAAGGTCTTTCGGCCCAAGAAAGAGGAGGCAGCCGCGAGGCTGTGAGGACCGTTTATGACCTTTATTATGTGGGGTGACGGACATCGTTTCCAACGGCCATCAGAAGCCAGAGTTGGCACAACGTGCTTGTTTGAAAACTGATCAAGGACCTTAACTCGTTGTGAAACAGTTGGGGATTCTGAAATTCATCTCTTTAAGTTTGAGGTCTCCTTGCAATTGTTTTTTTTTTTTTTTGCGGTCGAATGGCCCGCTGGACTGGCCCGCTTCTGATTGTATGTCGCCGACTAGTAAGGAGGAGCAGAAGTATTGGGGATTGTTTTGAGAGTTCCAAAGAGGGCTTCTTTCACCTCTTATTTCTAGCCTTTAGAAGGAGGTCGACGGGAGATATCGAGAAGGCGAAGGCGGTATAAGTGCGAGCTTCTCTGCAAGGTGGATGACGTCGTGCTCTGCTTCGAGCAGATGCTTGAGCCACTGACGGACGTTGGAAGTGGGACGTTGAGGTGAACTTCTCAGCTGAAAGACTCGTCCCGCTGATTGACCATCTGAGCGCTGGAGAAGATCATGTCTGTGCTTCCCTGCTGCGCTGCAAGAGTCGAGATCCTTAGGCAACGCCGACCATCGTCAACTTCCCTCGTCAACCTTTTGATGAACCACCTTCCGAATCCGACTCCAAGTCGGAGAAACGGACTCGCAGCCAGCCAGGAATGTTTGTTCAATGTGAAATATGCTTCAAGACAGCAACACATACCTCTTAGGAATCCAGAAGACGCGTTCGAACTCGTTGGGTGACAAGGAAACAAAACGAAAAGGATACAGAACGGACGCAACGACTTTGTACGAGAAGCTCATGTGTCCATCTATGTCGTTACGACAGTCTGTTGCAATAAATCAGAAAAGATGGTTTTTTCCAGAAAACCTCTGTCTTGAGAAGAAACGACCCTCCAAGTTGGCGCAGGCTAAGGGACAGTGCGCAACGACCGAATTGAAGGCAGTGTTCTACTGAGCCCCGTTTAGGCGGTGGATACGCAGCCTTCAACCTAAGTACACTCGGCAACACTGTAGGACGACTTTGGCACTGTACTTGCTTCGTAAGAGAAACGCTTGAGTATGCATACATGGGCTGACCATTTCACGACTTTATAGCACGTTGCTTAAGCTCACCCTCGTCAAGCCTCTCGTGGTGGCTTAACTTGGTGACATGCCAATCGACCGTCATGTTTCGCCCTCAGTGCTTTCAGCAAGGGTTGCCCAGACAAGAAGTGGAGAATCGCTTATGAAGAGATCTTTTCGGCCGGTGGTGTCTCGAGTTCTGCTTATACAGATGCATCATGCATCGAGGTTTCCTTTCGCATGTAAAGATGCACACACAAAGTGGAGGCTGAATGCGCCATCCGATGGATCATGATCTATATTCAATGCTGCTTTAGCGCCTGTCATGCGGGCGCGGCCCTTCCCCGCGGGCGCCTTAAGCTGGATCGAGCCAGCACTGCGGACGCGCGCGGCCTGGAGGGGTCGGCTGGTGTACGCGGCCCGCGGCCGCGAAAGCCTACAAAGGACTGATCTCAACGAGAGACGTCCGTACCATTGCCTTGAGGCATGAGGTCTTAAAGTAGAGAAGCGCCTCGTGCAAGCGCTTAGGGACACTTAGGGACCAAGCGAGCTGTCGCTATGTCGGCTTCCACGGCCCCTAGCAAAGATAGAGGCATGAGTGGGGAAGCGCAGCAGCTTTGCGGAACGTCTAAAAGGGGTCGCTTTCGAGAAAGCACCGAGAAGCCCTTGAACAAAACCAGGAGGAAAAGGACAACAGAGGAGATGCTTCCCTGTGACTCGACGCCTCCGGAACCTCTTCCTCGACGCAAGTTACTGCGCTTCATGAGAGACAAGGCAGATGAGGCTGGCATGAGGCAGCACGAAGATGAGGACGAGCAGAGATCGACCTGGATAGACAAATTCGGAGCAATCGTTCAGCTTCCCTGGCCGCCTTATGGCTATTTCATTGATCCTAATTGTGTCAAGGAAACAGCTCCAGTCAGTGGCGTGTCGCTGGATCATGAAGTAAAGCAGACCATTCTCACAGTCATTGCAAGAACGGAGGCGGCTGCAATGCGTAACTTTTCCAACTTGAGCTTGAAGGACAGGAACTGCGTGGCTGTTCAATCTGGCGTTTTGGCCACGTTCCACAAGATGGCCTCGAGCTTTAAAAGCGTAGATCTCCGACCAACGAATCCTACAACGCTTGGTTGGAACAAAACCAAGCCGTTCGAAGGTTCAAGCAGAAAACAGAGGGAGACCTGGGGCTATGCCAAAGAGATGTTTGAAGAAGGCTTGCTTTCGTCAGACTCTGAGTGTGAGGGAGAGGCTGATGGAGTAGGTGAGGAGCAAGAGGTCAGGCAGATCAAAAAGCGCAAAGACGCAGACACCAAAGATGCTCTTTGCAAAATGGAAGACGTGAAAGACTGCTTCGAGCAGATGCTCGAGCAGTTTACAGATGACAGCACGATGCCTGTGGAGGTGTGAATGGTTGAACAAAGCTCCCTGGAATTGACTGCAGGGGTGATCCATGTCCATGCCAGCTTGAACAGCGAAGAATTTGGACCGAGGCTTTACCGCCTGCTAAACCGCTTGGCCCTGGTAATGGAGAGTAATCTGGACAAACTGCAGCTCAGCCGAAACAGGGCCTCTGGAGAAGAGCATGCCTGGCGAGTGACTGTCGAAAACACGAAACAAGGCACTACTGCGAAGTGCTCAGTATGGGGTATCCTCACCGACAATGACTCCTACCTCTTTCTGGTTTTGGAGGCTGCCTTGCGCAAAGATGGTTCGCAGAAATGGACCTTCTGCAAGGGAGGCCGTGTGCATCTGAGCCGCCGTTACAGTCTGCTTCTGTCCTCTAGGCTAGGGAGGTCCGCTGCTCCTGGAGCAAGCTCGTGCTTGGACAGGCTGGCGCAATTCTTGGCACCTCAGCTGCGAGTAAAATCAGTAGCAGAAGTGAAGGAAGTTTTCGAGAGCGCAGAGGCGGAGAGGGTCGAGCAAGATGCAGACGTGGTCAAGGATTACAGAATCTATAGCAGGTACTAACGTAGCGGTTTGTTTAAATGCACCCCCTTGAGCGGTTGTACTAAAGTTCGTGATGGTGGACTGCATCCTGTGCGACATGATCAGCTAGACGGTGTGTGCGCTTAAGTGTTCGTCTTTCTGGAATAAACCAGCAGCCAGCTAAGGCTCTTTCAAACGTAGGAGACGACCTGCATTGAGAATCTGGATGTATGTTCGTCATGGATTGACAAGCAGAATCAATCACGGATTCGTGGATTAACGTTTGGATAAGCATCCTTGTCTGAGCAGCCGAATCTGACAAATCTCAATATACTTCACAAGAGGATGAGGGTTCGACTGGCTGCTTCATGTTGATGTGACGGAAGGAAGCACATAGACTGTGCTTCTTTGATTTTAATCAGCCCTAACGGACGGCCGTGCTGTATACTATAGCATTGATAACGTTCATGGTCGTAAGCATCATCATGGTGTTTCATTTGATATAGTAGCATGTCGAAGCGATCATAAAGACCGTCCTTCGGAAAACAAGCTCACAACGATCGCACACTGCATCCTCACTCACCGCGTACATGATGCAAAGCAGAGTTTGAACTCGTAGCAGATGCTGTGGATTGAACATGTTTTCCTCGTTCTTTGAAAAGCTCTATGACAAAAAAACTCTTCTGTAAAGCTCAAGTACGTTGTATTGCATATTGTGGACGCGCCGCAACGCTCGGTTTCTCCTGGATTTAGAGCACCTTCGCAAAATCCTACCACTGAGTACGCGCAAGGTACTTTGTTTTGTGGGGTTCTTATGAAGCAACAGTTCCTTCGAACGCCGCTCGTCGACTTCCCTTCGTGTCCACCCCCGCCGCTCTAGTCCTTCCCTTCCGTCTTCTCCTTCCTGAGCGGGTTCAGATCCGCAAAGTAGTCCTCTCGCAGGGTGTCAGTACTAGCAGGGACGAAATGGCTGGCGGTCGCTTCCGGGGAGCTTTTCACTTCCTCTTCTACCTTCTCCCAACCCTCTGGCGACATCGAGAAGATCTGCGAGCTGGCGCCGGCCTGCAACGGGCTCCCTTCGAGCTGCTCGATGGACACGCCCGGGGGAGTGCTGATGGGGATCGGCGGACTGGGGGAAGCGCTTCTTCCGGCGGCGGCGAGCGCGGCGTCTTCAGGCGTTTCTTCCGGAGCGGCCTCTTGCACAATCTTGCACGGGAATGTGAAAAGCAGCATCAGATCTCCAAAAGCTAGAAAACGAGCACGACTCTTGAGTAAGCGGGCCTTTGATCAGTGTCTACGCCTATCCGGAGACTTGGCGGACAAAGAGGACCGTCTGCAGGCTCAGTGCATTCTCGAAACGAGAAGCGCTCATCTGAATGGGCAGATCGAGTTTGATAAGATAACAGCTCGAACCACAGATTGTGTGTCGCTTAAAATACTTGCATCAACGTCTACTCTTGAAAGTGATACCAACCGCTCGTAGAGCCTAAGCGGCGGGGTTACTGTTAAAGGACTGCTTCTGGCTTAAGAGCAGCCACGAAGAGCAGAGACAAACGACTGCGCCTTTCGTCCCATGTCTTCAAGGTTCGACTTTCCGTTTCAGACTGGTGAGTACCGAAGCGTCGTAGCTCTCGTGATGCGCAACTTTGGCCTTTCAGATTCACTCTTGCCGAAGAAACAAAGGGTTTCAAAACATTACCTGCACCGTTGTTTGATGCTCCGGAGAAGACGATATCGTATCTGTAGACGGCGCCTGCTCTTGCTCTGCCACGTGTATCAACGGGGGTGCCTCCACGTCATACAGCAAGTCTCTTGGTGGAGCGTACTCACCCGCGCCCCTAGTGAAAAAGCGCTGCAAGCAGGAGTTTGAGGCCGTAAACTCTCTCATCGATTTCAAGGCTTCTTTCATTCTTCTGGATTGATACTTAGGGGTGAAGAATACGTAAATGATCAAGTATTGCAATGTGCCTACGGAAACTCAGACAGAATGACCCGTCTATAAACGCGTGTGTATCAACTCTATTCAGCTTTAGACATCTGATGTCTTAAACCAGTTGTCCAAAATGGCCCTGTCGTTTCCATCGTCTGAGCGCTGAAGACTTTGCAGTATTGAAAGAGATACGGAGCGTGGGTAGTTTAGAGCGGCCCTCTATCGAGTACAGTACAGAAAATCTTCCCGCCCCCTTAATGGAGCCCTTCTTCTCAGATTTGGAAGAGTCTCCTTTTTTTTCGAACATTGAAGCATCAATTGGCTTCATTCCCATGAACATGGATTCAACATGATTACCTGATAGACATTGCGAGTCCCTGCGACAAGCGCGTCTGACCACGTTGGAAAGGTTCGGAGGAGGAGCTCCCAAAGCAGGCAACCGGCGACGACAAGAATGCTGACTGCAGGGAATACCCAATGTTTCTCAGTCCTCCAAGAGAGTACCCGCTAGATATTAAAACCATAGATCAAGGCAAATCAGACGCTCCGACTTCCTGTTCTATAATAAGAAGCGTCTACGGGCAGAGGTCTGAGGGGAGCGTCAATTCACAGCTTGACGTTCGCGAAGTAACAGGGCATCCCAGATCCCATGCACTGTGCGAACAATGCTCAAAGAGGTGACAGAGGGAGGATAGGAAAGCACGAGGATAAGAGCAGCCCGCCCGTACCAGCGAAGCAGTCGAACCAAGTCCAGCCGTCGTCAGTGGACGATACGCAAGAGGACGCCGGCAGGCTGATGCTAAGCAAGCGGTGGTTGCCCAGGTCAGACACGAGCAGGCTGCACGGCCGGCGACGCAGCAGCACGTCCGATGGGCCATTCAGGAGCCCTTGGTCGCCCCCGCTCCGCTCCAGTTCCGGCTTCGTGGTGGGCTTTCCGGCAATTGTAGAAACAAAACCTGAAGAAGGAATTGGTGGGCGGTTAGGAAGTGTACCCAGATCAGGATCTTCGTTGAGGTGCTCCGTGTCCTTTCTGCAGGATCTTCAAGTGCTTTGATTCCGAAGAATTGGCACTGAAGTTGGAATGTAGTTGCAAGCAGAAGGGAACTCTAACATCCAAGATGCTTCACCCTGCACATCCTAAGTTCGAGAATTCTTCCACTTGACCCGCAAACGACTTCAACGGACATCGACTGACATTCTCGACGTTCTCTTAGTAATGCACTGGCACTTTAGCATGACCTTGATCAGAGTGCCTCCTCACCCATGTTATCGAGCATCCTGATGGCGTTGTTGCCAGCATCGGCAATGTACAGGTTGCCTGCATCGTCTGCCTCGACGCCTTCAATCTTCTCGAAGAGGGCAGTCAATGCAGGGCCATCGTTGTAGCCCTTCTTCCGACTGCCAGCCAGCGTCTGGATGGTGCCTGCTCGAAAACATTCTGTAAGACCGCTGGTTTGCGCTGGATTTCGTTGCCAGATTCTTTGCAAAGCACTGAAAATGAAACATCATTGAAGCACTACACTGGTCAATCTAGTCAGGTACGAAAAAAGCCTCCGTTGAAATACGCACAGGTAGATCATAGCTCTACTTGAAAGCAAAGAAAGATGTCAAACGAAGGGGCCTTTCTGAGTTTTCGAAGCAGCACTTTCCCACTGTGAAGGCTTCACTCGTCTTTCCGGAAGGAAGGCAACTCGCAGCAGGACTCGTCTTAGCTGGTGAAGGTCAGAAATCTTTCTCCTTACCGTTGCTGTGCAACACGCTGATTGCTGCATGGTTGTTCACAAAGAGGAGGCCCTCATAGAAAGCTCTGCTGGTTTGGCCGCTTGCCTTCACAAACTGGCCAATGTTTGCAGAAGTTTCGTTCACATGTCTGATTGTGGTCACAACATAGTCTGGAGTGGATTGAGCTGCAAGAGAGAATGTAAGAGCTGGTGTAAGGCCTGGAGTCTAAGATTAATGTCTTGGCGCAGTGGTAGAGCTTCAAACAAAGTGACCGTTAAAACATATATTGACCTGTCCAAATCGAAGAAAACGCCCCTTGCTGTTCCTCCGCACTTTCTTGAACAAAACAACGTTGAAAACCCCCTCGCAAGCATGCCCATATTGCAGGCATTGCCCCATGCACCACCAAAATTACTACAGGGCTGAACCAACGGCAACTTTTCTACGTGGGAGTCAGCCACTCACAGAATGATCCACGATACCTACCTGTCTGAAGAAGCTGAAATATGTGGAGAGCTGCGCAAAGAATGCGTGACTTCATTTTGTGAAGTAGTCAGATTGCAAAGAAGGGCATGCTTTAGGAAACCCGCAGAGGTTTTATCAGCTGGCCTCCACTTCCAAGATTGTAGCGCGCACCTCATCAAGCTGAGGCAATGAATCAAGCTCTCCCTCTCTCATTTCCGAAAGGAACGGATACAGGCTCCGCCTGCTCTACAACGAAGATTGTGCTTCATCATCATGAGTGTAGTCCTACTGATTCAATTGTTACGTAGGCAGACTGCAAAGGTTATTGACGTCATCATGACGAATCAATTGCCGGGAGGAGCAGCTAGGCGACCGCTCCGCTGTATGTCCGTTCCTTTCGCGTTGAGGTTCTATCGGAACGGAGCTTGGCAGAGCGATCGCGCGCAGAGTTATGGTGCATGGCGCGGCGCAGTCTTGCCCAAGTGTATATGTGCACGGGTCGCCCATTCCACAATCTGGCACTGACAGTGTGCTTATGCAGCTAGCGATCGGCGCCAACAGCTGCAGCACCAGCCCGCAAGAAGCGGACTTGTGTATACGTTTCTGGCACGGCAAGTAATTAGCTTATTCTAGAGCTCTTCTAAGAGAGTAATGATCTAATTAAAGAGCTTCAATCAGGCTTGCCATGCCATACAAACGCACAGCCAGCGGATGATGATTCGAGCTGGGTACATTCCGGTGCACTGCATGACAATGATTGAACAAGTCAGGCCGGCGCAGTCACAATCATCCGCACACTGACAGGTTTAATTTGGGCAACATGCGGCACATGCTCAAATCTGCGGCAGGCATCCATGTGGTTTTGCACGTACATGCGTACGTGCGGGGCAGGCTGGCACGTCAATGTCCCGGGCCCGGCTGTCAAAGTCAGTGCACATGCATGAAGATGTTTGAAGCCATGGCAGCCGCCTGCGCCGCCTGGCAACGAGCTGCAATAATGGCGCCGCTGAACTCGCTAGCTTGGATATGGGCACAGGGTCGGTCAAGCACGACTACTTGAGGGAACACAGATTCGTGCGTGTCGAAAGGCGAATCTGATCTCAATACGGCCGAGCTAGATGGCCGAATGTAAGGAGTGGTGTAGGCGTCGTATATTTGGAATGAACGCCTATAGGATCACTGAAACGCAGCCTGAGCCAGTGCCATTGAATCCCGAGTAAGGACAAGGGCGCTACCGTGGTCGTAACAGACGGACACGTTTTAGAAGCTGATAGTTTGTTGATCAGAAGGTGCTGCGCACTGCCACAAGCTCCGGTACGACTCCAGTTCGGCAGCCTTGATGCCAAAGTGAGCAAGCTGACGACCGTACTCCTGCAAGAGGAAAAGAAGTAAATTCGTCACAGCGTTCTCGAGTGGCCTAAGACATCGTCGCGCAGTCACCGACCAACATGTGGATGCCTACAGCGTGAGCGAATTGATGTCGTAGGGAGGCCCAGATGAGGCCTACTTTTAACCCCAGTTTCCTTCTTGTACTTTTTTCGTCACTATTCTTTCTCGTAGATCACTTGGCGAGATCCTGAACCTGCACGTGCATTCAAGAAGCACAACACAAGACCACGTGTGCACCGTTTCCGCCCAATCCGAAACGACTTCGCAGCACAGTCGAGCGGCCTACGGACAAAACGAAAGGCGACTCGGCCCCTTACTTGAGCGTCCAAGAAGAGCTGCGCGACCATCTTGTCCGTGTCCGAGATCGCACTCGCCCCGGTGTCCGCCCCGGCTCCCCGTCCCCGGCCGCTCTGCTTCAGCCGCTTGATAGCAGACTCTGCTTTTCGGACCTGCCAGAACAACGAACGGCAAATCGGACAACGAACCAAGCCCGAAACCAATCCGCTTGGGTAGAGGAGCAATCCGAAGAGTTACTGCTAAGGGGAGAGTCCGTTGCCACAAGCGGTTGTATGCTTTCTGGACTAGCTGAAGAGCTCGCGAGCAGGAGTGCATCTCCAGGTTGTCCGCCAAAGAAAAGCTGAGTATGGGGTCACCAGAACCGCTTCTGACACATGCATTTTCTACATTAAGGGGTCACAATGTACCAGGGCCAGGCTCTATGAAACCGCTCGAGAGCGGTAAGACTTGGAATCAGTCATTGCACGGCCTCCCGCTCCTCATCTTATGGCAACGCAGTTGAAAGTGAAGTTGGGGTGGTCCTTACGGAGGTGACCAGCTCCCTCGCGATCTCGTCGAAGCGCGCCGTGACTTTTTCAATCACGACATTGACCACCTCACTGCGCGCATCAGCACTGAGGTAGACCCCCTTCTCGCCATTGACAAGATCCTGCAGCCCAATGGGCGACGTCAGCAAGAAAGTCAAGAGACCAATGCGCATCGGAGCGCGTGACTCTAAGAAAAAATCTTAGGATACAAGAAGCGGACAAGAACACCTACTGTGCGTCCCAAAGGTTGGTCAACGTAAAAGGAGCGCTCGTTTGATGACGCGTACAGGAATTATTTTGCGGGGTGCTCTTTGATCGTGCAAAGGGTGACCAGGCTGGGCGCGGTGGCAGCTGCTGACAGACTTGCTCTAATCTACGAACAATCAAGTACAACAATAAGTCTCGGAGAAAACCTCATGACCCGCCAGTACTGTCGAATTCGATTGGTAAAAATGTAAACGGCGTTGGACAAAAGGTGCAGATCCAACAGGTGTTTTGTTCCCAACACTTGAGCGACTGTAACGCACAAGCTGGACTCAGTAGGAAAGCATGCGTTGCCGTCTAGAATACTTGTCGCCTTTAGTAGTCCCTTACCGAGCAATTCACGTAAATGATACCATGCAAACTGTCCATGTCTTACCTTCAGGCTCTTCAGTATGTGGGTCACATACGGTGAGTGCTTTGTTGGCAGCTGCTTGTTGGTCATTCTGTACGCCGCCGAGATCCCCTTGAGCTGCTTCACAACCTGCAACCCAGGCTCTCGCACATCAGCGAACCCTGTGTTCAGAAACCGAACCACTTTTCTGCGTTGTTCGAATCCACCTTACTTGATCAGAGCGGCACAACAGAATTACCCTATCAAAGTGCGCGACGAACGTGGAGATTGGTCGATGTGAACAGTATGCAAGCACACGACTGCCACAGCTCTCGGTCATATAACGCGACCGCACACTCTGCCCTGAAAGCTCAGACTTCAGAGGTCTGAAACAACCCGGCTTCAGGCCTAGACAGTTGGCTCCTCCGCTTTCACGTGCTGTCCTGTGACTGTCAGGATCAACTGAAACTACCAGCCTCAAGTAATCTACCGCAAGTCAACTTGCTTGAGGGACAGCGAACCCTGTTTCAAGCATGCTGGACGCTAGGACAACCGCTGGGACAACGAGATATACCAATAGTTGCACAGGCCCCGCATAAACGAGCATTTCCCCATCCACTCGACGGTGACGAGGGCAGGGAACGTTTCCGGTAACGGAGAGTCCATCTCACGCGATGACCACCATCTGTCTGAGACACTACTTGCCGAAAAGGTATTTTATTCACTGGTAATCGTTCCTGAAACACGTGACTCCACGAAAGCCGCAAAACGTGGTCGGAAACGTCCCAGAACCGTACCTCAACACACTTGTCTGCGAGCCCCTCCGTGACCACCTCCGTGACTGTGGGTACTTGTACCTCCAGCCCATCTGCGCTCGAGGCAACAGTCTGCCGCACGGACTCCACTGCCTCCGCTGGCAGAGTACCCATCTTGCTGGCCACGCTCGCCGCAAACGGACCCCGGACTAGTTGTACCACGGCCTCCACATCATGCCGAACCTGAGGGAAAGACGGGAACCAATCACCAACATGCTTTCTCAGACAGACGCTTCCTTGTTTGTCATATGCTGATCTTGAGAGTAAAACACTGACCAAAGTCTACTCGCTCGCCAACCGGACCCTTCCGGAGGCCGCACTCCCTCTACGCGTGCTCGTTCCATCTGAGTCAATAAAGAACGCACGTGAACAGGCGCAACACCGTGCTCGGTTGCTGACGCAAAGTTTGATATGGAGCACACTCGAGGATCTTCCAACTTTGCAGATCGGCCAGCACAAGCAGCACTACAGAAGCAAGGGTAGTACTTCGCACGAGCGTACCAGTACGAAGTCCTCGGCTTGGGCCACCCTGGCCCACTCGCCGCCGCCCTCCGAGCTAGCCGTTTTCCGCGCCTCACAGCCTTTTCGGAGCCACGTAGTGTACCTGGGGAGATGACGCCCGAGTCAATGGAGATCACTTTACCAGCACTTGAGCTTGAAGAAAAACTTCATAGTTCTTAGTCCTTGAGCAGCGCAGGAGAAGGAACACGCTATGTTAGAATTAAGCACTGATGAGCAACGTCCCTGATTCAGCTCCGAGAAGGTCAACCTCGGACTCTCATTCTATCACTCTTCCTCCATGATAACGGGGAAATGTCCTGGAATGGTACTCAGGACGATTGCTGTGCCAAGCACTCATCCGTCGTCTCTCAATCGACCCGCAAACGCGTAGCTTCCAGCAAGCCAGATCCTGCTTTATCAACACTGAACCAAAAATACGACGACTTTCATTTGATGCTGAGCATGCAAGAGTGTCTCTCCGGGGCCCCACCTGGCCACCAGCTGCAGCGTGAGCCGGAGGAACCTGTCGGCCGCGGTGGGGATGTAGATGTCGTCCTTCCAGCAGCGCTGCAAGCTGTCCCACAGCACGGCGCTCGGTTGCAGGGCCAGGCTGAGGCGGCCGTCGGGGCCGCGCACGGGGGACGGGTGAGCGAGGGGGGCCACCGGGGCAATCAGGACCTTGTCCAGCGACTCGGCGATGTCCTGGAACCTGAAACGGGAAAGGCGGAGGAACGGGGCTGACATTAGTATAAAGGGTAGCGATTTTGAGGACAGGGTCAGCTTTTCGTGAGGGATTACCGAAGAAGTCAGCGTTTGAGTCAGATATTTAAGAGAGTTCGTAGCAGAAAAAGCTGGTACGAAGTGCTTATGTGAGCGGTCCTGCTTGGGGGCGTTCCTGACTTTGAGCCGGAGTATCCATTAAGGCTTCCCCGCAAACTTGAGGCACGAATGCAGAGAGCTAAACCCGACACTGCAGCGCCGAAGTGCTAGCGACGCTGGTCTGGCATGTGCACGTACGAATTTCAACCACGTCAAAGCGTTTGGCTCTGACGTCAGCCCAAGCGCTCACCTGCCTTCAATCTGCCGTAGTCGGACTGCTGAAACGAAGGGGGTAGAATCAAGGGCGCTCACCTGATCGAAAAGTAGGCGGGCAGGTTCCACTGCTTCACGAAGTCAGCGTATGCGGGCTGGGACCGGAACTTGAGCAGCTGCGCCTGGGTGGGGCAGTAGCCTGTGGTGGCAGAAAGAAAAGTATGGTCGGCGAGAGGGAGAGCGCCAAAGCGGGACAAGAAAGTGCGGAACGTCGTCCAAACGACCTTAGACCGTAAAAATCTGGAAAAAAAGGGGCGGTTCCTCCCATCTTCGAAGTGGCCGCTTGGATAAAATGGAGACAAACACGGTGTTGTTGTCAAGCACCACTAGATTTTCCCGGTACAGGCCAGCTTTGTGCTTACGAGGAAGAATTAACGTAGAGTTAGCCGTGATCGCCTTGAAGATGGGACGATGGCGGAACGATGATATGAAGCCGCTCTTGCCGTGGAATACAGCAGCTTCGTGGAGATGCTGAGCGAGCCCCTCAACTCCGCCCCCTGGGTCCAAAACCTCATCGTAAAGCGGTCCGGAAAAGGAAACTTCCGAGCAAGGAAAGCTTTGAAATTGAGTAGCCTCCCCTTTCAGCGAACGTTGACCCTGAGTATCTGACCCAGAGAAGCAAAGCCCCAGGAAGCAATTGAGGCGTTGAACAGAATCCTGAACCAGGAAAAGCCACAGTTCCCGTTCGGCCATCCGAAGACAAGCCTCCTGAAGCTGCCCGATACACCACCTGACCCCACTATTTCCCACTTGTACAAAATGAACGTTGTCAAATGGCACAGCGACTCCAGGAACGGCTTGGCTGGGGCTGACCTTCAAGGATGTCGAGGAAGTAGAGGCTGGCCTTGTAGTTGACCAGGAACTCGTCCGGCTTGCCCGGGGAAAAGGCGCCGGGGCGGTTCTTGGAGATGGCGGAATGGACCTCCCGCAGGACCGAGTTGGCCAAGAAGTGGAACGCGTGGAGCCCCGAGTTAGCTGCGAGGAAGCAACGGGAACACTAGTAAAAGTACTCCCGAATTTACTGCAAGTTATAAGTTCTCGATGACATAACAGGATCGGAAGGCAGACTTTTGGAAAAGTTTCGGCCTGCAAAGGAGGTCTCAAATTACTGAGGACATGACGAAGCGAAAGCTGTCGGAGAATATGGAACCAGTTATTGAAAGGAGGCCAGCAAGCAAACGAGCAACGCTTCTCGTTCCATCTTGAAGATGCTGACGTGCTGATCCATAGCAAAAGTTCTGCAAGGGTCAGGGACAGGGCGTAGAGCTCCCCCTACCAGCACCTTGCATCTCGGATCCGACTCCCAGACTACCCATACAGACATGATCGTTCTCACGAGGCAAGTTGTGCCGTGCAGTGCGAAGCAGTCTCAACCCACTCACGCTGGTCCACGATCTCCAGCAGGAACTTGCAGTCCCGCTCGATACGCTCCCGCACTCCGGCATACACATCTGTCAGCGTCGCGGCCCCTTTCGCCTGGCCCCCTGGAACGAGCTCTGCAACAAACGGAGTGACAATAGCGGCCCGGAAGGCCTCCTCAGCGCCCGCGGCGTTGTCAATGGACGCGTAGGCGCGCAAGCAGTGGTAGATGACAGCGGTGTCCCGGCGTTGCAGGCCGCCCTCGAGGCACGCCTGGAGGTGGCTGTTGAGGGTGGCGCTCGCAGCGGAGATGCGCTTCTGCATGCTCTGGATGAACGGCAGCTCCTGAAAAGGGAGTTTGGAAAGCAAGGTGAGGAAGATGGGATGGGCAGGAAGGACGGCGGCTAATAGAAAGAAAGGATGAGGTGGCGGCCTGGAATGCCAGATCAAAGAGACTTCTGGGTGAAGTAAGGAATCCACTCTGTTGAGGAGGAGAAATGGCTGAGTAAGTGCGAAACCCGGTCGTTGTTTTCAGGTTCTGTGATGAGCCTTGAGATGCACAAGAGTGAGGGTTTGGTTTCTCAGATAGGTTACTACCTATCTAGCAAATGATGATTTCCTCCACGTAAAGGGCGGCCTCCTGGAAGACAGGAAGGTAGCTTCAGAAGTAAAGAAACGAGACTGTGTACCAGATTGCCAGAAGTCACAGATAAGCAGGTTATAACCTGACAGTCAGAGCCTCTGGTGGAGAATCTGGCTAAGAATCGGTTCTCACTGAGCTTGAGGGAGTGTATGACTGGCACCAGTTCTGCCATCGTTACGATTTGCGAGCAGGCGAATGGTTGTAAAATTCAAGAGGGGCCCAGTGAAAGTCTTGGGGATGAAAATTCAATTGCCCATCAGGGCATAGATCATCAACAGAAAACACCGCCTGAGTTTTCAAAGGGTAAGGAGACTGCTGCAGCACCAATCACAAATGCTACATCACAGTGAACAACTGCGGTGGGCGTCATTTGTGATTGCACAGCTCCAGATCCGCGTCCCTTGCCATCAGATGACCTTGAGAAGATTTTGAAAGGAAGTTGTGCATGGTCAGAGACCCCATCCTTAGGAGGCACTTACGGCAGCCCTGGCCACATAGAACCGGAGCCTGTTCATCTCGCTGGCAATGCGCTCCAACAACCTACTCCGTGCCTCCTCCGTCCCCACCCCTTCCCCAAACCCGTCCCTGCCCAGTGCTCCACTCGCTTTGGAAGAAGCTCCATTCTCCGCACCTCCGTTGGCGGAGGCGCTCTCAAGTTCCAGCAACAGCTTTTCAACCTGCCAGTATAGCATGGGCGGGCTTGTAGAGTTCGTGCTCAAGATTCCAAAGTGCAGATTCAGGAATCAAACGTATCATACAAATTTGATACCGGCACCACATCTCAGTTGAATCTGGAACAGGAACTTCAAGCTTGGTGTCCCGATTCTCAATTTAGACCCGTACAACATCGTATGTGAGGTGAGCAAGAGGACCGCAGCTTGTGGGAGAAAAAAGGAGCAGTACGGGAACAGAGATGACATAAGTATGGGGCTCTAATGGGACTCACCTTTGAGACTACGTGAGAAGTATCAAGCAGCAATTCGAGCATCTCGCGAGCGGCGGAAGTCTCCGCTCGCCTCTTCAGCCCCTCCTGCAAGGCGTCCAGGGACACCGCTACACTGTCCCGCACAGCCAAAAGCTTGTTTCTGCAAATCACCGACAGCGGGGTTTACTGACGCTGGAAACTTCCTAGAGTAAGATGAACAGGCGTTCTCCAGCGCTGTCCTACATTTGCACTGCATAATAGACTGAAGCTCTCCTGGGGGGGATTGTGATCCTGAAAAATGCAAAAGGGCAGTATCACGTGCGCATTTGGTGGCTGCGTCGTCTTGAAACCCTTGACAACTGGACCAGGCTTCTCACCTAAGCTCGCTGAGCGGCATCCGCATCCGCAAAACTGCCCCATCGACGTCCGTCAGCTTTGTGCTCAGATTGACAAAGTCGGTGTAATCCCTGTTGATCAGCTCCACCAATTCATTTTGCAGGCCTGTCAAATGGCTCTTCAACTCAGCCCGCAGCGTGTCCAACGGCACAAACCTCCGTAGATCTGTGACATAAATCTCTGCATCGAAGTCTTTGTCAAGGAACGCATCTTTTTTGAACCAAAGGGGCTGGGAGTCTGTGTCATCGCCAAACAGCGCAGCAACATTGGATGGTCGGGGCGAATCTGCATTCGCTGCCATTGTTGTCACGCTAGTCTATTGGTCAATATTGTCCTAGGCTACCTGCACTTTGATCTTTAGAAACATCGCCAGTGGTGAATGACATTTATACCCAATACATGGCACCAGCCTGCTCCAGAGGATCTTATTATCTATATCACGACCACCATGACTGCCAATTCCAATGGGCCTTTAAATCGCACATTTAACATTGCTCCTCATTGTCTCATCTTTGAGCAATTGGCAGGATTCGGAAGATGTGCAAAACCCCACGCCCTCACGCCCTCATGCAGGCTTCTCACTGACATCACTGACATCAGTCTGTTGGAGTTTGGAATGATACATCTCTGGCCCATCTCTGGCACCGGGAATCTCCCCCGATCAGTGTATCATCTCCCGGTGAGCATAGCATCGGTTCTCGGCAGGCAATTTTGAGAAGGTGGCCGGCCTGGACATTTGTCGACAGTATCGCATGACGGTTATCGGTATACCTCCATGCTCCTCGGAACATGCACCCCGACCCCGTCTTCCCGAATATTTTACCAAGTACGTACAACTCTCCCCTCTGCATCAGCTGCATGATGTTCACAAGACTAGCCAGAGTTCCACTTTCACAAATCAGCTCCCCATCATCACTTCTGTCTTGGGGGCAGGAGCAGTCCTCGTGAGCGGCTAGCAAAGCAACATTGCTTTTTGTATGAAGCGTGGTTCTGAGAGAGTGCGTGGGCACTCTGCAGAATATGCATCATCGCATGGAGGTAATTCGCCTCAGAAACAGCGCACTTCTCATATGTTCCTTCAGTCAGTCAAGAGTGATGATTAGGGCAATGTCAAACAAAGAAATACGAGAAGTGGTGGAGTGGCAATATAGTTTCTGCCAGATCTGAGAGCAATCAGTGGTTCCAAGATATCATAATCACGCATTCGGTGGGCTAATGGCATCTAGAATCAGATTCTTTTGTTATATTGTCCGCCCCTCACCCTTAGGTCACTACTTCCCCCTGCTAAAGCTGGAATCAGCAGCATTTCAGAGTACCTACACCACTTACTTATCCGTTGGGTTAAACTCCTCATCAGCTTGACTGAATTCTGCGGGTATCTTGTCTTGATCCTTTTGAGCTGAAAGTAGGTCCCAGTGTTGTCACAGGGTCTGTTGTTAAACAAAGGCAGTACAATATGCCACAGCATACAGAGTTGAAGCTTCTTGAGAGCCCAATTCCTGCTCAGAGCAGTGTCTCAGCTGGAACCACTGCCTTAGAAATCGCACCAGGTCTAGAATCGCACAAGCACGCTGCAGCTGGACTGCCCAAATCGTCGGCGCCAGTCCTGAAACCACCAGCATTGAGTGACAGGGAGGGGTCTGAAGAGCAGCCACTTTTACCCGTGTTCCGTAGAAAGCGCAGCAAGCTTTATTGGTTGAGGAAGGTGGGGCTGCTGTTGGCCATCTTCAGTGCGTCCCTCTCTCTGGTGGTTGTATTGTTTCTGCACTTGCCGACCATTGACACCGTCGAAGGGGACAGCGAGCAGGCGGCGCTCAAGGTGCCGACGACTTTGGAGGACTTGAAAGTGTTCCGCAACGTCATCGACCGCTATCAGGTGCGAATTCCTTCTGGCCACATGTCATCAAATCACTGTTCAGTAGTACAGCTTCGACTTTGTATTAGCAAAGATCATCAGATGACGGTGGATGGATGTCAAAACTGGACGTCTGTTTTCAACAGGGTCAGCCACTTCTTAGCGGTTGTCCGCAAGGGCAGACAGTTGTCACATGGTCGCTCGTCTGGAAGGGCCCACTCTCGCGGATGTCCTGGATCCTACAGGAGAGCTGCAAAGACATTGTCATGCCCCGTAGACATCATATCACGTAGTCGAGTTGAGAGGGTGGACGCACATTCAGGTTCGAAGCAATTGTCTTACGTGACAGGCCCTCTCGATTTGACAATTCGCAAAATTATCTGGCGCCCCGGTGAAAAGTATGAGCTGCGATTTGAAGAACGTGAGCATCACTAAGTGGCAGCTAGACTGATCATTTCGGAAGCCAGAGGATTCAAGTGTCGTTGTGCCATGATGCCCCATCGGAAATGGGTGAAAGAGGCTTGATGTTTGGCTGTCTCACTCCAACAACGAGTTCTCTGGATTCGGCCTCGGACGACATATGCTGCAAGTCAACGCCTGCGCTTGAGTGACCTCCAGGTGATGCCTTTCCATCACAACAGTCGCTGTAAATCGCTAATCTCTCCGTGCAGTCAAAGAACAAGTACCGGGTGGCGATTGCCCTCATCATGCTCTACATCTTTCTTCAGACTTTCATCATCCCGGGGTCCATCTTCATCAATCTCCTCGCGGGCAGTTTGTACAATTTTGGGACGGCCTTAGCCTTCTGTACGGTAAGTGACGAATTTTTGAGATCGTCCCGGCACGACAGATACGTCAGATAAAGAGGCACCACTGTTTTTCACGGTCTCGTGTTTTCGCAGCAAACACCCATCAAATTTGGATAGTCTGCGGTACGCAGTTCCAAAAGCTCGCGGCGTTGAAGAATTGCTCGTGTCATATGATTATTTTATTGGTCCTACACAGGTACACTTGCGAGATGACGGTTACTGATTTACTTCGGAAGGGATGTTGACCTCTCTCCTATCTCCATGCAGGTCGTATCAACTATCGGGTGCTGTTGCTGCTTCTTGATATCGCGACATCTTCTGAAAGATGTTATGTACAGCATATTTCCAAAGAAGTGCGATTCTTTAAGTGGCGAAGTTCAGAAGCACAAGCAAAACTTGTTCTTTTTCATCCTTTTTCTTCGCATAGCACCCATCCTCCCTGGATGGTTTGTGAATATAGCTTCACCCGTGGTCAAAGTCCCGCTTAGTCCCTTTTGTTTAGGAACCTTGGTAGGAATGCTTCCACAGAGTTTTCTCACCGTAAAAGCTGGAAGAACGTTGACTACCATCTCTAGTCTTGCGGAGCTCTATGATTGGCAAACACTAGGGACCTTAGGGGGCTTTGGCGTCCTCGCTTTGCTTCCTGTTTACGTGAAGCATAGGCTGGAGCAAAGCCAGACAGGCCACAAAAGCGTTTGAAGTGTTCCTTCAAATAACGTTCGGGTGAGGTTTAGTACTCGTGCAAATACCCAGAGTTCTATTGTGCTTGGAAAGTTCAGTCGGAGCAAGCAACATATTTCATTGGGCGTTTTTGCATTTCACCGGTCAAGGATCTCAGAAATGGTTTTTGGAACCTGCTCTTCTTCGTGGCCCGTTGCCGAGCAAAACGCGCCCTTCAATGTGTCAGAGAACGCTCAGTTGAGGAACGAATTGGGACCATATGCTGGCGAGCAATGCTTAGCACTATGGATTTGACTTGACGTGTAAGCATTGCTGCCGGCGGCCACTATTGACGTACTCAACGGTATGCATCATTGGTGTAGAGTCGTTAATCAGCGACCACTTATGCACTACCTATGCGATCCGGACCAATTGGTGAAAGCATGTGAAGGTTTTTGTCAATTGAACCCTCCGACTTGCAACCGAGCCGCCGTCACTGATTGCAGTTTAAGAAGCATATTGAACACCTTTCAGTTTGCGAGCCACCCGCTAGCCCGTCCGATGGTCACGGAGCTCTGCAAAGCCCCTGTGATCATTGTAGTCCTAGCCTATTGGGGCCCCGTCTTGAAATTCTGAAATGTCTGGCGCGCGGCAAGCATTCAACTTCCCAGAGCAGAGTCCGATCAACAATTGTATGTCATGAGAAGCCTATGCCGCACTGGCTACGGCGTTACGAAAAGATGAAAAAGAGACCATCATGCAACGCGACGCGCATGGAACTAAGGCCCTATTCTCATTAGCGGCGGATGGCACAACAATTTTTAATCTAAATCTTCTGATTGGCTCCGGAAAACTTCTACCGCGCTTCCACTAGCAGTTGTGCCGGCGGAACTCGATAAAAAAAATGCTTACGTCAGCGGCACAAAAATATCCAAAGTTCGACCCTTGTGCCCCCTCGGGTCGAACTCCTATTTTTCTGTGCCGGGCAACCACGTGGTTGAACTGGCCACTCACAGCCCGAGGTGCTAGATTCTGGCGCGCCAGGGCTGCAAGTTGCAACGTAGTGATGACTGTGCACAGGAGGCAAGCACAGCAGCTGTAGGATAGCCTGTAGGGTACCTAGCTGGTCTTTTGCCTGCTCGGGGTTTAGGGTTTTGCATGCCAGCGTGGCAATTCCCGATTTTGTACCAGGACTTGTGCCGTGGTGTGATTTCACTTGCGGCCGGCACAACTTCACGCTTTTCGCTTTTTTGGGCACTTCCGGGCAAGTTCCGGGCAAAAAAGGATTTATTAATTGTTGTGCCGTCCGCCGCCAATGAGAACAGGGCCTAATCGTAGAGTAATTAACTTGACTGGATTAACTTCGCGTAGGCCGGCCGGGGCCGCGCCAAGCGGCCGGCCCGTCTGCTTCCCGCCGGGCGGCGGCCGCCAACTGGAGGGGGGGCGGCCCGGGATACTTCATAAACCCTTTTGTAAAGGGCTGCTACCGTCCGATATGGATGACATGCGACTCATGGACGGTGAATAACGCCACCTGACTGCGTGCGAGCGTCCACGTCAGCAGCACCACAACTGCCACCCGGCCAAAAAGCTGTTCGAGTCAGCGGTGATTGCCACTGATTGGAACTGGGCAGTGCGAGAAGGTGGCACTCAAGAACAGCAAACGGTTTTGCTGCACACAGCACACTGCAAACCATTGGCATTGGCTTTCATTGAAAATTCTACATTGTGCTGCAGCCTGCGCATGCTCCCATTGAATCTGCACTCTACCATATTGCGATCTTCAGAAGTCGATCAGTGCACCTCAGAGAATTTCAGCAGGAATCAGTATCACAATGGCTCTCTCTGCGGCAGCTGTCACTTCGGTGGGGTTGGTCCACGCCGCCTTGGCTACCAGCAGCGTTGCTCACAGGACAGCAGCGCCAGCTGCACCGAGCTGCGCGGGCCTTGCTGGCTCCGCATCTGCTCGTTTCTTGAACAGGAAGGCCACATTGGGATTCAGGAGCATTGTCAGGAAACAGATTGGTGAAGGCAGGTCGGCTGGTGTTGTCTGCGAAGCAGGGGATGTGGTTGGAGGACAGTCCTTCTTGATTGGTGGAGCGATCTTGGTGGGGCTAATTGGCACTGCATATCCCCTCCTGTTCGCAAAGAAGGGGGACACGTAAGTTTGATGTTGCATTCTTTGTTGTTCACAATCCGCCTCCAAAAATATGAGGCTGGTCAGCACTGCTTTGCAGTTTTACTAGTGGTCAGACCAGTCATTGCTGTTGGAAAGACCTGAGAAGAGGGGCTCAGGGCTACCTGTTCTGATCTTTTCGAGAATGATGATTGATGCTGGGTTTGCCTAGTCCCATATGCCAGTTGACGCATATTTCCAAAGTGCCGTCAGCTTATGAGATGCAATATCCTCCTGGCCAAGCCTCTTCCCTAGATGCCTGCTTATCTTTCTTGCAGATGGGTGCATTGTGTTCACAACCCATCCTTGCATTATCCTGCTGTCAAGAATCTTTCACGCAGCCTTCCCGATTCTCGACAAGAGATTGCAAGATGTTTACAAGCGTGTGATCAGTGTTGAATGATGTCTGCTGTCCCTCACTTCAGACACTAATGGCGCATAAGCTGTTGGCTTCTATTTGCGGAAGATGCGCATATCACTGGAAAATTCAGGAGGCCAGTCAGTCTGGCTCCCCAGGACATCCTGAGGCTTCAAGCTATCCTCACCTTGTTGTCTTTGGAAGGATTTTTGGACCTTTAAACAGGAATTTTCACCAGCACCTTTAGCAAGGGCATTGTTTCGACCTAGGATTGTCCCGCTGTCTGTCCATTATTCTTCATAGGAGCCAATTCACACCTTATTACGAAAGTATAACCTAGCCTGTTTATGACTGATTTGGACACTTCTCATTGGCTTGGGCTCACTACTTTCATCCTTGCGGCTTGTTCTTCCACCTTTTTGTCTGGATTCTAGACATTGTTCTGATGCTGAGCTCGATTTGGCCAGATTCTGCAACTTATGTGAACTTCTGCGCAGAGATGCTGCTTGCAGCCTTGCTCTTGCTTGATTGCAAAGACTGGGAGGAGGGGAAGGGGGAGGGGACAGATTGGGAAGGGGGAAGGGGCGGAGGGTGAACATGTATTTGCAGTCAACATGATGTGCTGCTAAGGTGACAAGAATGGATGCCCTGTAATGAGGAACCTTTTGGTGATCTGAATTATCTAAGTTGCTCGTCACATAGAGCGTGTACTCGCATATGTCAAGCTTCCCTACTCTGTTGGTATGGTAAGTTTGCTCCTGCAGCACCCAACCATTGAAGCTGGCAACAGTGTCAATGCATCTTCTTGTATATACTGAGGAGGGAGGGTTTGTTTGCAGATGCCCCACATGTGGCGGTGCTGGATTTGTCCGCAAGTCAGGTGGCCGCTTGGCTGCTAATGCTGCAAGGAAGGACCAGCAGGAGATTGTATGCCAGACTTGCAAGGGTCTTGGCAAAGTTGGTAAGTTGGTGTTCAGCCCTGCATTCGTGCATTTGACGCACCAGGAAACCTTTAGTTTGCAGCGTCAAGCTACACCAAAAGCTTCAAAATTGTGCATAGGTACAGAAATCCAATGAACGAGTACTTGATTGAAATGAAGATTAGTTTGAGTACATTGCAACTGAACAAGCCCAGTCCTTTCTTCCTCCAGGTGTGATCAGCAAGAACTAGAAGGGCATCCAGGCAAGAGCGGCGGCGCATGTCACGCTTCCCTCTAGAAACTGGGCACGCTTCTAAACGTGATGAGGTAGGTTGAGCAGTGTTTGTGCATAGTGTTATATCTTGCATACATGGGTGCCATGTGCGTTGACCGCGCGTTAACCTTCGGTGGAAGATCATGTACAATTATAGATTAGCGACAAGTAGATGCATCTGACTTGAGAGATTTGTAAAGTGCCGCGCTTTTGATAGCGGCCAGTAATCTGGAAGAGACACGAGCTGAGATTTGGACTGAATTTCATTGAGCACCTTCCTGCAACATTGCCTCGAGTTCGCTTGAATTGTGAATTCAAATATGTGTTGACATTTAATCTTAAAAACTTTTCAGACTTAACTGGGTGCGGGCGTGTCTTTATATTGATGGTCACTTTCTATACATGATTATTATATCCAAGTTGCTTTACCTAGATATAATGTGGCTCTTATATCAAGTTGGTCGGATGCATGAAGCGGTCTTGGTCTTGTAACATTCATAATCGTTCTAGGCGTATCCAGCTATTCCCATTTTAAGATGGGTTTATCAGATCGGAATCAAATCTATATAGGTACTTGTCTGGCCACCAACTGCAATTCGTCACCCGGCCACACCGTCAGGCCGACCTCATATTGTCGGAGTCTTGCCTAGCTGTGCTTATTCAAGGACCCAAGCTTTCCATTCATGCAATTTAAGTGAAACTTACTAGCGAGAAGCTCAAATATTCATGGTAGAAAGAAGTTACGATCAGTACCATTGGCAATGCATGCGCTCCATGCGACAGATCGCTATTGAGGTATGGTACAATTCCTCGATCCTCCATACCGGAGACCTATCTGCATGGTGGTCGGATCAACTCCATACATGTCATTAAGGATCGCGCCATGCCGCTGGCACCGCGCGGCCGGAAAATTATAGCTTCAGGACATCATGTGTGTATATACATCCACGGCTGAGAACAATGATGTTAAAAAGTGACCGACAAAAGCTGATCTGGTGTACAATCCACGAACCTATTACTACTCTGCCCTTGCCACGACCTTGGGCCAATCCACAAACCTGCGACGGCAGTGATGTGCCGGCGCCACTTATTTGCAGACAATTTGAGACCTGAAAGCAACAATTTCAGGTACCCACAATCCGACCCGCGCCTCCGTGAGTTTCGAGTCTGTGGTTGGAAACCGTAACCAAGGGCAAACACTGTGTCTACAAAAGACAGATGCCTAGCCGGCCAATGGATTCGCATGGATTGTCACTTTGTTTAGTCGAATCTCGGCCAGAGGTTTGTCTCCCGGGCCCGTCGGTGTCTACACACGAGAGCCATGGGGGTCAAGCAATGCCAGATTCTTTTTGGAGAAGGAGAGGAAAAGGACTGCTTGCTTGAACAGCGCAAAAGAGATAATTCCTCCAGAATAAGAAGTATGGGACTGCTTGCTCGAACTTGTGAGGAAGTAATCGAAGATGTTGTAAAGAAGAAGCTCACCTTTTCCATGATGTCGAGTACCTCGAAACCGTGTATGACTTTCCCAAACACAGTGTAGAGACCGTTTAGGTGAGCCTGGGGTTTGTACAATCTGCACACGAGCAGCGCCGAAGTGCTTTTAGAAAACATGAATGCAGTGCCAATAGGGAGGTTGGACACTCAAGCAGACGAGCAGCTTCGTCGAAATCAAGTGACAAGATACGAAAAGCAAGTGGAGTGACGGGCGCATCTGTTTCTGCTCATACGGGTGATGAAGAATGAAGTGGCTTCATGCAATCTCTATAAAGCGGTGTTTGAAATCTGACCAATCTTCGTCAAAATACGCGTCTGACAGGTGGACCAATAAAGAGAGTTTAAGACAATACACTGCGGTAGATAAAGACATCTGCTAAAATCGTCAAAAAGAATGAGTAAAGATTTCTAAGTTGCGAACTCACAGGAAAAATTGGGACTTGTTTGTGTTTGGGCCGCTATTTGCCATCGACAAGATGCCCCTGCACAGACCAAAGGAGACAAAGTTTGACATCTCATCAATTGTGAAACAACCAGCCTGGACTGGCGCCACATCTGCCTACTTACATTTGGGTTGTCATATAGAAAGCGAGCCGCTCTTCATCAAGGAGCTCAACGTTTGTTCTGTGGCAGGACCTGAGCCCTGAGAGGTTCTCAATCAGATGATTGAGATTTGAGTGAAATCTGGCAACTTGACCCCTTGCGGAAGAACCTAAGATATCTGTTCGATCTCCTCTTGAAGCAATTACGTCACCAAAATCTCCAACATCAACTGGTTGCTCAGACGTATGCCCACATAAGCGGCTTCTTCACAGCACAGTATGAACACTCTGCTGAAAAGTCTCACCTTGCATTATGCTTAAGATTGTCTCTGATCTCATCAGGAAACTTGCCGCCCCAGATGCTCTGCCCCCCCTTCCCTGTTCCTGTAGGATCGCCGCCCTGTATCATGAAACCTTTGATGTTCCTGCAAAGACCGGGAGGGCGGGGAGCTGAGCATCTTCACCACCCCCTGACTGCACATTTTCATTTCACTAAACGCAAGATAACTATCAAGGCGGCCAATAAAGCAATGAGAAAACATTGAAAGCCTTGCAGGCCGATCGAAGCACCGGTGGCAATCACCTGTGGAAGACGGTACCATCATAGTAGCCGCTGGCGCAGAGCGCCAGAAAGTTCTCTGCCGCTTTTGGGACGTCTGTACAGAAGACCTCGCACTTGATGTCCCCAAGGTTGGTGTGGAGAGTCACCGACTGCAATGGCTTTGTCTCTTTGAGCAAATAGATTCTTGAAGAGAAGAGAAAACCAACTCAGTGGAATTTTGTAACATTGAGGACCAGACGATGGTGTGAAGGTGGTAAAACAGGCTTGGATGAGATGCTGTCATCTGACACATCGTATCAAAGATCATCGCTCAAATTGGATATGCGATTCACAACAGACATCTTTTTCTCAGGCCCTAAAAGTCTGATAAACCGAATCATGCAAGGGCGTAGGAGTAGCGTGATACACGAGACTTGGCAGCATGTTCGATCTTGACCGCTTCGCTTACCATCTGTGGCACCGCCACATCAGTGTACCGCCAACCGCAAATGTTGTGTCCACCCTCCAATTGGCGGCTCTAAGTTGATTTAACGGGGGTCTGAACACCAAAGCTGGTCAAGAAGAGGGCCGCAATGCTCAGAACTTCTGTGACATAGAATGGCCAGCTTTACGAAAGCCTTTGGTGAGTAGTAACTAATAGGCAGTGATTTCTGATGCGAGGGCGTGTTCAGGCGTGTTGGGCAACTGGGCTTTTTGCAAATATGGGAATCAAAATTGAGTTGTCAACACTGTCAGTCAATGTTGAAAACTGAAATTTGCATAGCAGAGAAAAGCTCGCCAATTTTTTGCCCGGGGTTCCGCGAAGCAAAGAGCGGAACGAGGACCAAGGTTTTATAGGGGTTTGTCGGAACGAGCCTGAGGCCGCATCACTAGCCTATGCGGCCGCGGCCGGGCAGCCGCGCGTGCGCCCATCCGAGTCAGCCTGAGAAGCCAAGGATGCAGATCACAGCCCGGCCACACATGCGCGGCACCGAGGAGTCATTTCAAGTTGGTATGCATCTCACACGCAAGTTTCAATGCCCATGAAGGCTGCAGTTTGCGACCGTAAGCGATTGCAGGGGCAAGGCCTCCGCGACGGGCCCATCCGGATTGGTCCTGCTCGCAAATCAACTCGTCATGACAATGGATACACAGCAATCCAACAAAGTGGCATACAAACATGGCCTTATGATTTGCAGTAGTCTGGCTCGCCCATATGTCAGATAACAAAGGTGCAATAGGTTCTCTTCCATAAAGCACGGGTTCCAAATTGCAGGCTTAAGGCTGTAAATCGACGCCTCTATGCACAGGAAAATCATGAACATGGGCATACATGCATTTGTTGACCTACAATGCTCGGATGCTTGCTTACCAAGATTCAAAAATGCTTTTCCGTTTGAACAATGAAACAACATTGCCAGGTGTTACAAACAGAAAAGCGCCCCTGTGAAAGTATTCAGACCCCCCAGTCCTTGTTCCAAGTCTTGTACTTTCAAACCAAGACCGACGTCACACCTACTTAAAAATATCCATGGCAGACTCCACAGCATGCCCCTCGGGTCAGAGTGAAAGAATTTGTTTCGCCTTGACGACAGCTGCTCTTCTTTCCGTCAACAGACAAAACGTGTCGAGGACCTGACTGAGAACTAAGTCAACTAAACGGAAGTTACTCCGCACACCAGACTTACGCGTTCACAGCTTCTGGGAAGCGGGTTACATAGTTGAGAGGGACCTGCACCAACGAAGGAGGCACAAAGTGTCAATGAATCGGACTTTGGCTTCGACTTCGACAAACCCGTACAATAAGTTCGCTCACAGTGGAACAGCACAACATGCAGAGACCAGATTTCGCGTTGCTTAGGAAGTGCTTAAATCTACTGACTCCTACATGAATGCACCAGCTAACCAAACAGAGAGAAGTAAGCGGTTGAGGGTTTCTCACCAAGAAAGTTGCAGAAATCTGTTTTCCCGCAAACCACCTGCCGTGCAAAGCTTTCTGCGCATTCTGGGCAGAAGTGGTTGCATCAAACTTCAGATACACATGTCCCATGCTGTTCCTGCGGCACGTCACGGAATAAGATTCAGGGGAGCTGTAAGCCCGCACAGAAAGGCAAAACGGACTTGGGTCTGTTCTTCTCAGCTGTTCTTGCAGCAGCAGCAGCTTTGCCCAGTCTCCAACCAATCTAGGGAAACAAAAGCAGCGCCTCCAGCATCTGCCTAGTCAAAGCAGTTTTCCGCCCTATTCGTCCATCCAGCAACGAGATATTGAGAAGGGGCGAAGGGAAGGACTTACTTGTCCACGAAAATGTGCTTCACCGCTCCATATTTCGAGCACTCTTCCTTCGTGTCATCAGCGATGTCGAGGTCCCAGTCTGGTTCAGTCTGTACGAAACGGCGCACATAGAAACTCAGAATCTTTCGTCAGGTGCTTTTGTGCTGCACGACTTAAAACGACGACAGAAGAAGCTTGCACATAGTAGATACAGCCCCAGATCCAGCAAAACTAATCACCTTGCAAACTTCCGCAAAAGAATAGAGCTTGGCCGAACTACAAGGGGAGCGCAACCAGCGTGTCAAGGTTCCGGATGAACGTTCCTTGAGCTAGTCAGTCCTAGCTCTGTCAAAAGCACGAGCTACATCAGGGATGCAATTGACGGCCAACAAGGCCGCTGAAAGACCGCTCTAATGTGATTTCAATGTTCGTTTTGGAGGGGGGTTCTAAAAGGATGCACAAAATCCGTATTGCTGACCGGTTACAATTTTGTGTGCGCTGGCTTCGATGGACCCAATACTATCATGGTGACTCTTGAAAGCTTTCGGGATCAAGAAGCTTTCCAGGGACTTCAAGAATGCATTGAAAATCCGGACAGATTACACTTCTCGGGCCCCTTACATCCGAGGTCAACATGTTGCCAGTTTCGCTGCTATTGAAACACCACGATCTTCGATTTAGAGGTTGCGTCCGACGGTAATAATTGACCAAAGAACCAGTCAACAAACAGAGGGAAAATGTCCGGCCCGCTGCTTATGTAAACAATCTGGAGGCTCCATGCAGCTTTTCAGCTCGCCCTTGGACCTTCAGACCTGAGCTGAGGATGCATTTAGGCCGGATGCACAGTGCTCGCCAAGGGGAGATGGTAGGTGACCACAGCTGCACACTTGCTAGTCACAGCTGAAGAGTTTTCGGAATTTTTATGGCTGTTTGATAGCGCAAACTTTCGGCGTCGAAAGCAACAGCTTGACCCCGGGTTTAAGGGGCCCGAGCTTGCGTTTGCCCTTCTTCCCTTCAAAATGGCCCAAAAGCAAACTCGATCGTCATCACTCAAAGACTGTTGGGAAGGGTCGATCAGGCACCTACCTCCTTGGCAGGATCAAACATATTCTCGAGCAGCAGGTACTGCGATGGAAGGCCGATTGGTTTCTGAGCGTGGGGAATCGGAGCCCCCATGAGAGGGATGCCCGCCAGAGGCGCCGGAGGAGGTACCACGGCTGCCATGCCTGTCCTGTCGAGCTTCTGCATCAGCAGGGCCCTTGAGCGAGCGTTCAAGGCCTGCAGCAACGAAGCAACATGAGATCAGAGCCTATCGCCACAGCAAAAGCGGGACCAGAGTGTCGAACTGCTCCAGATTGTGGTACCAGCAAGTCCCTCAATCCTCGAAACCGTCATTCATATCACCATTCGAATACATCATATGTCTTACCACTGAGGCACGCTCGCCCCTCTCTTCATTAGCGCCCAAAACAACAAAAGGAAGGGAAAGTGGGTAAGTTCGGGAAGGCAGGAATCAGCAGAACGGGTATCAGAACTTTGCTGCTCCTGCTTTATGGAGCACAACCACTGCTTTTGGTCCATGACGGAAATCTCTTGGCAACACTCACCAAGCCTCCACCATCATCGTCATCGATCTCCCCCGCCCCATCGCCTGCGCCGGCACCTTCAGCCACAGGGGCTACCTTGATAGCGCGTCCTGCCAGCTCAAGCCCATTCAGATTCTGCATAGCAATCTGTGCATCTGCCAGATTGATGTACTGCAGGGGACAAAAGTCAAAGTACGCATTACAAACATGAGAAAGTTTGGTTCGACAGTAGATTTGGAAGACATTAGAGGTCCGAACAGCCGCATATTGTAAAGAAACGCACAAGGAGTGATGATCAAGTTCCCTTTTACTAACGGAGCTGTAGCATTCGCTACTTGATGTCCAGATACTCAAGCATGGAAGGCCAACCTCTCTAAATGTCGCTCTTTCCAGATATAGGTTGACTTCCACTTTCGAACAGCTACTCCTGTTACTGGCAATCTTGGCACCCTGGTTTTGCGACTGCGAACAAGCACAAGCAGCGACCACTCTCCCTATGTCAAGCTCACTCACCTGCACAAATCCGAAGCCCTTGCACTGATTCGTCTCAGGATCCAAAGGCAGCTGCACAAGCTCAACCGGACCAAAAGGCTCGAACACCTGCACCAGGCAACAAAAAACGAGGAGCGTGATGCCTGGCAGAAGATAGTGCTGCCAACTGGATCGTCCATATGTTGGGAAGTGGCTACGGCCACAGCAAATCATCTTCATAGTTCGAGATACCCTGTTAGCCTCCTCTCCACAAGGAATTTTCAACAACACGAGCAACCCGAATCCTGGTTGCACACATGAGTTGAAACATGACAGACTGTTGGTATTCCTCCTCAAATCGATCTAGCGGATCCCACCCGAGCACAAAACTCCCAGCATCTCCCAAGAGTCTGCCCAATAAAGCAAAGAAGCAAAGAATGGCCGCCACCATGAGAACCACGAAAGTAGCATCCAGCTTTTGTAGCTGAGCCAAAAGAAATGAGAAGATGGTTACCACACCTTCGGAGGGGTTGCCTCTTTTTCCGTGGCAGATCAGAGTCAGCAAAAGGACAAGCCTTCATCGCCTGTGGGGGTTACACAGTCAAGTAAGCCGACTGAGAGCTTGCAAATGCTCCAGAAGAGCGAGCCTGATATGCAAAGCAGAAGGAAGCTGCAAAAGCCTGCCATCTCTGAAAATCAACTTGTTTCAAGGAGTAAGAGGGTGGTCGTACCTGCTTCAGCTGCTCCTCCGTCATGTTGAAGTGCAAATTGCCTACATACAGGCGCCGCTGGCCGCCTGTAAAGGCTCCCGCACCTGCTCCAATCATGTTAACAGCTCCTGAAGGCTGCACGAGATTCTTCTCAGCCTCCGATGGCTTCACCATGACCGGCACATTCTTGATCAGTTGACCTGACAAGGCGATGGCCATGGGCACTGACATCACGTCATAGAACTCAATGTACCTGCACAAAAAAGAAAACTGTTTGCAAATACTCTCATGCAAAGCAAGCTGCTCTGTAAGCAACACTACTACCGTCAGCATGGATATAAGAATGAGACGAGGTATGGTGACTGGTCAAGCAAGTGCCTAAACGCCTCTGTGCTTGCTACACTCTGCAAGATGCTCTTTTGCAGGCGATAGGTGACTTCGAAACACAGTTTTATCAGTTAACTTGCGCGTATGTTGGTCTTCTAGCACACCGCTTACAGGAGCAGCAAATTACATGACGACAACGAGGCACCTGTGCCCCAAGCAGATATGATCCAAGTCGCTGTACACCTAATCCAGGCCTGCAAGTCGCAAAGATAACCGATCAAGAGTTGCATCATTGACCGCATAAATAGCCCTGGTCCCTTCCTTCCAAAGCAGCCAGTCTCCGAAAACAAACGGAACCACTAAGGGATGGACAGCCTGCAAGACACTGACCTGGAAAGCAGCACTTACTTTAAGTCCTTGAATTTCGAATTGTAGAACTTGCAAAACTAGCCCAAACCTCAGGCACTTACCCAACCCCCTTGTGCCGCCTGGAGTTCCGATCAACGATGAGCCGGATGTCTCTCACCTGCAGGAAAAAGAGAACGAGCTTGACTACACACAACAGACTGGCGTGTCATAGAAAGATGGGCAAAGCAAACCTTGCAACAGGCATGCCATACAGTAGTGCAAAGGTTTGGTAATCTGCTAACTTACCTTTCCTGCTCTTGAAAAGAACTCATAGAGATCCCGTTCATCAGCCTTCAAGCTGATCTGGTATGCAAAAACAGTCCTCTGGTCGCGCTCCGGATCCACCTCTGGTTCTGGTTCTGGAGACTTCTTCCTGCGGAAACAAACACGTAGGAAATCAGCCACCCAGATTGGTCTTCACATATGGTAATGAAGTCCCCTCAGAAACACTTGCCTCACAATGCGCACCAATGTTCAGACAAGTAAGACGATGTGTGTCTCATTCCATTTGTTGCTTACCTCTTCCCCCCATAATCTCGTCTATCCCTGTAACTGCCCCGCTCCCGCTCCCGTTCTTTCCGGGGCGACCTGGTTCGAGACCGAGGCCGTGAGGATTTCCGCTCGTCTCGGCTGTCATCCTCGCGATGCCGCTTCCTTTTTTCGTCATCCGTACGACCCTTGTCTCCATTCCTCTCCTTACCATCCTCCAATGTTGCCTCAAGATAGTCATACTCGTTGAAATCCCCCATTTTCAACGCCTTATTTCGTCCAAAGCACCTACCAAGCAACAAACCACCAAGTTGGCGTCTCCAAGAGGGCACCTCTCCCTACTTCTGCGCGCTGTAGCTCTCTAGCCTCAGTAGGACCTGAGCGCTGTTTGCTGCTCGGTGCAGCCCAGGCCCAGGGCCGACTCTAGTCTCTAGAGTCTAGACTCTACGAACGCAACTAGACCCTAGGCGCAAACTGCACCAATACCGCTGCGGATCATTTAGATCCGACAAGAGCCCTGCGTCGGTGGTCCGAGACCGTCGATCTGATAAAGAAGGTCAATCATTGGTATCCTGAAATCTGTCAGTCGAGGAACGGTCGATGTCGGGCCATTTTGGCATCCAACGGCTCGAGGCTCGTCAGATCTGACGTAGTGAAAGCGGAATTCATCATTTCCTGCCAGACTGGCGATTCCCTGGCTTGAGTTTCAGAATCCAATTCAATCCAACCGAAGTCAGGTCACCATCCCAAGTTAGAAATGCCGGGGAACGCACGGAGACACGAAACATCTAGACGATTGGATCCATTGGCATGCGGATACCACGAAATTGCTGCTCACATAATGGCTAGATGTTCCATGCCTGTTATGTTCCGGGTTGACCAATTTTCACCGACCGGGTTTCCCGAGTGGACCCGAACCGTTCGTCCGGATTCCGGAGTCGGAACTTGGCCCAGACTCCGAGTCCATGTCAGGAGTCGGAATCTGCCAAGCTGCTGCAGACCACACGAACGGAACTGGTAACTCAGGCAATTCAGCTGACCAGTTCGCAGTGCCAGCATCAGGGGGGCGGTCCAGCGCATCAAATGCTTCTTCCACCTCGTACAAAAGTGACTGGTATGGTCGGCAGGATCTTGTAGGTAGCAGTGCATAGGAGGGAATTCAGCACTGGCATTCCACCATTGCAGACTCACAGCACCTGTGCTTTGGGAATTTCCCTGGCTTTGATCCGAAACGAGCACCGCAACAAACTGACCTTAGCATCGTTAAGGAGTGCAGGCTTTCAATCTGTGGCATTGGTTGCCAGCCCCGTCATCGAGCCTAAGGTCCTCCCTTCTGGATCATCGGGGTTGCTTTTGTCAGCAGATCCTGCTGGAGGCTGCTTGTCAACGGACTGTTACAGCGGCCCTTGAGATGAATTTCTTCTGAGGGCCTATTCTGTCCTTTTTTTAAGTCCAGGCCAAAATCATGGTGGCCTCCTCTCCCAGGAACCGGCCTGCCCCTGACAGCAAGCGTTTTGATGTCGAGCTCACCGTGGACTCCTTGACTAACCTGCGATTGAGCGCAGAAGAAGAGACCCTCGTCTCTGTAGATGTCAAGTGGAAAGGGCCAAAGTCTGCACTTGGATCGCGTTTCAGGAAGAGTCAGAAGAAGGACAACACCTCAGCGGAGGTGGTAACAGGAGGTGGCGCAGTTGTCTGGGGGGAAGGTGTTAGCAAGTTCAAGCACCAGTGTCTCTTGCTGGGAGCCAAAAGCCAGGGCTATGAGGAGGTCACCTACCAACCTTGGGATGTCAACTTTGTCATCCTCAAGGTAAGCAGCTCACATAACGAAAGTTAGCTCGAGGTTGTTATTGGGAAATCCCGACATTTAAGCCAATGTCGTGTCTGGCAAGGATGCACTGATTTGACCAAGGCGCTGGTTTCTCAGCTCCTTCTCCTATGTTAGATCAGAAAACTGTCTTAGGTGCCTCAATTGGAAGGGCCCCCATTAAAAGCTGTATGAATTGTAGTGGATCTCTTGAGTAAATTTGAAGGTACTGCACATAGCGTGCAAGAATGCAGAAGTGTGGCTGTTTCTGTTGAACAAGCGGGTCACTCTTGCTGTCAGGATTTTCCATGGCGTTGAGTTTGGGTCTGTTCTGCGATGGCCCCTGTGACACATGGATGGTGGTCATATTGCTGTGAAACTTCTCTTGGATCTCGGGGAACCCACGAAGGATGCTGCGCCCTTTTTGTTCAGCTTCAGAATGTCTGGGCCTTGTGCTCTGCAGGCGGCTGCTTCTGCTCCAGAGAAGACAAGTGCCTTGGGCAAGGCATCCCTGAATTTGTCAGAGTATGGATCGGGGCTACGAAATCCATGGACAACCATTCAGGTTGAGATGGAAGGCAAGGGAGTGGATGCGAATGCAGAGCTGAAGGTGAGGCAAGGGGACTGGCAAGTCACAGTGGGGCGGTTGTGTTTGGTAATCACGTTGCTTCATGCTTCGAAGACGTGGTTTTTAGGCTGGAATGATCTAGGAAGGATGCTGTTATCAGCGGGATTCTCAGTATGAGGACACGTGATCACATCGTCCACAATTTTCTCAGCCATGCAAGTGACAAGCAGTCAGAAGAGTCTGAGGATCCTACATTTTGATTGGGCAGGCCACTTTGGCGTGCCCGTAGTATGTTGTCTTTTATTGCTAGATGCGTCATGAAGACAAGGATTTTGGTTTTGATTTCCGAGGATTTTCTGAATATGATACTGAAGTTAATCTAGATGAAGCGCCTTTCCTTCGTGAGTAGAGCAACTCTAGCTGCCTATGCGAACAGTCAATATCTGACCGTTGGTACACTCAAAGTCAGTATTTGTGAGACAGCAGAGTGTCTGCTGAGTCGTACTTTCAGAGGCTTACTTCAAACTGACCCCCAAAATCGTATTGAAATCGGGAGTCAAGCTTAGTTCTGTCAGAAGGTAAGTTGGGCTAGAACTTCTTCTACTACTCAGTTTTAGCTTGAGTAGCACAAAAATGGGGCACTTTCAGGAAAATGAGATGAGGTTTGACTCCAGGGCTTGTGTTTCTTTGTGCTATTGACTTTATGACAATGTGGGGCGTAATATGGTAGAATCTCAAGATCAGAGAATCTGGGAGTTTTGTTCCAGTCATGCACAGCGGGTTCTGTCTCTTGTGAAATGGCTTTTACGCATTTTGTTTCCCACATCTTTTCAAGCAACCTACTTGCAGAAAGTTCCTTGCTTCTCCTGTTTCTTTCAGAGTCAGCCTGGCCCCCAAAATCATCCTTGAGGCTTGCTGTCAGGCGACCAAGCCTGGCGCTTCTCTCACGGTCTGGGCCTCAACCAACCTTACCTCTCTTTCCCAGGTGAGAGTCTCCATGGTGGAGCTCAGAAACGAGGACGGTCCCACAACTCCCGAGTCTGTGGCCCCTGCCCCCAAGCGCTCCTCGCGCCTCTCCCACCGCCTCTCCCACTCGCGCTCTCGCTCTCTCAGCGTCCTTGAGGACCTCAAGCTGCCGGAAAAACCCCTGATGACATCATCTATGATTTCGTCGGACGCGGACGACGAGGCGGAGACCGAGGACCTGGCGGCGCTCGGCGTGGAGCTCCCCCTCAAGTACAACAGCATGGTAGCTAGCAACCTCGCAGCGGCGTTGGGGGCCACCGAACTTGCCGAGGTCGACAGAGCGGTGATCCAACCCCTCCCCCAGATTGCAACCCTGGAACGGACTGTCAGTGTTCCTCTGCCGGAGGTGTCGGACGGGGAGGAAGAGGGAGGGGCCAAGGACGAGGGGACGTCCAAGGCGAGGGGTCTGTTCAAGAAGCGCAAGCTGAGCTTCCGGTCGCCCAAGGGGGACCCCCTGCTGTGGACCAAGGAGAAGGAGCAGCCGCTGCTGAACAAGGTCAAGGCGGAAGAGGAGGAGGTGGTCAACACGTGGGAGAGCCCGTACACCGACTCGTCATCTGCGGAGCATGGCCGCTGGCTAGACGCGGTGAGCGTGTTCTCAGAGCTAGGGTTTCAAGTAGAAGCAGGGTGGCGCCAACTTGGGCTTGTGGTTTGGAAGCACAAGATTGTCTGTTAAGGGAGGCAGGAGCAGATTGAGTTTAGAGGCCTAGTGTCTGCACCCTCTGCATGTCGAATCTGCGGTTTGTGCTCACATCAAGTCCTCTTTACAAACTAAGTACCCCAACCATTCTTGGATGTTACCGACTCATGCATAATCTTCCTGCATTCATGTGTTAGTTTCAGCTAGAATGACGCTATCTCAACATGGAGCCCAGCCGCTTGGCATTGATGTCTTTTCCAACTTGACCGCTGATGCTGATGCTGACAAGCCCTATTTGACACTGCTATTGAAATTCATGATCTTTTGGAGGCACTTTGAAATTTGCCTGTCTCTTCTGGTCTTGTACAAGGGATCGGTTTCGAGTAGCTTTGGTTGTAGGTTGCAATGCCTGTCTTTCGTTTCTTTTCCCAGTCTGTTGAATCGCACACAGAGAAATGTTCGCCCTTCTCAGCAGCAGCATGCACCTGCATAAGCAGAAGCCATGCATTCCAGGTCAGCGCGCCCTTTCACCATGCGGCAGATCACTCCTGACACCAATCCTGACATCTACTCTTCTCTCTGTGCAGAAGCGCGCGGGTTTGCCTCCGAGCCTGTCCTCAGACAGCCTCTCTGCTTCGGACGGCAACTACAGCTCGGACGCTGAGGAAGAGCACAAGGTCGGCGCGTGGCAGCTGCGCCAGATTGTCAGCCGAGATGGGTCCAGCCGCATGCTGGGGGAGGTCTTCTTTGCGTCGTTCGACCAGCGCAGCGAGAGCGCGGCTGGCGAGAGCGCGTGCACCGCTCTAGTTGCTGTCATCGCTGACTGGCTGCACCAGCACCCGGGGCAGATGCCGACGAAGGGGATGTTCAACCAGCTGATCCAGGAGGGGAGCGGCGAGTGGCGCGCCCTGTGCGAGATGGACGAGTTCAAGGAGAGCTTCAAGGACCGGCACTTTGACCTTGAGACGGTGCTCGGCGCGCGCATCCGGCCGCTCAAGGTGGACCACTTCCACTCGTTCGTGGGGTTCTTCAAGCCGCCTGAGGTGGAGACGTCGCACGAGATGCTGGCGGGGTCGATGTCGTTCGACGACATCTGGAGCGAGCTGGCAAAGGCGGGGGAGGGGGTGTACATCGTCAGCTGGAACGACCACTTCTTCATCCTGAAAGTCGACGAGGGGCGGTGCTACATCATCGACACGCTGGGGGAGCGCCTGGTGGAGGGGTGCAGCCGCGCGTTCATGCTGCGCTTTGAGGGGGGGTGCTGCTGCAAGCAGGTGGCCGAGACCAAGGCCGAGATCCGGAGGGAGGAAGAGGAGAAAGCGGCGGCGGCGCAGGCGGAGAAAGAGCGTGCGGCGGGGCCGAAGAAGAAGCAGAAGCCCAGCCCGTACGCAAGCGGGCTGTCTCGGACGGTGTCCGGCGTGCCCAAGGCGTCCGAGAAGGAGGACAGTCCAAAGGGGGCCGGGCTGGGGCGGACGCTGAGCATGTCGACGCTGGGGGCGCTGCTGGGGAGAACTAGCAGCGGCAGCTTTGGCGCAGGGAGCAAAAACGCGGAGAGGGCGGCGCTGGTGGCGAAAGAGGACTTGAAGGGGAAAATTTTGGAGACGAATGGGGCAGCTTCGGAGGGAATGGGCGGGGGTGAGATCTCGGCGCCGGTTTCTGAGGGCGAGAATGAGGGTGCGGGTGAGGACGGGGAGAAAGTGGAGGAGTGTGGCCTGGGGCGGGGGATGTGCAAGGGGCGACATTTTGTGAGGGACTTTTTGGCGGCCGTGCCGCTGCGAGCGCTGGCTGAGGATCTGAAGGCAAAGCGCGCGGTGCCCGTGCATCAGCGGTTACAGATTGAGTTCAACTACACGCGGCTGTTGGACCTATTCAACGAGAAAGACGTCAAGAAGCTGGGCTAAGGGGGGAGGGAAGCGGAGGTTATTTATATCCAGCGAAGGTGAACCGGGCACCGTTTGTGCAAAGTCGAGACTGCTATTTGACTGCGACGGAGTTAGAGTTGAGATTTTTTGAGATGGAGGGGATGGAAGTGGGAGAGTGGAGGGGATGGAATCGGGAGATGGAAACAATGAGAGTAATTTTGTTGTTATGCATCCCAGGTGAAAGCTGGCAAGGATCACGTGCTACACACGGTGCTGTTAGGTTGCAGTATATAGTCCAATCTTATTCGAAGTCAGGAGAGATTTGGGCAGCTTGTAAGAAGCAGCTCTCCCTTCTTGAGATAAAGTTCTCTGTTGTAAGCTGTCCTGTGGCAACGCTTGCCATGGCAAAGCATTCAGCAACTGAGACATTACATCTTAGCTTTTAGCATCAGATGTTGACGTGTCAAAGTCCAATCAGACGTTGTAGGCAATCCGGTCGGTCGAGTTTCCAAGTCCTGCTCCAAAGTACTTAGGTATATGCGTCTAATAGCAATTAGTCCAGGACCTCTGAACGAGTTGCATTGAGGTACTCAACTCCTCTCCTGGAGGTTCTAGTTAATCACTCGGCACCTCCAAGAATGCTGCTCTTTTTGCCTGGGTCACGACTTTCGATGATTACGTGATTCCGGCCTGCCGCAATCAATGGCATATCAAGCTATGTGTAGCTAGCTTGTTATATGGAGAATGCCGCCACATTATGGTACAATACTCGGCCGGCCGCGAGTCACCGATATTGTTGGATGTACGAACACAATTTCTGCAATAATCCCAGCGTCATTGTACGCGCTGATCACACATGCTTGGTCCAATGATAGCTCATGGCATGTATTTCATGAATTATATCTTTACGTACGACGTCTACTACGTTGGTATAGTACACTGTGGCAAGGATTATATACCTAAATGAATATTTGCATGTATATGCTTAAGTTTGAATCCATGCGATGATCTCACTATTCATACATGCAATTCCATGTTGTGTTCCATGTTGTGTTCCATGTGACTTGAACAGATCGTTTGTTTTCGTATACCGCGATCACATATGGATATTCCAAACTTATAAGGGCCTGGAGGCATCCGACAATGGACATGTGCATGTCACGCGCCGGCGTGATGGCATTCCCGGATCAATCATGAATTGCACAGAGATTAGAACAACGTACCTTCAACTGGCTTGCAAGAGCTTGACAGTGGCGCAGCCGCAACGTGTTGATTCAAGGTCATAGTACTTAGCCTGGCATGCATGGCCGCGTCGGCCCATGCAGCCAGGCTGCCTGCGGCCGCGCCGAATCCGGTTCGACAAGATATATGCATCGCAAATTGCAGTATGCAGTCGACCTTGAACGATGATCCGACAGAGTGAACATCCCGGCGGCTGAGGCTACTTATACGAGGCCACGTCATCATTGCGGCCAACCGAGCAACAACGCGCGCTTGATCTTGAGCCGGAACTTATTGAATAGGGAAATGCATGCACCAAAAGCTACACTGTATGAAAACGAGATATGGCTCGGAACACGCCTTTCACTTGTCGCCGGGTCTCGAGACTGTAACAACTGTGACGGTGTTTCGGTCGTCCGACTTTGACTTTTTATCGTCCGACTTTGACTTTTTATCTTCCTTCCCCTTTTTATCCTCTTTTCCCTTCTTCTCCTCCTTCCGTTTCTTCTCCTCTACAGGAGGTGGCACCGGATCCGGAGGAGGCGGAAACATTTTCGCCAGGTCCCTGCACAAGAGCGTTGGAAGAACTTGAGCACAACCGGAGATGCCCTCTGCAGTGCCCTTCTGCTGCAGGTTTCTCCTCGGCTGACGCGGCCACCCGCCCAGGCAACTTTGTCCATAGGCTCTCATGACGCCCACTCCTTTCGAATCGTTGCATTGCCGAACGTGTGGGCAACATCCTAATAGACGGGCAGCAAGCGGTAGAGCGATTTTCCGTGAGGACTTGGTCAGCGCCGTGGCTACTTCCAATTTCCCAAATTTTTTGACGCTGTAAGTCTTGCTTCCTATTTGAACGGATACTGCGGCTAACAACTCGGTTCAAAGAAAAGGCAAGAGAACACCCGTCTCCGCCTTCTAAAACGGCTCTCCTTTGCAACGATATCAACAGGATAAGGAACCGTGATAAGTTTGTACCGGCCCAATATGTACCAGAATCCAAGGTGATAATGAGGATATTGCAACGGCTAGCGTACAATTGCAAGCCCGGCAAGATGGCCCCACGACAAGTCTGAATTTGCCCCACCTTCAGGTTCTCAATCTCGTATGATGTACAAGGGTCTATGCAGTGAGAAAAGGATGAGACATGCAGCTTGCGCAGCAAGTGTACAAACGTATCAACTGTCGACTTAATATTTTGCGACACCCTTGACGGACATCAGCAGGCAACAGGCAATGCCCCTAGACCTCGCTTCAAAACGGTATATGCGGCGGACTCGAGCCATGCGGCGCTTCAGAATCTCCGGAGCCTGTATGACTTTTACCTCCCCAGGAGCCGCAGATTGCAAGGTCTTGCAGACATTCCGCAATCTGGAGGATTAAAAGCAGCCCAAGTTCTCAGACTCGGGCCAGATCTCAGCACTCTGCAAGTCTTCAAACCCGGCAGAACTTGCGGATTGTAAAAATGCTTCACTGGCAAAACCTTCCAAGATTTCAGCGGGCAGAAGCTGCACAACCCCACGATACAAAAAGGTATGAACGATTGTTACGCACCGGGGGAATTCGCCGAGCTCGTCCTGCGGCGCGCGCTGCTGCGGGTGCGAGAGGAGGACGCACATGGACTTGAAGACCGTCTTGGCCACGCCCGCCGCGCTTTCCAGCAGGTACAGCTCGTGCAGGGACACGGCCTCCAGGAACTGCACCAGCGCGTCGTACACCGCCTGCACCAAAAACATGCGCGGTTGCAATGAGGGGGTAGATATTTCAGGCTTTTGAGGACCTGTATTTTGAGGATTGCATTCGCGGGGCTGTTGAGATGTGCTCTATGTCAAGGGCTGGTAAGGTTTTGCGCGTTGTTTCGGATCATTTGCAGACGGGGGGTAAACGGGAATCGGGGGTCTGGGTAGTATGGCGCTGACTGTCCAGAGCCGTCCAAGGGACGGACCTCTGGCACTGGATCTCAAAATCGGCGCTTCAGAGCATGGGACCGTCGGGGTTCTACCTCAGACTCTGTTCTAGATTAGAATCTTGAAAGTTAGATTTGCTTCACACTGAAACTCGGGCTCTTTCAGCCGGTTCCTGTTCGGGGTGGCACGAATAGGGAACTTAGCGTTCTCAGATCTGGACTTTGACGGTTATCGACTCTTGTATGCAATCAGCGGAGATTGCCAGGTGTCTCCAGAACGAAAGCGCAGCCAGTGATATGGAACGAAAGGAGAATCTCGCTTCGGACGTAGAACTTCGAGGGCAAGCAGAACAGCACTCACTCAAACGAAATTGAAGCACAAGGGCGTTGGGTGCGGACACAGCCTAACCTGCGGGCAGTTGTCCCGGTTCGGCTTGTCGTGGAGGTAGATGGCATCGCAAGTGAACGTGCGGAGAGAGGCGGGCCACTCCACCGCCATTGTTGGGAGGACGCTGGACCGTACGTACACCAAGATCTGCGAACGAAAAGTAGCCTTTGCACCACTTCTCTGGTAGAAGTCTCAATACTTGCAACTGCTACGCCGAGCCTACTGGAAAGATGTCCGCTAGATCTGCCCCATGCAGGTTACAACTGGGGCAACTGAACACTTTTGAACTCAAGAAGCATTCGAGATGCAAGAGAGACAGGATCAAAAAGCATTTGCCTTGTCTTCTTGATGGCCTTAAAAGGTGCAATGAACAAATAGTCTTTCGAACCCAAAGCAGATTGAGCGCCTGCTAAGGAGGGCTCCTAGTGTCAATGAGACCCCTCTGATAACGGGCACCCTCCCCGACATGTAAGTCAGATCGATTCTTCCAGGAACAAAGGTCCGAATGCAAGGCTCGACTGGCTGCGTCTTGTCTGATTTACAGATGCGACTATAGGATTCTGGAGCTTGCCAGACTGGCACAAACGGCTTGGGAAGCCATTGGAAAGCCGCGGAAGCAGGATATGAGAGTATGTCGCCACTGGAAACTTCCAGCGACAGGCTAACCGGGCAGATTCGTAGTTAGACGAAAACGTGGGCCCCGCGAAATCCATTTCTCCTTCAAAAGTACCAGATCTTATTCGATTGAGCGCGACCTGGGAGAATGAGATCAGCTCACCACTCGGACAAGACGATCTGTCCGGGCCTTGGCCTCAGCAGCCGCCATTTTGAAGAGCTCCAGCAGATCGCAGGAGAGAAAGAGGCCCTGCGAGGAGAGCGCCTGGATGGACTGCTGGAGGGACTCGAAGTGGTTGGTGAACTCGCGGTGGTGCTGCAGAAACGAAAGACAGCAGCTCAGTCTTGAGGCGAATAGGTGAAGAAAACTTCAGAATAGGTACTCTGATCAGGCAGAGAAGAGAGAGACGCCGGTCTGACAATAGACAGACACGGAAAGAGTGGCCAGGAAGAGACATGTGATGTGGACAAGTTGTACAGGTATGGATGGCAAAGAACTAGGCGCTGGACCACAGCATCTGCATCTGATTGGAGGAGTGTGCCCAGCGTCAAGAGGTAGAGCACGACATCCAGATTGCGGGTCACCCATATCTGTGAACGCCCCCACGATCCACTGAGGTCCCTCCAACTTAAGAGTAACTGTCATAACTCTGATGCCAGGGCCTCCTTCAAGAAAAAAGTCTAAAGAAACCCGGCAAAGCCGTCAAAGGACCCTTGGGGGTTCATAGTGTTCTCTACAGCGACTCACAGAGAGTGCAACTGTACCCCAGCATGTGTCAGCATCAGAATCAAGGCAAAATTGTGGCCCCTGCTCAGAAGAAGCTAGAAAAGTAAGAATACTGGGAGACTGTTTGAGACAAAGGTCGCAGCACAGACAGCTCTTGATTGTATCAACAGTCAAAAGTTCGGAGTGCCAGATGACCTGAGAAAAGCGGAGAGGGGGTTGTGAATTGCAATAGTGCCATTCTTTTCCTCTGAATTCAATGCAGAATCTCCCATGATTATTTGGGCAGGGTGACTTATCGAGTTCAAGAGTTATGAAGCATGTGGTGGTGTGATCACGGTGTAATATAAACAGACACACGACTTTCCCCAGTAGGATCCTGCCCTCACACATGTCTTTAGATGTATTATGTCTAAAAGCATCGACAGTTTGGAAGTGCTTGTCAGCTTACTTTGAAAAGACCACTCAAGGATCTCGGTCCACATGGCTGTGGACTGAGCCATTCAGTGGCGCATGTCAAATAAGAGATGTCAAAGCACTGACCCATTTGGCCGTGTCGCCAAGCGTGACCACCGCAAACCTGTGCCTCGAATCCATTGCAAGCTTGGCCGTTACAAAGAGCAGCAATGCCTGCTTGATTGCCACCAGCCTGGACGAGGTCGCTCCTTTCATCTCTGTGTCCACTGCTCGATCGACATCCACACAGAAGATGATGTCCTCAGGCTGATGGGGCAGCCCTGCCACTCTGTACGCTGATGATGAATTGGGCTCGGTGTCCTGGTCCTTGATTTGGTGCATGTCGAGGGCAGCCATGGACTCAAAATGTTTGGAGCTTCAGTGCTCAGCTTGCGAAGAGCTCATCATCCAGACGCGATGTGGTTCAACATTGCGGGATAAATGAGGACATATTTGACAGCATTTTAGAAGTCTCTCATGAAAGGGACGCCAATGCTGTGCCAAAAGCACGAGCGCTCCGCAGAGTTGGATCTCTTGGCATAGCAGAACAGCAGCTCGCAAGCCCTGTTGTTGAAGCTGGAAATTCGTGTTGCTGCAGCAGCAGCACTAAAATTAGGGTTTCTTCCTGTGCATGCGCTCCGTCCGCTGCTTCCGTTGATCGGAAACGGAACGGACTTCGATGACGAAAAGATCGAATAATATGTACGGACGGTAAAGGTTGGTAATGGCTGTATTTGGCAGAGGAATGCTACTTTTACGAAATGTCAGAAAAATATAAAATACTCTGCCGAAATGTCAGATCGATTAGAAACTAATTATTCGGCACGCTGACCGACGAAATCAAACGCTGGTACGGTACCAACCTTTTCGTGTCTCAAACGTGGACCAAACGTCACGGTTTTGTACGAAGATAGCCACTTGAGACATCCAGATTTTCAAAATATATTATCACCCGACTTGGTTATTTCTCAGAATTCGGGTCGGTCGGGGACAGGAAACCGGCAATCAAATTCGGACTGCCTAACGTGCTCTGCTAGAAAAGTCCCGTCCGTTCTCGACATACGGTGCCTTGCTTTTCCTGCCCCATTCCTTGTCATCCCTCCTTCGGTGGGAAGCGCTTTGTTTCTTGAAAAGCAGGGCGGCTTGGAGTCGCAGGAGCGCCCTAAGGTTTGCACAGTCTAGAAAGAGGTAAGTATCCTGGCGCACCCAGTTTTGCCAGGTGCCAATCCAGGGGGTTTCTGGGACCGGGTGTCTGAATACTCTCTGCTTGGGCCTACTCCGATGAGTAGGTTTCGTGAATCCTGTTGTTTGTTTACAGTTATCCTCCTAATGGTATCTGGTCAATAGGGTTTATCGATTCTGTCTTTTGTTCACAGTTATGCTCCTAATGGTGCACGCTTGCTGATTAGGCCAAGGCTCTGTATCTTCAAGCACAGGCAGCTTGTAGATGGGGATTCGCTGAATCGCTCCCCTCCTTCGTTTGCAGTATTTCAGATACAGGGATTGGACCATGGAAAAGATTCGAGTTTCCGACGAGGAGATTATAGTGGACAGCATGATTTTGGCAAGCAGAAGTGAAAAGGAGAATCCTGCTCTACCGAGCTATGGTGAGTAAGGGTACTATTGCTGGTTTTAGAACCATTCTTGTTGTTGAGCAGGAAGCACAAGAGGAGGCATTTTCAGCAGCTTGCTGACATTTCATGTAGTTTCCTCAATGAAGAGGAAACTATCATCCGTGGAACATCCTTAGAGAGAATCTACTTATTCAGTCTGACCAGCTATTGTGGCGGGTTCGCAGGGTGAATGTCTGGTTTTGGCATTGCTCAAGCATGAAGCCCTCTTGCAGGTCGCAACCTGGTGCCCTACTTCTGCCCCAACAGCTCAGCAAATCCGGGCGAGGAAGATTTGAATGTCGCTACTGACCTAGATGCCTATCGCAGGTCAGCATTAGTCAGTCAGAAACTGCAAGTGCTTGCAATTTTTAGGTTTTGTTTGAGGAGGCATGCAGTGCCATCTGCCCAGCAGCATTGCCTGTTGCTCTGCAGAAGGGATCGTCTTGATTGTTTACACTGTTGCAGAGGTTGATGAAATGTTTTTGATCGTTAGGGCCGGAGGGGAGATCCATGCTATCCCTCAACCCGAAGCAAGCAAAGATGGCGCTGCGAAGGTGTCTCTGCGCTGCGGCGCTGAGCTTTCTGAACTGGGCAGGAGCTTTAGCAAGCCCTTGAAGATGCGGAAGAGAGGAGCAGCAGCCAGAGGCAGGGTGAGCTGAAAACGTCTGGGTCCCTTTTGGCAGGCTCTTGCCAACGCGTTTTTCTCCTTTTGGCAAAGGCGTTACAGTAGCACAGGAGCGTGGCTGCAAGTGGTTTGAGTTGCGCACGCAGATTGGATTTGGGTTTTAGAGCTGGTTTGGATTTCCTCCTCGTGTTCACTTTTGGTAGGGTTATGAGTTCCTTTCAGCATCGTTAGGGGTTGTCATGTAGGGTTTGGTGTTATGCTATTGTGCTGAGGATCTGCCTCTTGCGAGGTTTTTATTGCTGTTGTTGTATGTGCTGCTTCAAGAGGTGCCATAGCTGAACCGTTTCCAGTTCCTCCCTTTTGTGCAGACCAAGGTGACAGCTGAGTCAGTTTCCTCCCCAACGTCGCCGCTAGACGGCGCTCCTGTCCTGACGTCATCATCTTCCGACAGCGACACAACCGACTCTGAGCAGCAACACAGGGCAGGGTCTGTCCTGCTTGCTCAGGGCCCGACTTGGCAGCAGGAGGAATTGGCGAGGAGCCCTGTCAAAGTGCAGAAGAAACCCTCCAAGCTTAACGGCAAAGGGGACCGCTCGGGCCCCAAGCCCGACTGCGCGGGATCAGCAAAGCCTAGTCAGCACGTCAAGAAGCAGCCAGCTGCGAGCAGCAGGAACATCCCCTCCGCTAGCCCCGTGCTTCGGGCACGCCAGGGGAGCGCGCAGAGATCATCAAGGGTTTCTGAATCCAGGTCAACTCTGCCGGAGCGCTTTGCCGGAGCCGCCTTCCACAACTCCCCGGCCCCTAGCTGCCTGCCCATACCGTCCTTCGTTCATCAGGTGGGTAATTTAGAGCGGGGTCAAGTTTGATGAGCTTCGCAAGGCTGCGTCTTTGGAAGTTGGTTGGTTTTTCCTGCTCAAGTGCTTGTTCAGGATCGTGCTCGTTTGAAACTTCTGCTACTGTCAATGGGTCTAGGATACATTGAGTGGCAGGGAACCCAAATTGGGAGTCTCAATGTCATTCTTCTTTGCAAAGTTTGGGCCTCACTGATGGACTTCAAACTTGATTGAACGGAACTTGCAGTCATGGGCCCATTGGAGCTACCAATCTGACATGTTTACAACCTTATCTTGCTGCAGAAGGGACAGGACAGCCTGGCTCTAGCGCAGCGGAACCTCTTCCCGTCCCCCCCGCGTGCGTCGTCCCCTTCCCAGGAGGGGCTCCTGTCCCCCCAGCCCTCAACGCCGATTGCAGGCCTCTGCACACCAGACGTTCTCAGGACTCCCAGCCCGATGGCTGCAACCGCTTTGGCTTCACAGAGCGGGCGCGATGTTCAGCAGGGGAGTGCGGAGCAGGCCACCCGCAAACTGCACGAGTTGCTTAAGCTGGGGACGCCGTCGCCTGCGCCAAACCCGATTAGCGATCGGGCCCAGTCGCAGGTTGCGACGGCGAGTCTCAGGAGGATGCTGCAGTTGGCCTAGGAAGGGTCGGGGCCCACCAAAGGTGTCGTCAAGTGGGTAATCTAGGGTCTCTGGCAGCGTAGCGGCGCGTTGCTAGGGGAAGTGGTCCGGTCGAGAGTCAGAGATCAGAGTCCTGTGCTCAACCCTCCTGCTGCTTTGCGGGGGAGCTCGAGCGGAGCCCTTTGTTCTTGTAGGTCGTGCCGCAGGTCGTAGTTGCAGCATAGCTGCCCTGTGCTTGAGAGGGGTTCCTCCAAATTGTACATACTGTAGGAGGGTCCGCTCGAGCGCAGTGCAGCCTATTATAAGATCCGCAGTCGTGATAATCATTTGGGGCTAGGGTAGATGTAAAGTCGACAAGGCTGCAGCATTCAGCCCAAGTGCTCGGTCAGTTTAGTTTGCATGAGCTTTCTCTAGTCAACGTCAAAGTCGCCCGCAGCCATAATTACGGGTCAGTGTTGATTTGGACATGTACAGCAAAGCTAGCGGAAGGTCTGAAGCTGTAGCTTACCCGAGTCTTAAGGGTTTAAGCGCGGTTTTGGGGGGTTCCTGGGATGGAGCTGTAAAGAAGCACGACGGAGAGACTGAGAGGGAGGGCCATAGCAAGGCCATGGGAAGCGCAGGATTCATGGTTTTCCACGAGCTGGGGTAAAGGATTGAACTGGCTGGGAGCGCCAGGAATGCAGAGGTGATTGATGGGTGATGGGCTGGCGATGGAGAAGAGCATATGGGCTGGGAAGACGGTCTGGGTACGATGAGAAAAGACGTTTGCAGGAGAAGTCCGAGAGAAGAATATTGAAAAATAGAAGAGAGCCCCACTGAGACAAGCATCCAAGCGAAATATCAATCTGGATGGTCTAATATGGATACATATGCTGCATCCGCTCGAATGATCCTGAATTTTGCATGATTTTCAGCCAGCTGTATGAATGGGGTGTTTTAGTTCTAGTTCGACTTCAGTTGATTCAACATCGATTCCTTAATTGGTGACGGTCATCACTTGTGAGAACTGCACATCTACATACGGTAGTATGTGTGCACGGCGGCCGCGCATCAATGTGCAGCGATCGCGAGTCAGTGTGCTTATTTCTGTCTCTTTTGTCGGACTGCCCGCGGTGGTGATTCAGTGAAAGTGCCAGCGTGTTAATTTGAAAATTTATGTCATAGCTGGGATCACATATATTCTTGATAGCGCATCCGACTCGATTAACGTACGGTGCCCGCCATGTTGAAACACGCATCATCATTAGATTGGGCTCGGCTCTGAGCCTGGTATGGCATGCAATAGCGTGCATGAAATATACGAATCAGCCTCTGTACTGGCATGCACTTGAATGCAATATGTACCGCTATATAGCTACAGCTACTTTGCACATGAAGTAATTTCCAACATTAACTGGCGGTTGACATGCATTCTTTGTGTAAGTTATGAGATACCCCCTACGATCAAAAAGAATGAATCTCATTCAAGCTGGAATATGTATAAAGAGGCTAGTTCGAAGCACTAAGGTGGATCACCTGATTGAAACACACGAACGTATCAAGACAAACGTCAGCTGTTTACTCAGCAAGCCGTGCAGGCAAGTGCCTTCCTACCATACTCTACAGTAAACTATACTCAGTTTGGAGCTTGTTTGAACGGACCCGGTTGGAAAAGATGCAACGTTAAATGCTGGACAGATTCTTCCAGTCGCTTTGCATGCCTTAGCTCGGAACTCCTATTGTCAAGGTCAACCCGAAGTAACCGGACAGTCCGCAGATCCTCAGCCAAAAAGACACCTCATTCCTACACCTTACACCTGAACTCCGAATGAATCACCTGTCCCCATGTACAGGTTGCAGACTGCAACTTGGGCACCTGCCTAATCTAAACAGCCTGGTTCTTGAATATATAGCAACTCTCAGCAATCAGCGAACTCCAAGAATGGTAGTGAATTGTGCTCCCAACGCTCTGCCTTTTCCGACTCGACCGGAGCGGAGATCTGCTTTGCAGCTTTCGTGGGCGACCTGTCTCTTAGGACCGAATGAGGGGACGGTGCATTGCTAGAGGGCTCCTCATCTGGTTCACTTTGCGCCAGGGCAGATGCAGGCGCAACAGGGGACTCGATGATCTTCGGCACCACCTGCAGCCATTGCAAGTAGCTGCCGCTTAAGGAGGGGTCTCCAGAACGGGGCAGACAACGTAATACACAGTCTGTCTGGCAACTTCCCAGCACTGCATGAGTACAAGAAGGCACACCTCTTTCGTCCGAACACTAGCGGTTCGTACACTTAACGGGGTAGGTAAGAACATTCTGCCAACTCGATGAATACAACTTAGGAACCAAAGCTCGATATTGAGATCCAAAGTCCCATCGTTCAGGGAGTCGTTACAGTGACCTTTTCAAGCGCACTATCAAACAGCAGGCTCGTCTCTATTTATCCAATCCTCAACCGTGAAAAGCAGACCATTGCAAAGGTCTCTGACCAGCTTCGAAGACTATGACGACCTTTCCAAAGACACCGCCAAGACCCGACCGAATACGGCGCCCCACCTCTAGGTCCCGGCCAATGACCACCATGGCGCCCGCGTTGCATATGGACCCGCAGTAGTTGGTCGCCGAGAAGATGGTGATCAGCCGGCCGCCCGCAAACCGCTCGATGCCGTCCATAACGCACTCGTGCGCCCGGAGAATCAGGTCAATCTTGTTGCGGTCGCAAAACTTGTGGACCTGCAGAGGAAAGGACGGGCTGGAATCCACATGGCCACGATTTCAAGCAAAGCCGCAAACCAGGTTCCTAGTGAAAGGGAAGACTGCTTTCTGAAGTAACGACGTTTTCGAAGCACGTCACATGTGACTGCTCAGTATCTCGAATCTATCGATTTCAAAGAGGAACACTGGGTTCATGTGTCCAAGGAAGAGCAGACATCGTCAAAAGATGGACGTGACGTACTGCAGCTTTTTCCTATGGAGGGTTGCGAGACTCTCAGCAGAGTACCAAAAGTAGTACCCAACAAGTGTATGTAGATACCGAGACTACCAGAAAAATACCAACTCTGCTTCGACAGGATCGAAGCAGACTTTTCCGCAACCAGCTTTCATCAAACCCTTAAATGAAAGCTCATGACTAATGGCAAGTATCTGTCACCTGGTGGCTTTAATGCGTGGCCAGAGAAGCAACGAAGAAGAGTCACCAAAACGGGATACAAGAGGAGCGAAACGACATAGCGGCCGATAATTCATTCAAATCGATGTTCTAGTAACGAGCTGCGCTTAAAATTGCCCGCCTACAACTAGGAAACACAACTCTCCGCAATTGAGTTCGGGAGCAGTCCGACTCTGGACAAGCAGTCCAACTTCTAAAATGTCACACGTGCACCGTCCTGGCTGGACTGTGTTCCCGATCCATTTCGCGATCACCACTCTTCCGCGGCCGTCAACAGAACGACCGAAGGGCACGCATCAAGCAAAGAGACGCTCCGGATGGCTTGTGCCGCAACCAAGCGCGACAGTTAGTGCCTGCCTCACCTGATCAGGGCCGAACGCCGACACCCCAGGGCCCCGCTTGCTGCTGGTGAACCCTTGGACGGAATCATCGGAGGTCGGGTCCGACCAGAGCAGGTCCTTGACCACGGACGGGGGCCCGTCCAACGAGACGCTGCAGGGCCGCTTCACACCCTCAATATCGGCGATGGTATGCACCGTCTGCAGGGGTAGTACAGGCGGGTGTGAACGTCAGATAGGAAGGCAAACTGGGCTATCCGAAAGGGATTCAATCAGCGTGCTTGCCGAATCTTGGTCGAGACGTCTGCAGTGAACTGCGATGTCTGCACGGAAGTTCAAACTCTCTGGGCGGTTGAGAGACATCGCACACTAGAATGAGGAGACGACTCACAGGAACCTTCAATCAACACATCTAAACGGCTTGCGAATCAAGCAGCATGAAATCAACTTCGATATGGTGAAGGCGCAACGACTTTAGTCTTACGGAAACGAATCAAACGCTGGAGAATGCATGGATAACGAAGCAAGGTACGTGCCTGCTTCGGCTTGTCAACTCACCTGTCCAATCCCACCGTGTATGCACAAAATCTTGTCTGCAATGAGCGCCCCCACCGGCAGGTAATTGAAGACCGAATTGACGGTCGTCCAGCAGCGCGCCCCAATCTCCCGCCCCAGCCTCTGGCAGCATTCCGCCATGAATCCAAACATGCAGTTCACACTGGCATCCTCGTGATTGCCCCGCAGTAGATGCACATGCGTCGGGTTCTCAATCTTGAGGGCAAACAGCAGACAGACGACTTCCAGGCTGTGCCTCCCGCGGTCGACGTAGTCACCTGCAAATGACCCCAGTGACCGCTATCAGAATAGCAGACTTGTTGAACTGACTGCTCAGTGATAAGGCGCAACTTTAACAGAGCTTGGACTTTGAACCATTGCTCAAGAGACTCCGAGCATCGTTACCAGAATTCACCAATCTCAGGTGCAATGATAATATTCCGGAATTGTAGACAGTACTAGTCTCTTCTCAGACAGACTTTTGCTGTGTCCGCCTGTGACTCACCTAGGAACAGGTAGTCATACGCGGCAATGTCCCCGTTCGCGTCGAGTTTGGATGGGCTTCCGTAGGCGTCAAACAACCTGGAAGGCGTGGCAGTTGCTTCGTTTGTCAGCGGCGGCCACACCCTTGTCCAGCGCAGTGCTCTCGGCCCCCAAATCATATTCAGACCCAAGCCAGGGCAGCTGATTAGCATACAAAGTGCTCTAAAACACAGATGGAAGGAGCCAGCAGGTTAGGGCCTGTCAATGGGCCTTACCGCATGAGGTCTGCGTACTGGCCGTGCACGTCCCCAAACACCTTCACTGGTGCCTGCACTCTGAGACAGGAGCCCTCTTTCTCCACCAGAGCTTCTGTCTGCATGCAGAGGTCGATCACCTCCCCCCCACACAAAGGAAAGGTCCTCTCGGGAGGCGGTTTCCAGTCCGCAGGCTTGAGCAACAGCCGGATAGCCTTAGCTGCTACACTCTCTCCCTCCTCAGGCTGCTTCATGATGGGGCTTGGAGAACCGCCTCTCGACAGGCGCCTTCCTTCTGCTGGGAGGTCGCCTAGACTGACCCTTCTTCCTGGTTCTAGTTTGACACTCGCCCCATCCTCCCAGCCGGAAGAGTCAGAATCCAGTTGCTGGGATCTTGAGGTGGAGATTACTGCTTGATCTGACACACTGACGTCAAAGTGCTCTTGAGCTCTTTCATAAGCAGCGCTCTCCGGCCCGTCCATCCTAGTTGGCTCTTGATTCGCACTGTCCATCGGTGGCATGGTTTGCCCCTTCTGCCCCTGTTCAGCGTCACAAACAAAACCCGAGAATTGCTCTGCGCTGATGGTGCGCACTCTTTTGAGAGAGCCGGATGTACTTGGGAGCAGCTCTGAGGCCATCACCAGCGATCCCTAAGCCCATGGGTTGGGGCATCCTGTAGAAACGAAAGTGAAATAAGTCCAATTCGAAGTGTTATAAGACAAAAGCATGTCTGCAAATTGAAGACAACTCTCGTAGGCTCTAGTACAGAAGATTGCCGTTGAGTGAATGCAACTAATATGTGCGTAGACGAACAGAATCTGCTATCCAAGTTATACAGCTACTTCAGAAGAGCTGCTGTGCTTCTGTGGTACGGCTCCACAAATGGCTTTACCAAGTATCAAATATTGCAATGTAATTGCTGAAATGTTGCAAACCAAATCCTGCCCAGCGCTGACTAGACGAAGGGGAGACAGTGATAAAGTCGCAAGTGCGCAGTTGCTCAAGAAGCATGGACAATTTCAACATACATGCCGCCAATTGCAGAATCAGGACTTCTACCTCACTCACTTGGACTTTACAGTTTGCTTCAATAGGAGATATCATGTTCCAGTGAGCAGTAGCAGTGTCCTTGAGCACCCTGTCATTTTTTCCAATTCATTGGCGAGCAAGTGTTCTCTAAATTGGACACGGCTAGAATCTTCTCAAGAGCGCAGCTAGCGGTCTGCGTCTGTAACCGCCCTTCACATGACAAACAGAACAACGTACAACTTTCGAAACAGCACCTGGCACAACAGAAAGTGTGGCCTGCAAGAGAAGGCCTGCTCAAGGACAATAATACACTCAGAATGACTTGCAAAGTGTACTGCATTCTAGAAGACTCTCTAATATATGCGGAGGCCTACCTGACACATTTGCAGCTTCGCAGAACGGGGACTGCTGCCCAAGCTGTATTGCTGCTCAAAAGCTGGGGAAGATCACAAGCTTTACAACGGACCAAACGCAGCATATATGGTGCAAGCTGGCACTTGACAATGTGACCACTCAGCTGCGTTCCAAACCACTCAGTCGCCCTACGTGCCCAAGCCTTCCATTCTTCCTTCCGTGTCCCCTCCTCTTCAGCCTGCCCTATGTACAAACTTCAAGCGGTTCGCTACAAGTAAAGCGTCCTCTGAACGCTCTCCTGGTCCAGCACCAAGCTATAGCCGAATAGGCCACAAGCTGCGCGCTCGTGGCCGGAGTCCTTGGTTGAGGAGGTCTGAAGTGAAAAGTTTGACGAATCAAACCGTTATTATGAACGGCATCAACGGAATCGGAACGAAGGTCAACGGAACGACCGGACCGGAACCTGCGGTTTCTGGCAGTACGTCTCGCGTATGTCTAGCTAGCAGAGTCGCACGCGTTCTAGCTGTTCAACGCTTGTGCCTCGCTTGTGCATGACTGCATGCTTCTACGTACTTGCTGCACTTGGGTCTCACCATGTTGAGTCGGCTATAGAAGGGCCGTAATTCAAGGGCCATAGAAATGTGCCCGCTTGTTGAACGGAAGATGCGATCGAGGAGACGAGGACGGTCTGATCGCTCTATATAGATTGTTGCCTCAATAATAAGATGCAAACCCGTCAGATGCAAATAGTTCAATAACCTCATCAGTACGCGTGCGCTCTGCCAGCTTGCTCCTCGGTTGGCCCGAGCTTTGAATGGTCGAACGGTCCCATATTTGTCCTCCTACTGAGCTACTGACTTTCTCAAACGATGCAAAAGACAGCTAATAGTCTCGAAAGTACAGCCCGGCATGCGCTGGACAATGTAAAGTTCATCTTCCGTAGAAGAATGGGAACAGCACTCTACGAGTCTGGGACTTTGCTTGTGATTTTGGAGCCAAACGTGTATTGCGCAGATTCGAGAGACTTGAAAGCTGGGCTCTCTGTATGACAAATTGACGTTCTTCTGCGTTGAGCTCGTCAAAATGACGATCTTCATTCAAGCACTCAGTGTTGCGGAATGTCTCATATATATAAGTAGACGTCACGAAGCAATCACTTTGGCTATATATTTGGCTACGGCGTATTTGAAAAGAGCCATCACTTTAGAGGACAGTGAATACATTTGAGGTTCTTTTGCCCATGTCATCAAGGCCTTTAAACCATCAAGGCCTTTAAACTTGCAACTTTGCAGCCATGATGATCGGATCTGCATATCTAGACGTAGTCAAACTCGAGGTACGTGACGCAAAGCTTTGCTGAGCCAATGTGGGCGTATGGCTACTAAGATCGACACATGCACGGCTAGTGAACGAAACCAAAGAACCTGCTCATTGTAATGACATGGCCGCGCACTGATTGTATGTCCTGGCCCGGGCCTGTACCTTTGTGATTGCACTCCATATGACGGCTTTAACCACAAATGCTGAGTACTTGTTGTCTGTTCGCTCAGGCTAGCTCGAATGGAGCACGCCATTCACGTTCGACTGGCCCCACTGGCAGTGGTGTCTATTGAGTGGACTTACCCAACATAATACAACACCCAGTACATATGCTGGCATGTGCCGGCATGGCCGCATGTGATGGCCACCGCTTCAATCAATATTGTGCATAAGCACGGCACAATTTCATGTGACCCAGCGTCCTGTTTGAATTTCTGAGGCATGACATGTTCAGTGCACCATGAGGCCGTATGGCGTCTAATGTGGCACGGTCATGTATGCGCGGCCACTTACAAAACAAGAGAGAGGAAAAGGCAGCAAGGGCTTACTGCAGGGGGACGTTCCAGTTTCGTGAGTCACAAGCAACCTATATCCGCCGATTTGATGTCCAATGGAAGTTGAATCTTTTCATTGAAAGGTTACACCGGCCATGCAGTGCCTCCTGCATACCGTTCTAGGGCTGCCACTTGCAACGTCACCAGATGTCAACACGTGCGCTATTGCTGCGGAAAAGATTATCCCCTTCTTTCACTCCGAATGCCTCGTAAAACTCGGGTACATTGCAGACGATACCTGCAGAAAGACGAATCCACTGCATTCGAACCTGCCAGGGAAAGTGCAGATGCTGCGCCCATTTGAGATTTTGGAACGCAACTATCAAATATGAACTCCTAGACTGGGTTCTTAGAAGTCTTTAGAAGCATTTTTTGAAATCTCCGAGACAACTTCCTTCGCCTCCTTCTAGAACAGTTCGGACAGGATGCCTGCTAGTGCGAATTTCGCATCCCTTCTAGAACGGGCGAGACGGCACAAACAATATATCTGAGCGAGGTCAGTCTTTGAACCCTACGAGATCGGAAAAGAAGTGATCTCTCGGCTTACCATTGACCCGGTAGTCCGCGGGTGAGTGTGGGTCTGTGGTGACCCTCTTCAGAGCCTGTTCTTTGGTGATGTTGGACCGCCAGACCTGGACACGATTGTGAAACGAGGGCGTTTGAAAGCAATCATCTAAAGAAGCTCGCTCGTCCCGGGCCCAACATCAGGCTAGGTCTGGAATCAAAGCGTTAAACGTTTCAAAATAATGGTTTTTCCTTCTTCAAACCACAGGCTTTCCAATGCGGAAATCTTGCCTTTTTCGACTGGTGGAATTCGTCGGCGGTGCACGGACGCGCTTAAAAGCTCCGGGGCAAAGCATTCAGATGGTTTATAAACTTCGCTCGCTTGGGACATCCTGGCACGACGGGAATGCACGTACTACAAATAATCATGCAACCTTGTCCTTCGCCGCCGTCAAGGCCACCCTCTCCAGATAGGGATAGACAGACTTGCGCTCTAGTCATAGGCAGGATAAGAGACAAGTCGGGACTTGAAGAATTATCGAGCTGAGAGCTTATCGCTCCAATTGTTAACCAATTCGTATGCTACTAGACAAAAACCTAGGAATGTGGAGGCAGGAGCTGGATTCGCACCTGAGCCCACGAGAGGAAGAACCGCTGTGCAGGGGTAAATTCGCCCCCTGGGTTCACGGTTGCAACGTCGTCGCCCGCCTGCTTCTGCTTTTTCTGCGCAGAAACGAAGACAATCAGTCTCTGAACGCCACAAAATCGAAGGATGTTCCCCGGTTACTAGAACGCTGGCACAACAATTGCCGTAAGCTCAGAACAGCTCGCGCCCAGAGCAATCTCGTATGACCCTAAAAGCTAGCAAGAGCCCGCACCAATTCCTTTTCTTTTAGGTTACCTTTCTGGAACATCGCTCACTGCCATCGTCAGCCCCAGAGGTTTGAAGTCACACCCAAAAAGCAGTATTGTCTTGAGTACCCGAATACTCTTAGCCCTTAGTCTCAGGAATTCGACATTGAACTGCGGGAACTGATGTTGACCAGCTCAGCTCCTTGCAGCACTGCTCTGGGCGAGGAGTAGTCTCGAATTTGAGACGCTGGAAAGGTCGATCGCGGCGTCAACACAGTAGCTTAGCAGAAGCAGAAAGAACTGCATCGAGCGGAGCCCCACCTGCGCCCGCTGGAACGCAGCGTACGCGATCTTGACCCCCCCGAGGTCCGCGATGTTCTCCCCCTGCGTGAGCTCCCCGTTGAGCTTGGCCCCGTGCACAGCGTAATCGGAGAACTGGTCCACAATCACCTTGGCGCGCCGCTTGAACTCCTCCGCGTCCTCTGGGGTCCACCAGTCCGCCAGGTTGCCCGTGGCGTCAAAACGGCGGCCCTGGTCGTCGTAGCCTGAAGAGGACGGGAAGCGTTAGGGTTCCGTTTCGAGAGGGGATGTGCAAGAGAAACTTTGAAAGCACCATTACGACCTGGATTTCTCAGCGTATGGCAAGGTTGAGTCACAGCGTCCGGCGGCTGTGGCGTGTCAAAAATGACGACTTAGGTGCGGCCTCGACCGGAAGCACCCTTTACTTCTGTTCACTATAGACTACGCGCCATGTCAACTACAGGCTTGGTTCGAAGAAAACGCTCTGGTCAGAAACATGAAGGGAAGGAGGAAGGAAAGGCGTGAACACGAAAATCGAAGACAAGAAAGCAGGGAGAGCTGTAATGAAAGACTGACCAAAGGAGAGGACCTGAGGGCATGCCCTACCGTGCGTAATCTCGTGCGCAATCACGCCGCCCATTGCGCCGTAGTTGACGGCGTCGTCTGATCGTGGGTCGAAGAAGGGGAACTGGAGGATGGCCGCCGGGAAGACGATCTCGTTCAGCTTCGGGTGGTCTGCAGCAATGAAAGCGCGCCGTCAGGGCAGGCCATTCAGTCACAACTCCGCACTTACAGGTACGACGAGGCGGAGTGATGGGGGAGCAATCAGTAACAAAGTGGACTGCCAAACAACTTCAAAGCCGAGGCTTATGAAGCTTTGGGAATCGGCAATTACCTGCTGCGCTCCTCAACCTACCTGAGTCAGAACAAGGACTATGGCCCCGACGGCAAGCAATCCAACAGCCTCAGGCTTAGCGAACGGGTTACTGTTTCAGGCACTCAAAGTACAATGTTATGGGAGCACTTATAAGGTATGCCCCAGTTTGTGCGCAACGTCAGTTGTGTAAGTAAGAATATTAGGGGGTCGAACGAAGTCCACTGCTTAAGCAGTGCCTTCGCCGCAGCTCACAGCCTAACCACTTCCACAAAACCCTCAGCACTCAAGAGGTCTCGTAGCAGCTCACATACTAATCACTCGCACGAAATGCCTCAAGCACACAGAGTTCTCAAGTAACGGGAGAGCCGCTCACAGTAGGCGTTGACGGTCTGCGGCGTCATCATCCAGCGCGTGCGGTCCACTGGCTTGTCCAGGCGGTCCAGCATCCGCTCGAAGTGGAACTCCTTGGCGCGCAGCACGTTGCCCACCAGCGGCTCGTCGCGCACCACCAGCGGGCCGTAGTCGATCCACTGGTCGGGGTAACCGATCTTGACTGCAGATGACAGACCCGTGTCAGGGAAAGAGAACACTGAGCTTTCGTTGCCTTCCACGTCGATCGGGAGTGTTCTGGGCCAAGGATTGCTCAAGGTTCCACTGCGACTGTGGACAGGGAGTTTGAGATAAGACACCGTTTAAACAAGTCCAGGGCAATTGTTAGCCTTGTGATTTGCTAGCTGTAGCAACCAGTCTGCTTAGGCAACTAGGCGGCGGAGGCTGCGGGCCCGCCTAAGCCAAATCGCTTCAGCGGCGACGACGTGTTCTCGAGGGGTGAGGTCCTCAACATAGAAACACCGGATATGTATTTTCACTGTCGCTTGCTATGAAATGCGAGAGCAGCTTTTCGAGTCGAACGCTTTGTATGAAGAATCAAATTGTTGACCTCCGTCAACATATGAGCCAAGTCGACAGCGGCGTAGAAACCTCTCGAATAATCTCAGTCAACAGCTAGCTTGATAGTGTTTCTGGTCGTCCGTGATTGAAAAGGATTCTAAACCGTATCGAATCGAGAGACAGCCGGCAGATCCTAAAAACCAAGGCAGCGCTACGAAAACCTTCAGGGCCACAAACACAGCACAGAGGACCCCATAGTTCGTACAGCTCTCACCCTTGAACGTGCCCAGCTTTTCGAGCGCGCGTTTCTTGGTCTCGTCCTTCATCCAGGCGAGCGTCTTGAGGCGCTCCTCCATCGTCTCCTGGATTACACCCACGATGACCAGCGCGCGCTGCTTCGCCTCCGGAGAGAAGACCTACAGCAGACATCAGCTTGCTTTGTTCGGCTTTGATTCGTCCAACTTTTCATGCGCCAGCAAGGTAGAAGCAACACCCTTCGCGTATCTCCAAGACGATTCTGGGACCAGTGACGCAAAAGTCATGGGTACGATAGTTTGATTCCATCATGCACGGATTCCAGGAACCGCTTGCCAGTAATGGATGGATTCAGCAACTTCAGAAGCAGCGGCGGGACTTTGCCGGGATGAGTTCTTCTTGTATTCCCTGGCCCTGGTATAGTGGGGTCGTGCAAACGGCACTCTTGTGGCCGGAAGATCGACCTGAAGATTCGTAAAGAAGAGCGACCCTTGCTTGTCCTGACCCTCGTATTTCGAAAGAGCGAAGGCAGCGAACGAACTTGTCAATGAAGAAAGACGGAGAAAGCGGAAAAAGCCGAAGAAGACGCAAAGGAGCCTTCAAGGCGAGAAGGTGAACACTTGAAAAACTCAATCTCGACGAAGCACCCACAAAAACGAGAGCGCGTGCGTCACCTGGTGGACGTAGAGCTCCCCGAGCGCCTCCCCGACGGCCCAGTCCAGCAGGCCCAGCATCTTCTTCCAGCGCGGCTTGTCGTCCTGCTGCCCGTCCAACACCTTCTTGTAAAACTCGAAGTCCGCGCGCACAAATGCCTCCGGAAGCTGGGAAGCGGAGAAACAGAATTTTATTAAATACATTCAGTCTTCCCCAGTGACGGCGATGCACCAGTTATATGCGCTGTTTGAACGAAGCCTGCGGACTCTCCAGGGGTCCGACTGCGCTAAGATCTTCGCGAAACGTACACCGCCTCCAGAAGCGCTCTCCCAGACTTCGAAGCTCGCTCCCACCATTTGTGGTGCAGCTCAACAACATGCAGTCGAGTCCTTCGCCTTGACACAGCAAACCCTCCTTTTCGAAAGCGGAACTCCCATTGGCAAGGTATCGTCATGGGAACTTCTTGTACCTTCAAGCGCTTTTTGGGCTCGACGGGCTCGAGCACAATTCTCTAGTGACCAAGCCTCGGAATAGTAGATTCTCAAGGCAAAGCAACTCAATTGGGGCCTTTGTGGCACGTGCTCACATATTCGGACAGGGAGTGGACGACATTCCATGTGAGGTACGCCTTCCAGTCCGCGTCCGACAAGTCTGCCAGGTGCCTCCCGACCGCGTTGAAGAAGTCGGGGTGCTCCAAGTTGACCTGCAAAACCGTAGCGATCAAGCTTCTTCGAAAGAAACGGGGCGAATACCGTCTCCGAAGTTTCCAAGGGCTCCAAAACGTTGAGCGCCCTCGATTTCAACAACAGCCGTTCCGGTGGAAATGCTTTGCAGGACCTTTCTAACATCGACACTTACAACGACATAGAGGGAAATTGGATCTGCAACGCAATTGGATGAGAAGAACTCTGGTTAAACTCGAGAGTTCCCAATGTTGTTATTCTTCTGGTGCGGCCAGCCATCCCAGCATTTACCGATGAGCTCGAACAAACTGCTCACAATTGCGCTCCTGCTTGAGCGGGCTCCGGCTCAGTCTGTGTCCAAAAGGTGAACCTAGATACAAAAAAGCACGGATCCCTTCCCATCAGAAATCTTGCGACCAGGGCGAGCACCCTCACACGCTCCGCAACCAGTACATTTTTCCGAAGCACAACGTCCGACGTGCCCGTTCTCATCCCCTAGGCCTGGCCCGGAAAACGTCCCGCTCGAAGTCACTGCTCCCGTTCAAGTCTGCTCTTTCTAGTCTCTTGATCCCCTCAACTTCTATCTTCACAAGACGCAACCAGCTTTCGCAAGGCCTCCTTACCTCGACGACCTCCTTTCCGACTGTTCTGAAGTACTCCCCCAGATCGAATCCCGGCGCGGCCGCCGACTGTGCCTCTTCCCAGGTGCGCTTGTTGTACACGCGCTCGGGGTCTCGCCGCTCCACCTTGGTCAGACTCGCCTCCGCCAGTCGCTTCTCGAAAGAGAACACCGCCACGGAGCTTGCCTGAAAGAGGCAGCCAAGACCACTGAAGTCGTTAATATAAGTTGGAAGTACCGACCTGGACACTCAAGTCGGTTCTTGCTGCGCTTTGAGTAATAGTACTGCCGCGGAGCTCGTCCAGATGAGGCGAGAGAGGTTTGAGCAGACTTGGACAGAAGCGAGTAAAGATACGTGTACTGTACTGAACACAGGACTGGCTGCTCCTCTAAAAGACGGCAGCAGAGCTTGATCGTGACACGGTCGTTTCAATCGAATCTGACTTAGGTTTCTGAACCCACTATATGAGGCAAGCATTCATGCCTATCACTTGCAGACGGTTTTTCGATGACGGCTCGAGGCTGCGGGTCTCAGCCACGACAAGTTCGTACTCTACGTTTCGCATCCTTCTACACACAACATTGGACTTCAGAAACAGAACCAGTGCGCATTTGCTCTCAGAGAGTTCTGTTAAATCTCGCAGCTAAGAAGAAAAACGTCAAGCACGGTCAAGTATGGCCGAGTAAGACACACCCTTCGATGCTGGTAGTTGACCAAATAGCACGCAACAACGATTCTCCTGCACGCGACTCACCAGTGCCCCTGGTAGCGATGTAATTTCCATCTTGCAAAGCTCTAAAATTTATTCAACTAAGTCTCAGGAGAGTCGGCACCTTCGCTCCCCTTTCTCACCTTGGCCTCCTCGTCGCTCTTTCCCAGCAGCTTGAAGACCGCCGTCAGGTGGTCCTTGTACTTGCCCCGGATCTCCTCCTTCTCTGGTAGGACGTAGAAGTCCCGGTCGGGCAGCCCCAAGCCGCCCTGGTACAGGTGCGCAATGGACTGCCCCGAGTTCTTCGAGTCCGCACTGTCCACCAGCGTGAACAGCGGACGGATGCCCTGCACGTCCGAAGTCCGAAACCGTCCATTGGTGCTCGATGGCCAAGTACCGAGATCGTGGCTTCCGGACTACTATCATTTCCGATGTACCGAACTGTCGCGATAGGACTGGTTACAACCAAGCAATTTGCTGGAGGAACGTTGAGCAATCTGCACACCAGCCAGTGCCCACTATCTTGACAACGGATCCTTATGCCATAACCCGTCCAGGACAAGAGGCTGCTGACCCAAGACAGCACCTCAAGGGACTTAATCGGAGTCAAACTTCAAACGAATTCACTGTGGTCCGATGGTGTGTATGGCATTCGGAGGGCCACCAAAGTACTGAATCAAACGGTGTCACAAGCCACATACTGTCACGGTGTATCACAACCAAGCAATCCACTCCATCTAGGGCAATATCCATCTTTATCGTGTCCCATCATTCGTTGCTCACCTTTCGATGGAGCTGGGCCACAATGCGTGACCTGTTTCCACCTTGCTCGATCGCTTTGAACCAGTCCGCAAGCGGAGTGAGCGCTGCCGCCTCAATGCCTTCTGTGTCCACCGCACTTCTCCAGAACGTGCCAACCTGAGGGAACCAACGTCATGCACGTTTTGAAGTCTGACAGGGCAGTAACAGCCTCAATACACACAGCGCATGCTCAATCCCTTCTCGAAGAAATTAGTTCAAAGAGGCCCTGGGTTCCTCCAGAAAAAGTTTGGATTCGAAAAGGCGAGGGCAACTGCTGAACGTCCTCATGGCCTCTATAAGTCGACAAGTTACAGAACATGGGCTCCAACCATCACTTGATTGGGCGCGTGGGCAGGCTCGAAGCAACATACACATGAGTGTTGTTCAAAGGTGCAACTTGCGGAAGTGCCCGCACCCCAAGTGCGCTTGCTTATGTTTTGTCAGAACCGCGAACTTGAGGAACAGGTCAGCAAACAAAAAAGTTGGAACCCCCACGTGTCGAAGGACACGGCAAATCAATGAATGCAAGGCTGCCTTCTTATCAGACGCCTGCATCATTCAATCATCTTCTTCTGACTTCCTGATCAGTGTCAAGAAGTTGTATCAGGGCCTCCCACCTTTTGCACAGTTCCGGTCGCCGAAGTGTCTTGCATTGCATCGTCCACGATCTTTTTGAGCATCGCCAAGTTCTTCTCGTTCATGACCTGCGGCATCAGCGCACCCGATTGGACTACTTCGTCAATGATCGCTTCTCCTTATACTTCCAGTTGCCGCTGTTCTGACATGTTAAATCTGGATACACTTGAAGTTAGACTATACCACCATGTCGTTCAGAAGTGCAAAAGGCAAGAGGAATCAATGGAAGAGAGAGTAGCTCGTAAAGATGGAATACAACTTGACGCATGGCCCCCAGGATGTGATCAAAAGGTGGTATGAAGTTCGCAATTCACCCGATGCCTTCAGCAATGCTGAAACAGCATAGCGCACCAAGGTGCCCATGGTTTTCAATCAAGGTGTACAATTTGAGCAGCCCCTCACAGCATTGCACAAATAACCAACCAATTGCCCCTGCGGGCAGGCATAAAAGGTTTAGACACCCTCGTGCTGATTCAGGCTTCATAATCTTGATGAATCATTTAGCCCACCTCAAAGGCTCCCCACCGGCTGTAATCAGAAGGTATGGGGTTGCTTTTGCACCACGTCCCATTTGCAAAGGAGAAGAAGTCATCGCCCGGAGAGACCTGGGCAGGGACATAAATTGAAAGTGTTGAATTTGAGTCATTCAGTGAAGCTTGCAAAGCTTACAACTCACAGAGCTCACAACTCAAAGAACCATCGTGGGGCCCAGATCATCTCTTGATAATCTACATTGCTTTTCGCAACCTGCTGTGCTGCCATGATTGTATTGTAGACACATGCAGTCACCAATTCCCCCCGTGCTCACCGATCTGTCAAGGTTAGCAGGGTCGATCGCCTTGAATTCGTCTTCCGCGGGCGCCATTGGCATTGGCGTGCTGATCCAGTTTGCCCTCTTTGCCTCGTTGAGCCCTTGTTGAGCAAATGCGGAATCGCGAGGGCGTGTTCGGAAACTCTAGTGCAGCAGCAGCACTGCCCCCCCCCCCCAGCAGAAGGTACGGTACCTTCTACTTATCGCCCGTCCGGGTTTTCCGCTCAACCCATTTTGCCGGGAGCCATCAGAAATGTTTCGAAGTCGAATCACGTGGCGGGGAGATATCACTGATATACCCCGCCGCGGAGGGGTGTATCAGGAATCTCTTGGCAGGTTCGACGGCGATGCCATGTCCAGACTCAGAGATAAGCGAGTTATACCATTCGAGCTCGACGATATCGAAGGCTTCTTGTCGACCTCGAGCTTGATATCCCCCTCGGGGCTCCGCCCTCGGGGAGATATCAGCTCTCGTTCGACGCGAAACCATCGATATCGCCGAGCTCTCATGGTATAACTACTACATAGGGTGACATTGCATCACGGTATGTACCATTGGTTCGATACAACGTACCGGAAGCTTCCTGACCTGCTAACTCTCCGAGGACCCGGCCGGCGATCCCGAGGGCCGAACTTGCTCGCATGCATCCTTCGAAGCCGGGGTGCTCCACCGGCGGGGCCCGAGAGACCTTCCGGTACAACCTAGGCCGATTCCAGCAGGCTGGTGACTGGCTGGTGACCACCAACTGGCTACTGCTGCGGTCAAACGTGACCGGATGATCGGAAGCATATGGCACTTTGGCGGCGCTGCCACGATTCACAACCCGGGACAGGGATCCAGTTGGTCCAACTGTTTGGATAGACACGCAACTGAAGTTTGATACGTGTAGCCAGCAGAAGTCACAAATCCCGAGTCGGTCTCAACGTCACAGACAGTGTGCAAATTCCGAGCTTTCAGGAGCTTTTGTTGTGACATCGATGTCGAGCCTATGCAGCATGAGCTGCGCACCCATTCCTTCGACGGTGAGGAAGGTTGTGAATCGTTTAGAAGCTTGGACAACTGGCGCAAAAGGATGATTAAGCTGACGTCAGTCGTCCAGCTGATCAGACCCGTGAGACCTCCTCGACCGGGCAGCGCAGCGCCCCGGGGGCGGCGTGCATCCAAGTTGCCCGGCCACCACAGGCCTCAATAGCGGCTGCTGCAGCTCATATGCATTTGTACGCAAGATCATATGTTCCTGGATGAGCCCGAATTCAAGTATTTTAACTGATTATAACACAGCTGTTCCTTTCGGAAAGCAGCTACCTAGGTGAGATCATTTACCTAGCTGACAAGGTTAAAAGTGGATTTCAAGCAGAATTTATGACCTGTTAAAACAGCAAGAGTCAAGGTTTGTTGGCTGATCAACGAGCTAATTATTGTGCAATTTGTGTGGACAATTGGTCAAAATGTGCCCGGGGGGAACACTGGCACGACGGTTGCTCACCGGCGGTGCGGTATGCACCGGTTCGATCTACCTACGGTAGGCCCCCAGCAAAGATGACGGTACCTACCTAGGGTACGTAGTCGAGACTCGATACCTAGATTCTCTGTCGAAGGGAAGAAGGAACCCCTGACCAGAACCAGGGATTCCCACAACTGGCAGCCTGGGGCGGACCTGGCTGGCCGGGAAGGGACCCTGGCTGGTGCCGAAGGCACCCCGCCAGCTCGGTAGCTGGTAAAATTCGACAGGTCCGTAGGGCACTCAGCTGGCCGGTAGAGCCAACCGCCTGCCCCCCAGCTGGTACAGCCGGGGGGCTGCCTGTGGCTGGCTGGCCGGGACGAAAGTCCATGGGAATCCCTGACCAGAACTGAAAATTCACGAACCAAGGTTCGGAACCACAGCAGCTGTGCAGCTTGCCCTTTGATCAAACTTCAGCAGACAAAAGTTTTGCGACGTGGGGAGAAGGGAGCAGGTTGTCAGCCTTTGCTCATCTACGGTAAAGCTGCTCAGAGCCTTCTAGTGGTCACTGTGGTGTGTTGGAGGTCAACCTTTCACAGGAAGCCATGCAGATTTGACCGCTTTTCAACTTGTTGGCCGCTGATGAGAATTGGTTGTAACATCTGATCATCAAGTTAAGCAGAATGGCAGACTTTGTAGGGGGCCCGGACATCAAGATGGACGGGGTGGTGTTCTCCAAAGAGGAGGAGGATTGCCAACCAGAGTCTCCAAGGTCACCTCTGTGCGTCTCCCAAGAGCTCGCCCGTGGTCGGAGGCAGCCCTTCTTCCCATTTCTGGATTCTGATGATTCCGAGGATTCTGATCAACTGCAGTCACGGGGAAATGAGTTGCAGAAACTAAAGGCACGGTTGAGTAAGCTGAGCGTGGGCAAGGAGCAGGGTCAGGTGAGGCCCCATTCGGCAATTCCGCTGGTTATGGGACACAACCACTATCAATGGCCTTGGAGGTCTTTGAAAGTGCTCATGGGCAGTCTATGCTGTCGTGAGCACTTCGGATAGGATGGCACCGCATGAAGTTTCTAAGGAGAGCTGATACTTTGTTCCGGTTTAGCGTGACTTTTGCTGCAAATATATGGCAGTTCATGATGGCTTCCATCAAACTGGTTCTTGGAATTCTGACTTGAGGGTTTAATGGATTAGTGTTCTGGTTGATTGGTTGGGTCTCTGGCTCAACCCTAGCTTCACTGCTGCATTGTCAAGCATATTCTGAACCTTGATTAATTACGTCTCGTTTCAGTTCTCTAAATGAAGGCGGGGCGCTGAAAGTTAGCATGGTTGAAGCTATGGAGTTGCAGCGCTGCACATGTTATGTTTGTGGCATTTTGGAAGGTCATCTTCTGTGTAATCCTTTCCTTAATGGAGTCGTTTTGGCAGCTCAATGGAGTTGCTTTGGCAGCCGCCCCGCATTTGGGGCTTGTGCTAATGCTCTACGCAAATCAACTCTGAGGGCTTCATTTTGAGCTTTCCAGATTGATCCTTTGAAGCAAGCTTCTTTCCTCAGTGCTCCTGTGGTTCTAAAGCGGGCAAGTTTGGGTGGTTTGCTTAGGATAGAGTCTCCTTGCATTGGGGTTTCAGGCATTAGTCAGGGTTTGTGCCTGGCAGGTTATGGTGTCAGAGAGTAGGCCAATTTGGGATATGGTCTCTGAGAACCCTAGGGATCAACAGCTTTGCCCCTTCACCCTTCCAAGCCCGCCGCTCTGCCATAGCTGCATGGTTGAGCCGTTTTAGGCTCAGGTTGATTCATGTTGCTCTCTCAATGTGCTCTTCTGATGGTTTCTACATTCTTCCGTGGTCTTCAAGCAGGAGGACGATGAGGCATCCACGGCAAGCGCACCCGACCTTGATGATGTAGACTTTCGGTTTCGGCAGCTCCAGTCTTCAAAAACGGTAGGTGTCCTGGCAGCCAGCTTTTATTGTGATTTAAAGTAGGTCCATTGGCTTCCTTGAAATTTGGCGACTGTTTCACTGTCAGAGGAATTAGTGTTCCGCAGACTCTGTCACGGCTCAGGATGCTTCTTAAGGCTCCAAAATGGCAGGAGCACTGTCACTATCTCGTAGATACCTACGATTATGGCAGGAAAGAACAATGGCTGTGTCTGGCTTTATCTGAATGAGGGGACACCAATGGCGGGGCAAGGCAAGCTGATTATAAGACGCGTCAGCGGCCAACAAAGAGGCAGCGGAAAAGCGATCGCAACAGGATTGAGCTAGGGAGCAGGGAGATTGCAAATGGACGCCTGCAGGCGTGTGGTGGATGCTGATTGCAGGCTTTTGGAACAGTTTGTAAACTAGGGAGCATGCGTTGATATTTTTGTGTTGTCCCTTTCAGATGCCGCTGACAGACATTGAGAAGATTGTGGTTCTAGGCGAGCGCGCCCCGCCCCCAATCGTCGAGAATGCCCCTTCTCGGCCTGCACCCCCGATACCCTGGCCCATCAACAAAGTGCTGTCTCCCATTCGAACCAAGATTGACCCCTCCTCGCCAAGGTGAGGCTTCTCCTTTGTCCTGTTTCGTTGATGCGAATTGAAGCCTTGAGAGGTGCTTGAGCAATGGATGAGCTGTCCTTACCTGGTGAAAATACGCTTGGATAATCGTTTAAATTGCTTGCATGAACAGTCTATAAGGCTGTTTGCAGTTATAAAGGCAACAGAAGCAATCTGTTGGCACCAGGGCCTGTATCGATTCCGTGGGATGTGCAATTTGGCATGCATTTGGGAGATTTAAACATGGAGACCACGTGGACAGATCTTCTGCATTTGGCATATGGCTTTGAACTAGATCTTTGTAGGTAGTCAATGCTCACGCAGGTCTTGATTTTTGCAGACTCATGAAGTGGACAGCGATTGGTCTTAGCTCGGTTGGAAAATCTTGAGAAGCCTTTCAAAGAGAGGGTTTTGACCGCTTTCCCTTCCAGATATCTGCCTGACATAGTCTTCTCTTCTTTGCAGAGCCAGCCGCAGCCCCTCCCCTGCAGAGTTGCCCCCTGAGCCCACCACTCCCCGAGCCTGGGAACGCTCAGAGGCCTCGCAGGTTTTCACACCTCCCGCTCATTCACATTTACCTGGCGAGGACGAGTTCGAAGCCCTGCTTCGTGCCGCCCCCCCGCCCGGCAAGAGCCCGCTGCGTGTGAGCTCTTAAGGGTGCAACGATGTGGTTCGCAAACCTTGGTTGGATGGGAGGGATTACGTGGAATACATTACCTGGTTTAGTTTACAGGTTCTAGCTGGATTTGACATACAGGTACACATTGCTCGTACATAGGAGGTCATTTGCGGTGTGTTTGATGTGGGCTAGGGTGCGGCCCTTGCCAGCTCAACCCCTTGCTCCGTGATTATCGCGTCGATGTAGGCATGTATTGGGTGGCATGCTTAATTGACCTTGAGGAATACTTAAAGGGTAGGACAGCACAGGATCCGTGGGTCAACTTTAGTTGGCTGAAGATGGGCTGTTTTAGTGAACGTTAAAATGGAGAGCGGCACGCACTTAAGTTCCAATAATGTTTGTGACATCGTGCTGTAGAGAGACTTGTACATTCCGTTGGGTGGTTAATAACCACTTTCCGCTATAGCACCATTAGGTAGTCAGCGTAAACGGCTTAGAAATGATTCGAAATAGGCTTTGGTCTTTACCCAATTTTCCAGTCCCTCACTCCATTTGAGGAACAAAGGTAGATAGCGGCCTGGGGAGGCAAGTGAGGAGAGACACTTCTGGAAAAGCTCGGGCCCCGTTTAGAAGACGATAGAGTTTGCAAGAGGATTGCTTGCACTTTATCTTGACACTTGCCAAGTGTAGAGTCTCCTGTCAATCTTATTAGGAGGTATGAAGCTTACGTTTCCAAGTTTTTGCAGTTAGCACTGTTGCACCTTCCAACCTGTTCATGTGCCCACAGGCAGTATCATTATTTTTGCTAGCTTACCAGCATTCAGTGACTTCGAAGCTTGCCTCTGAACACTTTGATTCTATATGTTCAGGCGACATTTCGTGTTTCGGATGATCATTCTACAATTATATTGGCAGGTTTATATTCTGAACTGTCCATGCCGCCATGGCCTGGCTTTAGTTGCGAGTCTTATCATATACCGCATACCCAATCCCACATGGTCAACTTATAATCTCCGCACGTGTGTGTTCGCGACATGGAAAAACACTAGGCTCGAATTCAAACGCGATATACTAATATAAGAATTCTTAATAATATATCGCTCATGGCATGCAAGCTATATACCATTGAGTCCATTACATTTGAGTGCAGTCTAGCTTATACTTGTGCATTCTGATGGACTGATTGCATGCAATTTGATCATGCATGTACGTCCAATTCGAAACCTTATTCATGCACGCAACAGTTCTGCCATATGAATCTGTGCATATACACATGTGATCTCTTCTAGCTCGATTTAATCAAGTTTCAATGCCGTAGCCACACCGCCGCGCCGGGCCGAGGGGCCATAACGTACCTTGCATGGCACACCATAACACATGTGGATAGAATAATATACAAAGCCTTTAGTAGGCCATGAACTTATGTGCAAAATTCAGTGTGTAAACATATCGTACTGTGCATGGCCTTGCTTCGAATCGAAGTACCGTTGCATTGCGGAGCTTCGTATTGCTAAGGCTCTTATATGCGGGCGACATGCCAGGTCAGATCAGCACGGCTAATCATGGTAACCCGGCAAGTACGTAGCCTCATCCGGGTTATTTTGGAGCTGCACAAAATAATGATGCGATTCAAGCCTGGGTATTCCGCCGAAATGCATGTCAGAAGTGAGATGATCACGTGCAAAGCGGCCTGGCACAATTGTGCATGCCGGTTGGTTCATAGGCAAGGAGGGCTTGCCGCGCGTGGGAGTCTGATATAGCATGACCTGAAATGATAGGTGCCTATCTGCCCGAAAGCTACCCGAATTGTTCAATCGATCAGTGGCCTTCCCTGTGTTCTACCGTAAGTACTTATATTAGGCTGCTTTAGCGTCTCATGCCCGTGCCTTGGAAGCAGCCCAGATAAACCAATGGTCTAAGCTTGTAACTGGGACTTTTCGGGGTGTCAATTGGCGAACTTGCAATACGCAAACCTGTGCTAGTTCCTACGAACGCCCAAGCCAATTTTCCCAATATAATTTCGAGCGTACCGTCCGTTTGTGACAGCACAGGTCACCGGAAGCCGCCACCTGTCCACTCCGTCTCCTTCTCTCCCCAGTCGTCCCAACCCTTCTCCTCCTTCTTTTCCCTAGCGGCATTGTATTGAACTTCCGAATCGTCATTCTCAGCACCCCAACCGGACCACGAGTCATTGTTTGCTGTCGGTCTCTGCGCGGCCCCAGAACTCGGACCACTCCCCCTTCGAGAGGCCGGTTTTTGCTCGATTGCACTTCCATACGCATTTCCCCCCGCATAGGCAGACGGAGCCTCCCTTTGACTCGTCCCCCAATCATCCCACTCCTCCCGCTTCCCCCCCATAAGCGGAGGCTTCTCCTCCCCAAAACCCCCAAACCCTTTCGCCCCACTGTCCCCGTTTCCAAAAGCCTGGTACCCCCCATCACTGTCGCTCCCAAACCCTCCGTATTTGGAGCCCCCACCGCCGCCGGAGCCGGCATAAGGCGAACTCTCGAACGGACCCTTTTTGGAGTCGCCAGTGTACTGTTGCACCGTGGTGGCAGCGGTCGCAAGTAGGCCCTGGAGCGCGGTCCAGCCTTTCTGCCCCACCTCGGCGCCCCTTGCCGCCAGGACGGTAGCGGTCTCTGTCACCTTTTTGTCGTATCCGCCCTCTTTGACCTGCGAATGGGATCAGGGGAGATCAGCACTGGCGTGCTACCAGATTCTGTGGCCAGCAGAGTCTGGGCTTGCAGTCGCAGAAAGCTTCAAAGCAAGAATCACGGAGGTAGAGGCACCATGATAGTACTCAACTCGTTTCGAACTGGTCACGGGGTGCTACAGCCTGCGGCTTGCAAGGAGACCTTAAAAGGGGAGAAAGAGCTCACTAATCGATTTTGACCGACACAATAGGTTAGTCAACGAAGTTTGCAAATCACCCTAATCTGCTCAAGAGCTTGTGGTGACTCATAATGTCAGTATCAAGGGAGGCTGCATTGTAATAACCAGCCACATTTGAACAGCTCCTAAACACGGAGCAGCTGGTCTGCCTTTCGTCTATCTAAGAGGTAAGGCTCCTTCGTCACTCCGCACTCACCTTGGCGCTGAGATCTCGGGTGGACGCTGCAGCTGCGGTAGCTGCCTGAGTTGCGGTCAGCGACAGAGTCTGCCACCCCTGCGAGAAGAACGCAGACACACACCAACCTCTCAGAGAAGCATTCTGTGTTGAGCATAGATGAGCTTGTCCCGCAGACTTGCTTTCCCGGAGTACTCAAAGACCTTGATCGGGGGCCACTTTCCTTCCAAGATCACTGCATTCACCAGCCTGATCTGCTCTGAATCGACATAAAGTGAGCCCTATGCAGACAAGGATGCCCCGAATGTATTGCAGATTTCAATCCGCAGAGCAGTCAGCTTTGCTCTCTCGACTTCAATCTGCCGGGGTGCTCACCAAAACACCACAAACACGACATCCAGTGTCCTACTCGGCAAAGTTGCACCATCTCCAGCCACGCTGCACTGCCAAGACAGCTTCAATAAGAGCCAATGGGTTCAAGACACCCAGGGAAATCAAGCACTTTTTTGAACATGTAGCAGCTGACATACTCACTGACGTTACCAATACATTAAGCGTATCCACAGATAATGGCCCCACCTGAGTCATCATGCTGAGTGTGTCGTCGAGAACTTTGTTGCTTGCTGCCGGTCGGGGCGGGGGCTTGGAGCCGCCTGACCCAAAGCCAACGTACTTGCCCCCCTGGTTGGGAGGCAACCCCTCAGGCCGGGACGCGTTCTCATGCTGCTTGCGGGCAAAGAAGGACTCCTTGGTGGCGGCAGAGGCGAGCAGCTGAGCCTGGGTGTAATCTCCTGAGGATCGGTTGAGGTCCGGCTGGGAAGAGGCGCGTGAGCTACTGAAGCTGCCGTGAGAGCTACAGAATAAAGGACAAAGCTGGTCAGAAGGAACTTGTGTCACGAACTTGTTTCTGTTGACCGCTTAGATTCTGATACCTTCAGCTTGCTAGGAGGATAATGAATGGGAGGTAATGTGGAGGACTAAGTTTGAGCGAAGGCTGGCGCGGGGGGTTGTGAGAGGTTGATCATGCAGAAGCCTGACGTGACAGACGCAAGCTGCCTTGAGTCTGGCTCAAAGCTGGGCAAAAGGATGAGGCGTCAGCTAGTTGCTTGACTAGCTGCCCTTACGTCCTCATCAGCACAGTATAAAAGGCAATGGATGCACCAGGTTACTTCTCAATTCAAAGAACAGCTCACCTATCTTCTACTTTGAGAACCACGTGACTAAGCAGAATCCGAAACAATCTTCTTCAAAACAAATCTTCAAATCTTTTCAAATCAATGCTGCGAAGATCCGAGCTGTAAGCAAATGCTAGCTTCTGACTTGGGTCCAATCAAGTGACTGGCCCTCAAGGTGCAGTGGAAGTCAAGTGGATTCAATCATCTCCAGTGGCAGCTGACATCCCCAATCAGGAAGTGAGCAGAAGCTCCATAGCACAATGACCCTAACGAGAGTCACAGTCTTCTGCAGATCTCTGCAATGGGACAGTATACTTCATTTCTTGCCACCTGATGTAGACCATGATCGCACTCCTTAAGCAAATGCCGGAGAAAAGGCCCAGCCTCATACTTTGTCGACTGTCATCAAGGCTCTATCAGATGTAGCGGCTGAAGATAGATTTCATGCAGGAAGGTTTTAGGGTTCCACATCGACCGAAGCCCTGGTATGGGCTCAGATCCAGGTAAGATTCCAAGCAGACGCCAAAGCGATCCACAACACAACAAGCGGTTTTGATATCAAACCAACAAATCTGCGTCCAACATGTAACAAGCCGGCACCTAGTAGCTGCACGTAAATATGGAACGTGGACGCACCTGCTGAGGTTTTCAGCTGACTGATTCCTGCGCACGGACCCAGCATTGGCCCTTCCGCTGTCGTCGCCCCAGGAATCCCAATCGTTACTGCTTCCGAAGCCCCCCACCCCATTGCTAGCGCTAAACCCTCCACTGCCTGCACTCCGGCCAGTCGCTACGCTGGCCCCAAGCACCTCCTTGACAACAGGAGGGGCCGTCCAAGATCTGCCCTCTGAGAGGGCCTGAATCTTTCCCCTGTAGACCTCTGCCGCTCGCGTATTGTACTTCAATTTGATGTCTGTTTCCTTGCTGATCCCATATTGTGCCAGGAAACTGTTCAAGGCATCATTTCCCCCTGCGTCCATCTTGCGCAGCTGGAGGTCCGACCACGAGTCCATTGAAACAGATCTGACAAAGCTGATGTGCACCCCCAAACCCCTGTGCTTCCCGGAGCATTCCAAGCACATGAAGATGCCATAGCTCACAGAAGCCCACTGTGGATTCCGTGTGCTGCAGTCAACGCAGACCTTGTTATCGTTCTTTGACTGCAATTCTCGCAGCTTGGCTGCAGCTGCAGGGGAAGCCATCTCTAGCCTCAAACCTCCTCCCCACGTCCTGCCTGCGTCCAGTCGTGTTCACAGGCTCCCACACACCTCAGCAATCAAGCTCCCGATCCAAGAGGTAAAGAAGAGAAAACGTAACCAGAAAAGATGCGATTCAATTGCTGAAACAGACCACAACGCAAAACATTCAGCTGCCGCTTAGATTTCAAAGGTTGGCAGGCAGTTTTAGCTAGTTTGACGATTGATCGCTTTTTTTCTGTCCTCCATGACCAGTGGTGGAACCATTGCGGAACGCTCGCTAGAGCCTGTACTAGTAGAGAGGTCAATTGACAATGCCAGGAAAATTTGCTGCATTGATGGTGGCTTAAACAAGAAACAGATCGCGGGCCAAGTTCATCCGACGTTACGCCCGGTGATTAGCCAGCCGGGCCTGCAGCGCCCCATTACCCGCGAACGTGGCCACGTGGTAGCATCGCGTGACTTGCCGCTCAGGATCGACGGCAACGGCATTGAGCTGGATCTGCTCGCTTCCGGCGGCGTCGGATAGCAGGTCGGTTCACATCAAATTGTCCCCCGGGTTTCTCTGTACACGCGTTGACCAAATGGCGAGCTTCAGTCTTCTCTTCAGCCTTCTCTTCAGCTGAGCTCTCGTCCGTCTCGAGTCCCCATGTCAACGTCATGCATCAATGCAACGGAACCCTAATTTGCTGCAAGTAGGCGCACCAACGCCCCCACAGGCCACCTGCATTCCATGGGCTCCGCTAAGCGCTTCACCGCTTGCAATGGTTGCATCTTGGTTTCGTCAGAACCTGGAAAACTTTTCTTAGGAGGCAATGTTAGTGTTGGCACATGGTGAAGCCAGGCGGCGCCGAAGCGATGCCAACCCTGAACTCTCAGACAAGGTCCTTTTACATGCTACGCTGAGGCAGCTCTGCAATCCCAGAAACGAGCTATGTCAGATGCTTCAGGACTTTCCCTGAGTTCAGAGCTGATAGTTCTGGGGTCCGGCAGCAGCACCGGTGTTCCTACGCCTAGTTGTGTGCTGCGCCCCACCAACCCGCCATGCTCCGTCTGCCAGAAGTCATTGGCGCTACCACCTGAGATCAACAAGAACTACAGGTCCGCATGTGCGCTTGGAGCGGTGTGGCGCAGCGTCTGACCCAATTGGCATTATGAATTTCTTGCTGATCAAATGCAGTGTGGTTTGGCATGCCCATGACGATTCCCACCATAAGACTCATCAACAGGTGCTGTGAGACCATGCTTACAATCGATAATGACAAACCAAAAGCTACTGGTGCCATCCACTATCAAAGTCAGAAGATTTTTGATGTTTCCTTGTTTCATGAAGTACGAAGCCAGGCAGTTCCTGTTTAAACCATTCTTTACTGCCTGAACGCCTGGTGGAATTCATGCAGGTGCAACCCGTCCTTGCTGATCAGTCACTGCTCTCCCGACGGTCGCCGCAGCTACATACAGATCGATGCAGGCAAGCACTTTCGAGAGAGCCTACTAAGGTGGTATCCTCGCTACAACATTCCAAATATTGATGCGGTGAGTGCTGGGTATGCTTTAAGAACAACTTAAGTATCCATAGCATGTTCTCTTTTATTGCACCACTTCTTCCATCGCTGTCATTTGATCCATCTCTCTCATTGTGCCATAGCGGGGTTGTCAAATAGATGCAGAATCGCAGGCCCTTGCTGCCGCATTCACTTGATGCAACTGATGTTTTACATTGATATTATCAGACAGACACTTCAGAATCGCACCCAAACCTGGTCAGCTTGTAAAAATGTTCGCTCTTTTTGTCCTTGAATCACCTTAGAGTCCCGCACTTGAAGGATTCTTCATGCGGAGGAGTGCTTGAAAGTAGAAGGGAGGACTCAACCTCAGTTTTTACCAGTGAATTGAGGATTATGAGGTATTAACGGGCCAGGTGATTGATTTTTTCACCACTTAACAAGATCCGCGTTCAGCCCGTGAATGACTGTCCTCATCTGCAGTTGATATTGACCCACGAGCATGCGGACGCTGTCTTTGGTTTGGACGACATCCGGGGCGTCCAAGCATGGAGCACGCAAACTGAGGCACAGCCGCTGCCAGTCTACTTGTCCCAGCACAGCTTGGATAGGTGAGGCGCTCAGATACGGCAAGCGGTGCCGTCCTTTTATCACCCTTAGAACCTGTCTGCCACAAAGCTCTGTCAATGAATCCAAGTCGCATACCTATTGTGGAAAAGGAACATGACACAAGGCTCGTCAGATCTGCCCTTCCTGAGCAAGGACCCCCTTCTGTGCAGCCTGACCAAGCGCTTCGATTACCTGGTGCAGAAGCCCCCGGCGGGGAGCTCGGTCAGGCGGGTAGCGCAGCTGGACTGGCGGGTGATTGAAAGCTCGCATGCACACACGTTTGAGGCTGGGGGCCTCACATTCCGACCCCTCCCGGTAGGCTCGTCGATCTTTCGTCTACAGCTTAGTCCTTCCGTTTCGTTGATTCACGAACCAGTCCGGATGACTGTAAGTCAGTGGAAGCAAGGTCAAGATAAAGCTGCACCAAGCACTTGTGGCTACTGTTACAGTTCCTACGACGTGGAAGAGTAAAGACTGACGATGGCCAGCTTCTGCGGAGAAAGAGCCCTGAGCGTCCCTCAGAAGGTTCCCTGAGTCAGGAATTTGCACCACAATCAAAGTGCGTTTGGCCAAAAAGGGCGAAGGACTGTGCTAAAAGTGCCAGTGTGCCTTAATGAGACCAAAAACTTTTTGTGGCCAGTGTTGCTATGAATACGCTTGTAGTGGGGTTCGAATGACAAAGACTGCACAGTTGCGGAGTTTCGAGACCTTGAAGCTCAAAGCCTTGCTCTACTTCAAACAAATTTCACTGAAAGTCCTTGTCCTCCTCTCTCAATTGAGTTCCTATAGGCCGGTCTTGTTGCCTGATCAGTATGGGACTCTTTTGCTATCCGGTGAGCATGTGCTTAAAGGAAAAGAAGAAACCTATTCGGAAGTGGTGCAGTCGCATTCATTCGACTTTGAGGCTAATCGCCCAAATCATCCGTCAGTTCAACAGGTTTCGGCTCCCCATAAATATTCCAATTCTGAGTACAACGCCATTTTGACGAGAGGACTGCTTGATGATTCTCTGTATCCCCTTCTGGCCAGGTGGAGCACGGGCGAGACTACACGTGTCTTGGGTTTCTTTTTGGGGTTGCGCAGCGCGTTGCGTACCTCTCCGATGTCTCGAGAATACCGCCGGACATCGAAAAGCGTGAGGATCCGGTCGAAACGGAAGTTGGGTTGAATGTGCTTCTGGATATTCTTGAAGGAATCTTATCTATCAGATTGGGGTGCTGGTGCAGTTTTTTAGCCTCTGATAAAGGTGAGGTTTTTGAAAGTCAGTCAAGTTTGGTCGACATTGGTTCTTCGAGATTACGAGACGGTTGCTTGCTTGCTTGTAAGCCGTGGCTGGAGCCGAGCCCTCCGTTGGTTTGTTGTTCTTTGTCGCGCTTGGCTGCCCTGCTGACTGCTGCTGAATCCAACCAGAGTTATAAGTGCACAAGGCAGGGCTCAATAGTTTGTTTGGTTCCGTGTCACCGATCTTTCTTATTCAAGCACACCTGGGTGTGACTGCTTAGTTACACTCTCATGAGTGCATCCGAAAAGTATTTCATTAGGTCGTCTTACAATTCCTTGATGCTTGTTCACCGATGTCGTGCAGTCATATCCGTCGAGGGGAATGGACCTGTCGACATTCTTATTCTGGACTCGTTGCTGAAGGTAGGCATTACGGTCCTTACTGTATGTGTCATCTGCAAAGATTACCCACGCTACTTTGACGAACAGGGCCCTATGTATTGATCAAATGAATTGTTTGTCAAGCACAGAGTGCAGCATCGTCGAATTGGTTTCAAGATCTCATGCGGACAAGGTTTCAGTAATGAATTCTAGGTTCGGCCGTTCATCAACAACGCCGACCCCTTTCTTTGTCTCTTACTCTTTTCTGCAAGAAAGTAACGCACTGATTGCGAACGGCCTTCGGGTTGTTGCTTCGCATTGAGGCTGACGTCGTCCGTGCCTGGGTGCAGTATCATGAGCACAACACCCATATCTGCTTCCGGGAGGTGAGCGCGCGCTCTACCTTCTTTGTCATAGAAATTGTCATCTTGCAAACGCTTTTGAACATGGCCTTATACGCAGTCACGACCGACGGCGCAAAAAGACACGGTCTCTGAACATACGAACCGTGACGCTTCATCGCGTCGTCATGCCTCGGCCTCGCTGGGCCTCGCACTTTTCATCCAGAAAACATTTTGGTCGGTATTCTTGCTTTTGGGCGCTTTGCTGGTAGAGCGGGGACAAGGAGAATCGGTACCGGACGGAAGCAGGCTGGGGCCTGTCGCAATCGCGGTTATGTCAACCCAAAGTTGGACTTCTCTGGCTCTGAAGCGTCAGATCCTGTAGTAGTGGCTAGCCGACGGCGGCGATGTGCATATTGCCTGCATCTCAAGTCCAGGTTTCAAACGCACCCCAGGCCGTCGGATGCTGTGTAGCCGACATTTGAACGGCCGATGGTAGACAAGAAGACATAGCAACTTAAGGCTGACGTCACTGTTGAGGGCTCCAACAGCCCCTAGCCTGCGCTTCCGTCCGGTACTGATTCTCCTCGTCCCCGCTCTGGTAGAGCAGGTCCGTCAAGCCCTGAAATCGCAGTCGTGTACTCTCGCTGGCCCGAACATCTTGTCTGCGTAACACTGGCAGTTGTAATGACCTCAGCCGCTCCACGCAGAGCCTCCGCATCATCCGGCGATTGCGGCCCCGAAAGGCGTACCTCATCGGAATGACGCACGAGTTCGACCACGAGGAGACGAACGCGGAGCTCGCAGAGTTGAAGGAGTAAGCTGCGAAAGATGCTCGCACCAGCGTGCCGCTGGCTGCGTGGTTTGCAAATACTGGATGCAGTCAGGCTCGTTTGACGGGAAAGCCCGTGTACCATCTGCCGGTTTCACATCAACAATCTCGGCCCGAACCAAAAAAAACGTGTTGGTGTTGTGACAATGGATAGAGCGCCACTTTCAACTTCAAACACAGTCGCTGATGGTTGCGAATCAGTGCGGGAAATCAAGCTGGCCGACTTTCTTCAATTTTTCCTCAATAACTCTGTTAGGTTGGATGCCATCGCTTCAGGTGCTCTTCCGAGCAGAGGCGGAAACTCTGACATGATTCATCCTGTTTGCAGAGAGGGATTGGATGTAGAGCTGTCCTATGACGGCTTGCGGATACCAGTCGAGCTTTGATGCAGTTGCTTGCACTCCTTCCTTACCTGCTTTCGAGCTGCCAACATCTATTGGTGTACACGGACAGAGAACTCGACTTTCAGCCAGAAGCTTGCGGCTCCTAGTTGCGCCCCCCCCCTCCAAGGGTCTGGTAGCACTGTTCTTTGCATCACGTCCAATTAGTTAATTAGTCAGCAGCATGATTCATTCGCTTTGATCGTCGTAATTGTGCTTAACATATATTCTAGTGCAAGCTTCCCATTTGCATGCCAGCAACACCAATGCGTCGAATAGCTTTCAGTGCAGAGATACGTTCGAGTTACGGCAAATGAACTTGCGACAGAGCTACCTTTGAAAGATTTCCGCGCAGGTGATCCCGGTATCCTGCCTGAGATGAATTGCGGAATGGTGTATGTGCAAACGGCTATAATCAACATAGAAACCTCGAAATTTGCTGGGCCGCCACACATATACACGCATAGATGATATCAAGAATCGAAGCCGCCAATGAAGTTCTCTCAATCGCATATTCTGTGTTAGAATAGGAGGGTTGCGGGTCCGACGGTTCGGCTGCATATGCGTAATCCAGACTGTAGGTTCAGGGCCCGCCCCAGCTGAGGCCCGGCAGCTTGAATATTCATGTCACTAAATTGATCGATCATGTCACTATCGTACTAATATATATAGTGACATGATCGAGTCAAGTGGGCGTGCATGTGCACACACAAGCTACCTATGGTGGGTCCCGGCCGAGTCGACTTCGACTCGAACCGCGACGAAAATGTGGGACCCGGTATCAAA